TTTAGCCAGAAATTATGTCCTTTCCATTTGAAAATATTTCAGCACAATAATTCAAGAGAACCCCTTTTGCAACTCTTTGATAACAAACGGAAAGGAGTTCCCCAGACCTAAGTATGAAATGCATTTAGGATAAAAACTTGTTAAATATATTAATGCATAAAAACAATCTGAAACTACTCATTACACTATTACTAACAAAAACTAGAGTGCACACGCTGAAATGTCTCGCCTACTATACTTACCATTGATTTTATGTTGATAGTCCTACATATAAAGTTTTACTACAAGTATCACATTAACATTTATGATCCAAGAAAATGAGGTCAAGGTCAGATAAACCAAACCGGAAATACATGTACACCTTTAATACAATCATTCCATACACAGAATATAGATGACCTATTGTTTATAGTATAAAAGAAACAGACCAAACTATGGAAATTCTATATTGACCAATGAACCATGAAAATGAAGTCAAGGTCAGATGAACCCTACCAGACAGACATGTACACCTTCAAATCATTCCATGCATCAAATATAGTTGACCTATTGCTTATAGTATCTAAGAAACAAAGTTTACCAGGAAAACTGAACACTGACCAAGGAACCATGAAAATGAGGTGAAGGTCAAGATGATACCTGCCAGACAGACATATATACCTTACAATCATTACATACACCAAATATAGTTGACCTATTGCTTAAAGTTTAAGAAAACAGACCAAAACACAAAAACTTAACCTTGAGCAATGAACCGTGAAAATGAGGTCAAGGTCAAATAAAACCTCCCAGACTGATATGTACATCGTAAAATATTTCCATACACCAAATATAGTTTACCTACTGCATACAGTATTAGAAAAACAGACCAAAACACAAAAACTGAACATTGATCCATGAACCCTGAAAATGAGGTCAAGGTCAAATAAAACCTGCCAGACTGACATGTACATCGTAAAATATTTCCATACCACAAATATAGTTAACCTATTGCATATAGTATTAGAAAAACAGACCAAACCACAAAAACTAAACTATTACCACTGAACCATGAAAATGAGGCCAAGGTCAGACGACACCTGCCAGTTGGACATGTACACCTTACAAGCATTACATACATCAAATATAGTAGACCTAATGCTTATAGTATCTGAGATATGGACTTGACCACGAAAACTTAACCTTGTTGACTGATCCATGAAATGAGGTAGAGGTCAGATGAAAACTGTCTGACAGACATGAGGACCTTGCAAGGTACGCACATACTAAATATAGTTATCCTATTACTCATAATAAGAGAGAAATTAACATTACGAAAAATCTGAACTTTTTTTTCACTTAGTCACTGAACCATGAAAATGAGGTCATGGACAATGGACATATGACAGATGGAAACTTCACATCATAAGGCATCTATATACAAAGTATGAAGCATCCAGGTCTTCTACCCTCTGAAATAATAAGATTTTAAGAAGTAAGCGAACGCCGCCGCCCCCGGATCACTATCCCTATGTCGAGCTTTCTGCGACAAAAGTCGCAGGCTCGACAATAAACCAGTCTAGTATTTTCTGTGAAGACTGACAATGAAGAAAAAAACAATGTCATATCTTTGGAATCGTCCAAGTACTGGTATTTTTTCAAAGTAGTATACGGGAACAAAACTCAAAATAATGTATGTATTGGATGAATAGCTGTCATATGCCATTTGCCAAAAAAAATGTTGAAACCAAATTTAGAATGTATAGACATGGGGTTTTCCCCAAAATCTGCTTATTTGTAATATTTGTATTTTTCATAACATTCCCTTTAGTCAAATGACTGAAATAAACATAATTAAGTCTGAAGTAGGTCAACAATATGAAAACGTATGTGAATTATGTAGCTTCTTATTATATCATTTTAAATTAAATATTGATCCAATTTCTGCAGAAATAAAGGTATAAACTTAGTGTCATGATATATTTTGAAGTCCAACCCAAAAAATTGTCAACGCTAGGTCAAGCCAAAAACCATTTGCATGTAACTTATTGAATCCTTATTACAATATAAACTCATAATGTAACCTAAAAATACAAGTAAGGCTATAAATGCTACCATTTCTTTGTTTTACCTCTATGTTGTATTTTGAGTGAGAGTGTCCATAGTTGATTCATTTACAGGAAATTCTGACATTAATCTAAATTGAACATCATTAGGATGAGTGTAACCAAGATTGGGTTTCAATTGGCACAGTGGTTTTAAAAGAGACTGTTTCCAAAGTTTATAGGCAAATGAACATAGCTAACAAATGGCAATAACTCTAAATCACTCTTTAAGCCATGTGTGCTAATTGAACAGCCATACAACATCTCCTTATTTTCATATTGATAATTGTCGCATTGGTGATTACACAACATCTCCTTATTTTAATATTGATAATTGTTGCATTGGTGATTACACAACATCTCCTTATTTTAATATTGATAATTGTCGCATTGGTGATTACACAACATCTCCTTATTTTAATATTGATAATTGTTGCATTGGTGATTACACAACATCTCCTTATTTTAATATTGATAATTGTTGCATTGGCGATTACACAACATCTCCTTATTTTCATATTGATAATTGTCGCATTGGCGATTACACAACATCTCCTTATTTTAATATTGATAATTGTCTCATTGGCGATTACACCACATCTCCTTATTTTAATATTGATAATTGTCGCATTGGCGATTACACCACATCTCCTTATTTTAATATTGATAATTGTCGCATTGGCGATTACACAACATCTCCTTATTTTAATATTACTAATTTGTTAATTGTTTAGGGACTCACTGTGACCTACAGTTGTTTACATTCTCATCAATAGGTCTCTGTTGGACAGTTTAGTTTTGGAGGACGTGATTTATTTTTTAGTTGTAACTGACTTTCAACTAGCTTTCAGTAACTGTGAATACTCTTATTTTGGTGATTTAGGTCTATTGTTTTTATGTTAGTTATTTTTGTACCTCCTATGCATACTGATCTCTTGAGTTAAGCCTATTGCAACTGATTTTTACCGTTTGTTCTATTTTGTGCTGTAACACCACTGTTCAAGGTGCTCACAAACATGATTAACTCTGCAACATTCTTTTTGTGCCTGTTTCAAGTCAAGAGTACAGTGGTTGTCATTGGTTAAAGTACGTCTTGTTTGTTTTTTATAAACTATTTTGTTATGAATTAGGCCTTCAGTTTTCTCGTTTGAATTGTTTCACATTTTTCATGTCAGGGGCTTTTTATAGCAGATATGGGTTTTTCACATTGTTGAAGGCTGTAGGGTGCCCTATAATTGCTTACTAACACTTCATTTTAACTCTATTAGATAGTTATTTCATTGGCAATCACACCACTTCTTATTACACTGTACATGTTGGTTGATAATGGAGAACTTGTTAGTTAATAAACATAATGTATTTGATTTTTGTTGTACTGTAGATGTTGGTTGATAATGGGAGAACTTGTTAGTTAATAAACATAGCGGATTTGATTTTTGTTGTACTGTGGATATTGGTTGATAATGGAGAACTTGTTAGATAATAAACAAAACGGATTTGATTTTTGTTGTACTGTGATATTGGTTGATAATGGAGAACTTGTAAGTTAATAAACATAGCCGATTTGATTTTTGTTGTATTGTGGATGTTGGTTGATAATGGAGAACTTGTAAGTTAATAAACATAGCGGATTTGATTTTTGTTGTATTGTGGATGTTGGTTGATAATGGAGAACTTGTTAGTTAATAAACATAGCGGATTTGATTTTTGTTGTATTGTGGATGTTGGTTGATAATGGAGAACTTGTTAGTTAATAAACATAGCGGATTTGATTTTTGTTGTATTGTGGATGTTGGTTGATAATGGAGAACTTGTTAGCTAATAAACATAGCGGATTTGATTTTTGTTGTATTGTGATATTGGTTGATAATGGAGAACTTGTTAGTTAATAAACATAATGTATTTGATTTTTGTTGTACTGTAGATGTTGGTTGATAATGGAGAACTTGTTAGTTAATAAACAAAATGTATTTGATTTTTGTTGTATTGTGGATGTTGGTTGATAATGGAGAACTTGTTAGTTAATAAACAAAATGTATTTGATTTTTGTTGTATTGTGGATGTTGGTTGATAATGGAGAACTTGTTAGTTAATAAACAAAATGTATTTGATTTTTGTTGTATTGTGGATGTTGGTTGATAATGGAGAACTTGTTAGTTAATAAACATAGCGGATTTGATTTTTGTTGTATTGTGGATGTTGGTTGATAATGGAGAACTTATTAATAAACATAATGTATTTGATTTTTGTTGTATTGTGGATGTCAGTGTACTGTGCATTTTGATTGCTCGGTGATAAAACTGATTATTTTGATAACAATCAGCTGTTTCAAAGAGTTTTATTTTAAATATTTTGTTTTCACTTATTGTCATTAGGTTGGCATTAGTGGATCTTAGCTGATTAAGGTGGTACCCAACACCTTGACTAATATCAATTTGGCTCGTTTAATTTTCATAAAATTTTGACAAAATGTTTACTTTGACCCTTTGACAAAAATATAAAAATTTCAAAAAATTTGAACCAACCACTTTATCAGAAAAATTTCGTTGGTTATATAGCAGTTTGACAAACACTAATTTTGATCATTGAGAAGCTTAATATTTCCTTAACAATACAACGTAATTAAAACGTTTAGCTGATTTTTACAGAGTTATCTCCCTGTAGTGTTAGGTACCACCTTAAGACTGTAAGATTGTTCCTTTTAAAAACGGTAGAGCTTGTTCAAAGCAATGCAAACATCTATATTCATTGCTGTTTAGTAGATAGCCGTTTCTTTTGTAATCATTCCACATCTCCTTTTTTTATAACATGATTTTTTTTAGAAAAGAACACACAACATATAATGATACAGTATATGGCCTAAAATGTTATGGGGTTTAAATGCTCATATTAAAAATAAAACTATGAAATACTAAATTATAAAATATCATTTTATTTCTACAATATTTAAGAATATCACAGTCATTTTATGAGTTACTGTAAATCAATTTATTTTCGTGGATACTTTATTTCGAGTTTAACACTGCCTAGTCCACTTTGCGGCTATTTAATTTCATGATTTTATAATTTACTTCATGTAGTTTAATTATGAAAGATCCAAGTTTTACATATTCGCGACATTTATATTCGCGTTATTTTACTACTTGTGAAAGTCACGAAAATAAATCGCTTGAGAAAAATTAGTTGGTTTACAGTATACGTAATGTTCCACAAAACCTTCTTTTTACTTCATCAAAACTTATAAAAATAGTTAAAGACCACTGATCTTAATAATTTGTACTCATGTTTTATAAGATTGAGTTTTTCTTTTACATTATATGTAAGTCAGGTAAAAGCTATTAATTATCATCTGCTAAATTCAACTTCAAGATGTTAAATCATACTATTCATTCTACACACATGTAAACAAAGTACATTTTCATATCTATCTTTATATTTTATACTGGAAAGTTACATATGTATTGTCTACATATCATATATATCTATCAGTACTACACATATATTTCTTACAAATGTCCGTGTCATATGTTACACATAACATTTAATTCTCTATACAAACAACCTGCATTCAAACGTCTCTCAACAAAAGTTATAACATTGAACCCTCTACTTGGAACAGCCATACTTGTCTCTTCTTGGAACAGCCATACTTGTCTCTTCTTGGAACAACCATACTTGTCTCTTCTTGGAACAACCATACTTGTTTATTTGAGACTAATAATGAAATGAACATACCATTGACTTTAGGTTTTTAAAACTATGCAGCCATTTAACTTCACAACGATTTAATCATTAAAAGTTTGAATCTAGGTTGCTGTAGGTGAACAATATATGAATAGTTCCAATATTTTTCTCCATTGTGAATTGACTGCTTGACTCCTTCAATAGTAAACTCCATCTTGTATTTTTTCATCTTATTGTTTTACTTTAATTCACCGTCTCATTTCTGACTTCACCATTTTCATAGCTTCTTTAAAAGTCAATGTCTTTGGTCTGTGTTTCTTTATATACTGAAAATGGACAAAATCAAACATAACATAGAATTGACCTTAATATAATAATATCATGCAAAAAATGAGGTCGTACCAGCATCAGAAATTGGAACACATTTTACTTAAATATTATGTGTGGTGTATCATATCTTTTTTTAGGTATCAGAATATAATGGAGTCATCATTTGATCTTTTTCATTAATTTATAATAAAAATGTGTTTATGATGTTCATATTGAAACTTAGTTTAATTATTTTACTCTTGCAAAGTATCTTTATTAAAGGATATTTATCATTTTTGATTTATCTAGTATTTAATGAATGTATTGAGTAATTTTACTCATACATATTCATAGGGGTTGAAATTGAACTCTTGTTTTGATTGGATACTAGTTATTGGTGGTTAAGTTGAGTTTTCCTTTGTTCTTCTCAGGTAGAATTTACCTGGACACTGGTCTGAAAAAGAGGTCCATTTATATGTCCAGATTGAAATATATAGAAACCCATATATACTTACAGATTATATTTCCATATTTATATGACACAACTACTTTACTGACAACGACTCTGACTTAGATTACTTTTTTGTACTTAGTGCCAAATTCCTTATTGACCAGCGAACTCACTCTTCAAGTGAGTTTATTTTCAACTCTGGTAATGAAACCATCAGAACCTTAGAATGTCTCAGCTATTCTATTCATACTCCAAAGAGACCCCTTTCAAAGTAAAATGTATGACATACGTTCACAAATTGGTCTAGAAAATACACAGAACAAGTAGAAAGGGAGATAACTCTAGATTTTAAAATAATTGCATTGTAAACTAAACTCATTTTAAGAACAGAAGTGTAAACCTATGGTTCATAATATCTTTGAGAATGGATGTAATAATTTAATGCAGCCTTGTAATAAAAAATTAAATCTCTAAATATGTCAGCTAAATGAGTTTATTGATGATAATACTAAGACTAAGAATGATACTTTGCTATAACATACAACACTTAAAAATGCTGTTCTAACCTGTGTGTCAACCTACAACTAATATAGTTAAAATCTGACATTGTGAGTTAATATACCTGTCTCGTATCCTCTAGCGTTGTATATTTATGAGTTGTCTCCATAGAATCTGTGAATGACTTGTATAGATATTTCTGAGACTGTATAAACTGTTTAGTAAGGTCCAATTGTTGTTTTAACATATCATGGAGCGCTAACATAGCTGGACTGTAGGCTGTCATAGCTGAAATAGAAATCAAATATTCTAAATATCTTGATTGTTGGTGTTCTAACAATATATTTTATGACGTAATACAAAGAACACTTAAAAAGTTAGACAGGTTTATCCCCAGACATAGTAGTAATGGCAATTTAACTTGTTTCAGTACGACATATGCTAAATGTACATGCAGACATAAATGGCAGAAAGAATACCATTTACACAGTGTAGATACTATTCTGTACGCTATCTGGAAGTCGCGATTTTTGAAGCGATGATTTCCAACTGGCTAACAGGACGGTTTTGCCTACGGTGACTTTTCTCATCATTTGTTTACTCCTATATCTATAAAGTGCTTTGAACATCTTCAAGGTATGTATAGCATCATAAATATGAGTAACTGTAACAAAAACATGCATAAGAATATAAAATATACGTGTGCATCACACCAACTTGATAGAAAAAAGTGAAATCGATGGACAATTTTGCTCTCGTAGTACAAAGCAAATAATCTTTTAATGCAAATATTTGCATCAGTTTACAGTTAAATATATACTGTTTCAATATTCTTTTCGTATTTAAATAGAATATTCGTATTTCCCATAAAAAGATATGTTTTCCTTGAGGATCCCAAAATAAATTACTGTACGATCAGTCTAGAACTGACTGTATTCTAGAAGCGATTTCAGATTTTTTGACTGTATGACCAGTCGTGATTTTGAAAAAGAAACAACGGCAATTTGAAGGTATATACGTGTCTATGTGATATTATGAACTGTCCAGGGAACTATAACGTGTAATTTCTTTCATCAGACAATACAAATATACTTCTGATGATTTTTGTAGACGGCATGTGTATGGGAACATATATTTGGAATCCCTTTTCTCCTGGATTGGACCCCCTCTCCATTTAAAAATGGCTGGAACCCACAATGTATATTAAGTGGTTTATGAGGAGATGCACTTACAAAACCGACGAAACATATTGTACCGGTCCAACGGAAAGACGGACTTCATTATCACTATAAACCCCCGCTTTACAAAGTGGTGTACAATTGAGTGTCAAAGAGACAGCTCTACATCCAAAACAAAGTGAAGGAACTGTGATCAATTATAGGCTACAGTACAGCCTCGAATGTGTGTAAATACATGCATTTTTATATAACAATTAAATCTGTGTGTTTGTACAATTTTAAGTATAACGGAGGACATTTCTGAAACTTATATATACAACAAACCTTCCTCTTATTTTAGCAACATTTAAACATCCTTATACTTAATGTAGTAAGTCGAGTACACCCCATCAAGCTAAGACATGTTTCATAAGTTTTCAGGATGTGAATTTATTGAAATATATTTGTGTTATTTAGAAAAATGCCACCTTCTAATGAATCGTAAATAACTTTGAAATCACCACTAGAATACAGTGAAATAAAGACTGATCATACAGTTTCAAAATATACAAGCGAGACTGATCGTACAGTGAGAAATTCAAACAAGTGTAATTTTCTTATTTCTGGATTCAAAGATCTGGTTGAAACTTTTACCACCACTTGAAATATACTTCAATTAGTTAATTAGGTCTGGTTTTTACGTTAATTTGTACACTAAGAGGGTAAAAAGATTGTTTTTAGGTTCACCGACTGATTTTCCTTAGTGATGCACTTGAAAATCTCTTGATTAAGGCAAAGATACGAATAATGAATGTGCTGAATTTAATTCTAAACCATTTGAGAATATCGATGTCAGCTGAATTAATCATTAAGCAATGTACAGATGATCAACTTACCGTTTAATTCAGTATATCCATCAAATATAAAATGTGATCCAAAAAGTTTTCGCTTCGAAAATCGTGACTTCCGGATAGCGTACAGAATAGTATCTACATTGTGATTTAGGGACTTAACTTCTATATCACATCAAATTTAACAAGTTTTTGATGCAATATTATATTTTCATTCAGAGTTGTTATTGTTTTTTTTCCAATTTTGCTGATTTCTTTAAATGGATGATAATGATAAATAAACTATATATTATACCTTCTAAAGCATCTGGACTGACCACATGTGTTGCTATAGGTGTAGGGTCCACCATCCCTAGTCCTGTTAGAAAACCAGGTACAGCAAATCCAGAATACTTTGAGTCCCATTGGTATTGTAGTCCCGGTTCTGATGTTTGGACTTCCACTGTGTGGGTTTTCACTCTGTCACGTCTTGGTGCAGGTCTGTCACTGCATGAAAAAACAAATGTAATAATAAATATCCAACCAGTCTATACATTATCAAGTTGTACAATTCATTTCTATATCATCTTCTTTAAAAGTATTTCTTCTTCAATAATCTAACTTCTGTTGTTCATTTACAAAAATGTACAAATAATAATAATGAAAAAGACATAATTCATTGACATTTTAAATAGTAAATGAGATTTAATACAATTACTTAACACTGAGAAACTGTCTCCCCTACAACTGAACAAGTTAATCTTCCTTGAAAATAAAGTGTTTGCAAATACTGTTATTTTCAGCATACTACCAATACTCTTAAAATTAACCACTTAGACCCCAATCACACTAGGACATTTAGATGGATTTAAACTAGATCGGTTCACTTTAGATCGGTCTAAACTAAAACACCAAAAGAGGTAGTTTAGTTTGAATCGTTCTAAAGTGAACCAATCTAACTTTAAATGTGAACGCAGAGATCAGTTTAAACTAGTACGATTGAATCGAAAATAATGTATGCGCATGTATAGTGGCAAAACTACACGTGTAATAACATAACATCCCTCATATTTCTCCGTTAACAGACCTTTGTGTACATGCAAGTAAAAACAAACGTAAAAAGTTGTCTTTGCCGTAGCATAAATTTGCGAAATCTGTGTCTTCTTTTCTTCTGTTGTTTTTGTTTTTTTCTTTTCAGGAACCGCAGCATTTTTTAATTTTGTAACTTTCTTGCTATAGTTTTTAATGAAAACTGGAAGAACACCAGTATCAAAATTTGAACTTGTGATTCAAGAGAAACAATAACTTCATCCATTTTTGTACACATCAGTGTACCAACACATAAATTTGATTAATTATTTCTATTTATACACAATGTTTGCAGTTTTACGGGTAATTAGGTCAGATCGATTGCATTTTTAATTGTAGTGTGAACGCAGTGATGCAGATTAGACCGGTAGAGATCGTTATGATTAAAGATAATGTGATAACTGGTTTTATTTAGATCGATCAAAAAAAAATGCTAGTGTGAACGGGGTCTTACACATGCATGATGAGTACTTCCTCTAACACACTTTTTTCACAACTTTCACATAAAATTCAAAGGAACATAACTGGGAATAAGTTGGACTAAACAATTTCCATGGAAATGAGATGCACCAATTTTAATATAACTGCATACCATAAAGTTAATGACTTGGCATAAATCGTACTTATATGCAGGGCATATTCATAAACTTAAGTTCAATATGTAAAAGTCAGCAGACCATGAAATAGGAGACAAGGGGAAATATTAACACGAAATGAGATCTGCTATATGTACTAAAATTTGCAGCCAAATATTTGTTAGTTAAGCTATCACCTATATGTTTGAGATTAAATGTACCTGTATGTATAAGAATCTGTAATGGTTCTGTCTGAGGTCGGTGTAGCCCTTGATTCTGTCATCAAGGACTCGGAGTCACTACTTAACCGCTCACTTATATCCTCTGTTTCATCCTCATCACTGTACTGAGTCTTTATTTCAGAAACTGATTTCATTTTTGTTTTTTTAACACTTTCACCAATATGTTCTGATATACTACTATCAAAGTCTTCTGAGTATGAGCTATATTTAGGCGTACTTGACCGAGTCTTAATTTCTGATACTATCACTTCTGATCGTGAATCCTTTAATTTATGGCCTCCTAACATTTGATCTGATCTCTCTGTTTTGATTTCCTCTGATTCAGATTGAGTCTTTATCTCAGATACTTCACTTTTAGGTTCATCCAAGTCTTGAATATCACCTAATAATTCTTCTACAGTGTGTAAACCAAGCGCACTAAATATGTCTTCATTCTTTTTTTCCTTTTTCTTCTTCTTCTTTTCTTCTCTTTTGTTTTTATTGACTACTTTTTTCTTTGAAACATTTCTGGATTTCCTTTCGGAGATGTTTGGTTTTGCAATAATTACAGGTTCCAGAGTATCGGCATCCATTAAATTCACTGAAATCATATAAATTAGTACTTTATCATTAATACTTTAACAAAGAAAATAGACCTTAAAATGCATTTAAACAACAAATTTGATTAAAACCCAATATGTTATGATTCTTTGAAAGTTATTACCACTATCTGAAACATACAGCTTGCAGAAAAATCTTTTTTTAACTTGACTTATTTTAGACTGTAAATGTTATTTTGAGCTTGGATAAGGAATAGTTCATTATTTAGGCCTCCTTTTACTGAATCATATTCTTACCTCTGAAAACATCTTCTGAACTGGCACTCAGTGGGTCACTTTCATTTACTTCTTCTATTATATCACTGGCCACAGTATCTTCTGACAGTGACCTTGACCTTCTAAGGCCAGGAGATGGTGACCTTCTTCCTATTTTAGGTGAAGGTGATCTCCTTGGTGTCCTTGAGGATGGAGTTGGTGGTTTAGAATCAGGAGACATAGATCTATGTGGTGACTGGGATCTCTTTCTGAACTCTTGCCTTGTCTGCAAAATATATCACAAATTACATTAGTTTCAATTTCAAATAAACTTTACCTATGAATATGAACATGAATCAATATTGGTGCATAACGGTTTTCTTCAGGTCAATTATATCACAATTTTAAAAGCATAAAGAGTTACACCTGATCTGATATAAATGTACAACTAAGCATGAAATTGTTTGTCAAAATGAAAAATTGCTAGTTTTTTTATTTTTGGAGTAGTACCGATAATTCTCATTATGTGTACCTACAAAGTGCAAACTATAACATTCTGGAAAAATTGTACCGTAATACGGAAAATTATAATAAATATCCATAAACCTGTTATGATGCATACTCATGGTTATCTGTCCAATGTTGAAAAATAACTTACTAGTAGTCACATTGATATATATTAAAATAATATGTAAATAGCAGAAAATAGAAATGCAGAAAACTAAATGTTATATTACACAATGAAATTATAGTCTTAATTTGTAGAAATACGGGTCATCTTTTCCTTAAATTTGCTATAGTTAACACATAAATTAATGATGAATTTCCTAAGTGAACCTGCTAAAGAATTTGATAGGTTCAATAAATAAAGATAAAGGAGATCAATCATAAACAATATAAGTGGTTTTATTTCTGTACGAAGATTTCAAAGTGTGATAATTACAATAGGTTGATGTCAAAATAAAGTTAGTTCTAAAAATTTCCATTTCATCTGAAATTTTTAAATGACAGGTAAGTATTGTGAATTTTACAGAAAGTGATCGTCAAGATTTGAAATATTAACTGAAATAAAATGTGCTGTTATAAAAAGAATAGAAGAGAATAAAGGTGTCAAGTTATTTTTAGTTTTCAGAGAAACTTGAGTCAAGAGATAAGAACAGATTTTAATGACATTAAATGCTACTAATACTTGAATATGTTTTATGATTTTTTTCATCTTTTGATTTCATGAATAAGTGTTTAAATCATTAAATAAAAATGTCACATTAATCAGTATCAGATGTTTTTTTTTACCTTTTTCTATAAAATTGAGAATGGAAATGGGGAATATATCAAAGAGACAACAACCTGACCAAAGAGCAGACAACAGCCGAAGGCCACCAATGGGTCTTCAATGCAGAGAGAAAATCCCGCACCCGGAGGTGGTCCTGTATGAACATTTCATTTAACCAATAACAAAATATTATAACCAAAAACAGATAAAATTCAAAAATTTCATTTGAAATCTCATATAAAAAAATCTCAAAGGGGGCCTGGGATATTTGTATAATTATTACTGCAAAAAAAATAAAGAATGCTTTTCCGGAAACTGAGACTTGACACCTTTGAGACAGATGTATAAAGTAAAGTATATTCTTGAATAATACAGAGCAAACTATAAAGATATTAATGTTTGATAGGAATTGTTACAATGTGCTTAAATTTAACATGAATCTTTTAAAGTGAACGTAATAGAAGATATGTGTACATGTATGCTCTCACCTTACTACCTAATATATTCCTCTGTCAACAAGTTATAAAAAAGTCATCAATGGTTAATATGATAAAGAAATATTAAATTAACAAAGCATTTGTTATATTGTATACTAACAGAAATACATTATGTTACTCTCTATAAATCAGGAAATTAATAAATAAATGTTAAATGTTTTACAAATAAAGTCAACCTGGAAATATTGGACAGAGACTATATGTACTAAGGTTTTATGTGTGCAGTAAATATAACTTATAAATATTAAAGCAAGCACTGTTGAAGTTATTTTAACAGTTACTCTCTGCATCAAATATGCACATACCAAATTCAGTTCAGTTCTGCTCTTTAAATAGGACTCTGTTTCAACATATTGAATTGATTATAATTTGATGAATGTCCAGTGGCAAATATTTCATGTATGATCATGGTGATGAAATACTAGATATTATGTCATAGATGCTGAGGCAATGTTACAAATTGGTTTAACAATCCTTAAAACTAAAAGCTATGTGTGAAAGATGCAGGATTAGTCACTAAGAGATATTTTAATGATTAATGTCGCTAAATAACAAGTTGAACCAAGTTGAGATTTGAGCTATTGCTCACTAATGATACCCCACTATAAGTATTCAGTGAACAGAAAGTTGTTAAACAATTGATGTAATAATTCATCGCATAGTATAACATACTTATTTATAAATTGTGACTTGGATGGAGAGTTGTCTCATTGGCACTCATACCACATCTTCTTATATCTATTATATCAAGGTTGATTCAAAATTTCTAAAAGATTTGTAGTTCCCGAAAAACTTCATACATGACTATTACATGTATGTTAAAGAATACATAAGTATTTGGGAAACAGGAAGTTGATAAGCAGTGAATCTGAGAATGCATCACACAGTATAACATGCTCAAATCAAGCTTGATACCTAATTTAAAGATCCCTGATTTGCACTTCTGGAGAAAAATGCAACCAAAATTGTATGGGATTGAAGGACAGACATAAACCAGTATACTCCCTCTGATACTGACTTAAAGTGAATAGATATAAGAAGATGTGGTATGAGTGCCAATGAGACATATCTCCATCTAAGAAGTTCATTAATGGATTTCCTCCGAGAATATAACTTGTACTTGTCATTTCTCTTAATCATGAGTCCATACTCAAAGCTGCCTCACTACCTTAATGCATCCAAACAGAAAAAGGAAAATCCTACTAGAATTTTATAGTAAATATCTTACAATGGTTCCTCCCTTGACAACCATCCTGCCACTGTCATCACTGCCATCAGCAAAAATAAATTCTTGTAAGCTCTCCTCTCCCGATGATAGTACTACATCTGTTGAATATTTTTGTGAACTTTTTAATTTAAAAGGAGAACCTGAAATAACATTTTTCTACATTTATCAGCTGCGACACAAAATTATTATTCAAACAGTATCTCGTTTAAATGCAAACAAAACAATTAGTTAGTTAAGCTGAAAATGAAAATGGTGTATAAAAGAAGAATCAAATGAAACTAATATGTACACACTCATACTCATGTGCCTGTCCCAAATCAGGAACTGTGTCAGTGGTTCATCTGATTTTTTTTGTTACTTGGAGAATTACTGCTGATTCAGATCTCTGATAGTTTCTGCTTGATTTATTAACAACCTTTATAGACTATAAAAGATTTAGTGCTTTACATTGTAAAGACATTTGTCATCTATTGTTAAAGACTTTATAAACATTTGACTTTTACTGTAGATGTTGATTGGTTTGTTTTTGTTGCTATCTTTATAACATTTATACTTCACATCTCCTTTTATTTATAAGCTGACTTTGTATTCAGTGAAACTACAACTTCACATTTGTGTAGCCTTTTCAATAGTCATCCGGCGCGAAAAGGACGATAATTTAATTTTAGAATTTAATATTTTCGGAGACGGTCAATTTCCGGAATTGCATGCTTTATCATCACGGTTTTTTCTTTGGCCGTCGATGAAGTCACTATTGCTGCATTCTTTGACAATAAGGTATATTTAACAAGACAGTATTATCAATGTGTTATCGTGGTATCAATATATGTTAGCAATGTTAGATATCTGAATTAATTGTTATTTTGGCAAAGGCAATTCATCACTTCCCCTGAAAACATGATTTTGTACAAGTTCACTTATCGGCATCTCCGGGCGGCAAAGCAGATCAATTTCCTGATGATTTTAACTACGGCATTCTGATTTTTATTAATTGCTACATATTACCGTTTTTTTTAAATCAATTTTTGTTTATATTATCAACAAATAAGAGTAACATACTAGGTCGAGTTGTCGTTCGTAGTGTATAGTTTGTTCCAAACCTGTCCAGTGTTCTGGTACAGGTTGGCAGATGTTTATTAACAATAAAGTTGTTGCAACTAAAACACATGTTATCTTCAGTGTGTGTGGTTTTTTTTCTAATTAGTAATTGTTTATAAAAACAAATTGTTTCTAAATACATTTGGCAGATAGGATTATCATGTAATTGTTATTTCCCTTGTTTAAAAATAGAAATTGCGTATTTCTATAGTTAACGATTTACATGACACTTATTCAGTACATATTTGTTAAATTGAATAGATATTGCTATTTTGATTTCATTGTTAAAGATATTTATTAAGGTTCTAAAGTTTAGTATTTGCATCCTTGCTAATCATTTATAACCTTCGTTGAAAGACTTAATCATTTTATATAAGTTGTTTGGAATTACAATTTTGAATTAAATTCTTTATAAACACTAAAAGGCGCTATGCAGGGCTGACTTAGCAAAGGCTATAAAGCCAGTCATGGTGGTTATATATTTCCATCATCATCGACGAATTGTCTGTGGACTGACGTTCAGTCCAACCATTGGAAGCTGTGCTCTTCCAAAATCTTCCTATGTGGTTAGTGCATCTGCCATGTGCGTTCTTAAAACGGAAATTATTGCAGTCATGCAATACTCCATTTCTCTACTTTGGTCTACATGATACAAATTGTACTTATTGAATAAATTATATATTGTTTTCATTGTTTTTTTTTCTTAGTTTTTTTTTTCTTTTATTTAGATAGCGATATTACATTAGGCATCAATCGTCTTCTTATTTATCAGTTCACAAACTAGAAAAAGCTGTGGTCCGCACCCCCTGCAGAATTGCTCCTTCTACATACATGACCCCAACCCCTTTTCTTTTATGACTATCAGTAAGGGGTGGACAAGGAGCATTGATTCCCAGTTCCCTCCCCAAACTCCTACTTCACTCCGTATTCTGTTCCTCTGCACTCCTATTTTTTCGTCAACATGAATTATCCCTGTTTTAACGACCCTTTCCTTGCGGTTAACACCACCCTGACTCCAGCTTTCATCTATCCAATTCCCATTTCCGGCCCTCTCATTCCATAGTTCCCATAATTATGTCCACCCCCTTATCAGTGTCACAATGACTCGCACCCATTAACAACCCATCATTAGGCCACAAAATATATTATACTACCTGATTTGTTTCCTATATGCAAAAATAACGAGTCAGAACTTTTGCTTTAATAATAGCCCTTTTTTTTTAACACATCTCGTTTTTAACTCCCATGCGTATTTTTTACTGTCAACTATATAAATGGCCTCAACGCATACAAGAACAATACAAAATATCTTTTCACAAATGTGTTGTCAAAATAATAAAAATTTACTCTTTCAATAAATATTTTTGCAACAAATTCATAGTCACTTTTAAAATTTTCTATAGAATAAATTGAAAAAAGAATCAGACTTTCATACACTCAATTGAATTTTGAATGTTTGAATGTCTTAAATTGTCATTCTTACCTATTTATTTGATGGCGCCCTTATAACCCTATAATGAATCTTTTTTTTTTAATCCACAATGATTACATAGCAAATAAATATTAAGGGTTTTTATTAAAGTTTACTTTGCGGTTCCAAAGTGAGGAACTAATTATAAAACATGGGTAAGCAAACTAAATACCTAGAAGATGTTTTAAAAAATAGACTTTAGTTGATGAGATAACTCCTCATGTAACAAGATTTATCTCTCCTGTGATTAAACACATTGAGATCGAGATTGAATTGTCTCCCTTTGATAACAGCCAGTACCAAAGCACAATTATTTTTTTTGGTGATTTTTTATTGATTAACAATAGTTAAATAAAAGAAAAAGGATAATACTTTCAATTTCGAGGTCTAACAAAAGCTTTTTTACCTGTTATTCTAATTTTACATTAAAAACTCAAATTCAGATGAAAAGGCTAATTTGTGCTGCTTTCACATGATATATGCACTGATGAGGTTTATGACAAGAAAATATGTGATTTTTTAGTACCTTTAGCTTTCTGTGCCTGCTGTTGGGGTTTAGGACTAGAGGGTCTGTTACTTATTACAACAGGCTCTGTTGACTCTGGTTTCTTCTTCAGAAATTTCCCAGAATTCTTTCCAATCTTAAAACTATCAGATTCTGTAATTTGACGAGGAGTCTCTAATGATTCACTGTCTGTTTCTAAAGTAAATACTTTTCTATTCTCATTTGATCTCTGCGTAATTTTTTTGGCTAAAACTGATGCTTTTTCTAAAGCTGCTGACCTCTGACCCTGGACAGACATTTGACCTGATTTCTGGACAGACCTTTGACCTGGTTTCTGAACTGATTTTTGATCAATATGACCCCTAATTTGTTCTGAAACAGTTGGCACAGGACTAGCTGATGAAACCTGCGGCTTCCTCAAGAATTTTGACATTGGTTGAGATGCTGAATCTCCTGTTATTTTTTTCTTTAAGAACTTGCTCCCGGATGTAGTTAATGCTCTCCGCTTCATTGAAGATGATGTATCGTGAGTGTCCAGTTCACTTGATATAGAAATATCACCCATCTCCTCAAAATCAACAGACTTCCCCCTCTGCTGAGCAGTTTTCTGTGAAAGTGACTTAATATATGCCTACAAGGAAAAAAAAGTTTGTCATGACAAATGTAATTTAGATACTTTAATATGCTCATAATTTAATGCATATTATTACAAGAAGACCATTTAGTGTTCAATGTTGAAAGGTTAATTTCAAAGCTCAACAATTACAATGTAAAATAAATATTTGAAATAATGTACATGTAATGCAGGAAACAAAAACATTTTATGTCAACCAAGCTGTTGAATATCTATTTTCGAAACAAATAATAAATAAAAGATTTCAGATGTACTGTAGTAAATTTTACGAATTTCCTAGATATTATTTTTGTATTTTTTTTTTTATATATCAAAATTAGTATCACAGTTCACACAAATTACATGTTTGATTTTTTTCCCATCATTTTAATGCAGAATTTTTTGTAAATACATTAATTATCAAGGGCAGATCTAGGGGAGGGGTAAAGCCGCAGTGAATAAACATTTTTGTGTTTAAAGACTGGCTGAACCAATGCCTCCTTAGTTTGGTGGCATCTCTTTAATCCATACCAATGGTATGCAGGGTTGCCAAATGAAAATAATTTATGGTTTTACATTTTTCTGATTTTAACTGCTTCCCTCCCTTTATGCAAAACTTTTAAGTAGGCAAAACTGTGCCCACATTTAAAAAATTATAGATCCACAACCGATTCCATTTTTGTACATTTATCAACCATCACAATAATAAATGCATCCAGCAATTTCTGAATTAAGAGTAAACATCATTATGTTTAACTAATTACTCATTATACTTTAGACAAACAATCCATCATTTCTAAGTTTTATCTACAAATGAATAAGGACTGTTCTTCTTTATCAAAATAAATCTTATTTTCTTTTTTACTGTGATCTTACATTGAGGGCTTCATCTTCATCATCTTTTTTCTTTACACGTTCCCCTTTCAACTGTGAGGAGACCTTCTCCAACAATGCATTGGTAGAACTCCCAGATCTTTTCATCTTCAAACTACAAAATAATAAATAAATGATGTATAACCTATCCAAAATGCTGTCTAGGAAAAAAATTTAATCACGATGTCAAGATGTTACAATTTTATAGTTCAAAACTACTGAAAAATAAAACTCATTTATTCAAAAGGAAATAATTGAATCTTTACTAAACTATCAACTTCAAGTTCAGCATCAATTAAACAGCATCACAATAGGGATTTCATAATAAAAGATGATTAACTATTCACCATAAATATTCTAATTTTCAAAAGAACAGAGTTCCAATGTCTCACATATTTTATCTGTCCAAGGGCAATAGCTAAAAAAAAGCATGGGAAGATGTGTGCTTCCAGAATTTCCTGTAAAAGGCTATTAACTAGTTCATACAAACTGAGGTATAATAATGCTTTTCATTTCTTAGATTGGTTGATCATATTGTAAAGTTCAGGCAGAGTTGACATGAGACAGATTTGGTCTTATTTTATGTACTTTTTTGTCAAATAGCTCATCAACTGATTCAGTTCTTATACATCCTTTGCTATCAAATATTCAGCTTTTAGCATTCCTAATAAAGGTAAATCCAGAAATGTGCTTCGGACGCATGAAATTCCTGATAAAGGTAAATCCAGAAATGTGCTTCGGACGCATGAAATCCCTAATAAAGGTAAATCCAGAAATGTGCTTCGGACGCATGAAATTCCTAATAAAGGTAAATCCAGAAAAGTGCTATGGACACAGGAAATTTATAAAGTGTTGTTTTCAATTTGTACAAAGTTATTTTATACAATATTATGATATATAGGAGTTTAATGAAAAATATATATGTTTTACAGTCTCTCACAATTCTTAATAGAATGGCACAAGCTTCTATGCTATCTTTGTAAATAGTTGAATATTGTGTATATACTTTGTATGTACATTATATAAACAAGTGGTGGGAATGGAATAAAAGTGTTTGAAATAAAAATTTTAACAAGTTTCATTTTTGAATAAAAATTTTCACAAGTTTTGTTTTAAATAAAAATTACCACAAGTTTCGTTTTAAATAAAAATTACCACAAGTTTCGTTTTAAATAAAAATTACCACAAGTTTCGTTTTAAATAAAAATTTCCACCAGTTTCGTTTTAAATAAAAAATTTCACAAGTTTAACAGCATGTGGCATGGATTTACCTTTGTTAATTAGCAATGATTAGTCAATTGTTGTTAAAACATAATCCCATATTGTTTATACAATAAATCTGGGAACTCCAATATAAATTTCAAAATATTGTACCTATCAAATTCAAAATGCTGGAAAAGCATGAATAAGATAATTTGTCTATGTAGATGATTTTCCAAAAATGTCTATTTTGGTGTCAATCTTAATTACAATGCTAAGGGCAAACATCCAAACTAAGTTTACAGCAAGCCATTTAAACTTTTGTTCAACATGGAATTTTATCATAGATCTAATTTCTATAGAAGGGATTGTCCTTCAGTACTTCAGTACTGGTGTATATACTTTACCTTTGGGTTTATTGGTAGACTATTTAGAATTTTCAGAAAACAGGAATGTATGTTAATCAAATTTCAATTCTTTATTGTTTTTAACTTAATTAATAGTTTCTAAATCTTTGCAATCTGTTATTATGAAAAATTATATGCATAATCGCACTTCAAAAGAAACCTTTTAAATGTTTATTGTTTATTAACTGGACTTTTTAAGAATTATCATGATGATATAATTATATATCCACGTCATTTGGTCTCTGGTTGATAGTTGTCTCATTGGCAATCATCATACCACATCTCCACATTTTTATATAAGTGGTAAAATTTATTTTGACAGCAACAACAGTCAGGTAAATACAACTTCAAGTTAGCTAATTATGTTTTAATATTTTCATAGTTTACTTTACCTAACAAAAATTCTGTCAGATCTTTATGTTTTTTTATTGAAAGTAGATGAATCAAACATTGTTTTTCAATGAGTTTATTACACAGTATTAAAATATGAAGTAAAAAGCATATTTTAGTAAAAAGACTTATAATTAATAGGTTATTTTTTAAGTAATGATATAATATGTTTGAGTTAAAGAAATTAAGATATCATTTTGATTTTGAAATATTTCTAAATTGAATCTCATTATATTAGTTTTTATGTATCACAATGTACATGTATGCATTAAATAGAATTCAGTTGGTTATCAGGCGTGTCAAAACTTTCACAGAAAACACAAGTCATGGAAATAAATAGATAAGGGAAAGATGTACACATGAAAACATCCCATGCATATCTGTTTATCTGCAAGCATAATACACTCAAATGGTTTCTGGTGGGGGTTCTCTAATAGGCAATCATACAACATCATATTTTTATAGAGTTGTCTTTTAGACAAGTTGTACATTTGTACATGCATGACATGCATCTGCTTTGACATCTTATTTATTGATATATGCTTTGTAAACTTATTAGTCAATAATTTAAATTGCTTAATAAGTAGAAAACTGTACATCTCATAAGAATTAAAAATCATAAGGTTTTGAAGGCTTATCTATACATAACTTAAACCATTGCTGTGATGTCAGCCGATTCATTTACCACGGTTTCTTTTTCTAAAATCAACACTCCCAAACCTGTCACTGAAATGGACTCACCAAATTATTTTCCATTGTTTCCTTTAATTTGTGTACCTAATTTCATTAAGTTTGAATTGGCTAATTTACTGATTTCTGTTCACTAATGGAATTAATTTAAAAAACACTTACCTTTAACTTTTGTAATTTTTATATGCCTTCACTGGGAATCAAACCCCTCTTTGAAATCAGTTATGTGTGAATGACATCAACACATCGACGAAACCTCTTGGCTACCAATGTGTTGCAATTTAGATGTCTATTTCATATATATAAATGAACATATGATACACATCGGTACAACGGACACACAGGGCTTGTACTTTTATATAGACATAATAGACAATTGTATAGTATAAGTTGGTAGCCCACCGGGGTTCTCCCCAGGACCTTTTAGTATCATGGTAATGTGATGCTATATTGCTAGAATGTGATGTTACTGGTATCTGAAATGAGTTTCTTATAGATAGTGTTATGGATGTACAAGTGATGCTTTAGTTTCTGGAAACAAGATGGTATTTCATAATTCCCTGTTTGTCAGGATGATATAAAAATTTCTGAGGAGAACACTGACTGCCGTGAGGTTAAGATCAATGAGTTAAAGAGTTCGAGCTCATGGTTTCTTTTTCAAGAATCAACGCTTATCCATTTTATCTATAATACACTATCTACTTCTCATGGTAGAGGTGGTATAGAGAAATTAATTAAATTATAAATGCCTAGATCCCTTTTCCAAGGTACCATATGCATCACTACATATTTATAAATGTTTAGACCAAACCTGCCACTGAATGGTCTGAACTTTTAATCATAATTAAGGCAGATATCAACTTTAAGAAAGCATAATCTATAATTCCTTCAGACATGTCAGACATGCATGACATGAAGATCTTTAAATTAGAAGTTTTAAGATCAAGACAAAATAATTGTCAGTACATATATAAGAGGTCCTAATTATAAATATAATTGAGCTGCTGCATGTATTACTTATACTCTCAAGATCAACAAACAAAACCTTCTTATAAGTTGCATCACACAGAGTTACATTTCATATGGAAATTAGACTTTCAATTTCTTTTTACCACCTCTAACATGAGTAGTTATTTATGTATAGATAAGCCTTCAAAACCTAATGATTTTTACTCCTTATGAGATGTACAGTTTCTACTTTTTAATCAATTAAATTTATTTAAAACTTTTCTTGTTGTGTCTTTACTGGCTGAAGTTACGATTACAAAAATTCGGGACATCTGTTTAAAGTCTGTTTCATGGAACCAGATTTAGCAAGGGATTGAAATTGTTGCCCATACAACTTTCATTATTTAAAAAATCAAAATACATCGACACAGCAAGAAGTTGATCCGTACTGCCGATAGATGTAGAATTTCATAAAAAGTGACGGCTGCTTGTAAAGAGGAGTGATAGCGAAAACGAATGATGCCCACTGACCTGAAGGAAAGTGAATAATTTATGAATTAGGCTTGGGATTCCTTCTAGAATTTATCTGGGAATATAGGTGATAAGGTACAAGTGAGCTACCTTCTTTTTATATATTATCAGTGACTGCTGTGGATAGTAAACTAGGAACTGAACCTGCTAATTTGTATCTGAAAAGGAGCAAACAATTTCCCAATAAATTTTTATATCTGATTTCCTAAAAGTACGATAATAAGTTAAACAAACATATCATGATTGATCACATGATCAGGATGATCCCTGACCACAGCACCAACAACCTTCTGGAGCTCATCAGGTATTATTTGACTCATATTAATGCTGAATGTTTATTTAGGTTTAAGAATAGACCTAATCTTAAATGAGAGTACATACTGTTAGAATATTAACTTTCTTGAAAATGTTATACTAGTGTTAAAGGTAAAAAAAAAAAAACATGTCTGAGCAAATCACAAGATTGAAATCAACGAAAGCAAATAACAGCAACACATAATCTTTGAAAATATGCAATAGTAAAAAAAACCTTGTTGATAATTGTTCGAAGATCCACAATATATATCATATTTCTCTACACATTAGCATTAAATATCTGTTTGAACAGATTTCGCGTTGCCTCCATGTCCATTTGTAAACAAAACAAAATTCACAATCTTCTACGCGTTTGATGTATAGCAAACTAAAAACCATACCAAAGACGGTAAATCTAAATCTTAATCTCGGATTGCACTTCAAATCAGGAAAACCGGCGATGAAAGATAATCCAAATCAGAGACATATAATACAATGTATTATATGTCTCTGTCCAAATATATTGAATAATTTCAAGCTTTAAAAAGTCACTAGCATAAAAATATAACAAGAAGTCCAAGCGTATTCCAACATTTAATAATGAGAAAAATTGTGAATTAAACCAATGATTTGTATAGTGAGACAGTTCTTCTTTAAGTTTTCCAGTTTTCCATCTGAATAAAGATGATTTATAACAGTTACAGTAAATCATGGGACTATGTTGCTGAGATTTGAGTAACATTTTCAATACAACTCTGGCTCGTTACCTGAAAATATTGTGTGTTTTCTCCTGATAAATAATATATGACGATTGTAAGAAAGGAAAACGGAAGGATGGAACAACACATCTTACTTGTCAGTAATTTATATTATTATCTTTTGTAGTACCAGAGACACTATATGATGTACTTTATATGTCTCTGGTAGTACTATTTACTATGTTGTTAGTCTAAGATAAACAGATGATCAAATATGACGTTTGAGTACTTATCAGGGTATCGTGAAATATAAGTTCCTCATAATATATAGGTTGCATGCAAATGGAAGAATATTATGCGAAGTATAGTATTTCCACTTGAACAAATATTACAGTATTTGTTCCTAACGGAATAAAGGTTAAAGAATATTTGTTCCAGCAGGAACAGATATTATGTCATTGTTTATTACAAAGTTTCCAGGGGAACTTCTGTTAGACGGAACAAATATAGGTTGACAAATAGATACCTATAGGACAATTGGAGATGCTTACAACAAGTTATTCATTTGTTCAATGACACGTGGGATAGTCTCAACCAATCAAATATTGATTAAACTATCAATATGTTTAAACAGTGGAATAATATATTTTTATTTTATTTATGTTCAGCGTTCATAATTATCTAATTAGAAGCTAATAAATGTATCAATATTTTCTAATGCTATCAAGATAAATTACAGAAAAATGTTTTCACGGTAAGATTAAATCTATCATGATCATGAAATATAAGGTGATGTGGTATGATTACCAACGATGAATCAACTATCCGGGTTGATGGTTAGCAATCACAGGTCACCATAAATCATTTTACTAAGTAGTATCTTTATACACTGAATTGAACATAATTAATTGACCATGTTTCCAGTGTTAAAACGTTTTTATACGTTATTTAGAATGATACGTCGATTGGAATTTTACAGTTTCCAAAACATATGAACCTGAATTTGACTTATAAAACTCTTAGTTCTTGTTTGTTCTTGGCTTTGCCCCCGCATTGTCTGATCCCTGAGGAAAGCCATCACGAAATGCACATCTTAAGGGCATACGATGCAGTTTTGATCCCATAATGAAATTTTGATGAAAATTTGCATATAGGCTATTTTTTACCTGATTAAATCAAATATGCAATAAATAATATACCATCATGTGCTACATTTTGAGTAAATTGAGGTTGAAATTTTAAATATTTCCTCAAAATTCGGATTTGTGGACGTATTTTTCCTTTCGACAGAATAACATAACTTTTTTGTTTTAAAAGTTAAACACAAGCTGTTTTTTGTTAAATTATTTGTAATTTCTGTTTTATATAAATGTTCTATAAATTTGTACATTTTATTTTTACAAATAACTCATATTTATCAGATGTTCATGAATGTAGAAAAAAAACGTAATTTTTTGCTGTATATTTATCAAATTAAAAAAATTGCACTATTGACTTTTTCATGAAAATTGGTACACATTATCTTCCGACGTAATCAAACCAAATATCATTTTAAAAAAGAGGGGTCCATGAACTCGTTTTCAAGTTAAATCAGTTTGAATGATAAAAATCAGTCGAAAACTGCATCTTTTCCGCTGCAAGGTGACGTTTGTTATATTCCAATGGTTTTTATTACATTTTAAAGGAAATAATAAAAAAAAAAGATATTATCAATTGTGACAAGAAAGACGCAAAAGTTATAATTACATCAAGTTTTAAGAATTCGTTATGTAAGCTTAAGTTCATGTCACAAAAGGTCTTCTGACAGTTGGATAAAGAACAGAATATATATAACAGTTTTATGTTTTTTCCAGGGTGAAATGGATCATTCTCAAATACCACCAAATTTTTCATGGGTTGTTGATGGTAAACTTTGTGCCATGGGTTTTCCCAGATCAAAGGAGCATATTCAATACTTACTGGACAATAATGTCACTTACCTTATATCCCTAACATCCTACAGACAACCTCCGGTAACTGATTTCAAAGGTAAGTCGTTTTTTTAGGAAAAGATTGTGTATGTATGTTCCGAATGAAAAATCGAAATAAAAAAAAAAAGAACAAATTCCATTGTTCTGGCAAAGAATAATGCGACACGTATTAACAAACTCACAACTTAAAATTAATCATCACTAACTCTCAACTTTAAAGAAATACTTCATTAACTCACAACTAAAAATTAATCATCACTAACTCACAACTTTAAAGAAATACTTCATTAACTCACAACTTAACTTGAAGGGAATACATCACTAACTCACAACTTTAAAAGAATACTTAAAATTCACTAACTCACAATTCAACTTAAAGGGAATACATGACTAACTCACAACTTTAAAAGAATACTTAAAATTCACTAACTCACAATTCAACTTAAAGGGAATACATGACTAACTCACAACTTAAAGGGAATACTTCAGTAACTCACAACTTAAAGGGAATACTTCAGTAACTCACAACTAAAAATGAATCCGTCAGTACATTTTCTATGTTGAAAGCTTGTTTATCCACTTTTATCATATACTTAGCATTAATATGATAGCTTTTGCATATGTGTAATGAACGGAAGTACACAAGCCATAATTTCCCACCCGGGCTGATAACCCATATCAGGGGCGTCTCGTGCAAAAAAACCCATAACAGTGCCTCTCGTGCAAGTTACTTCCGGTATTTCCGGTATCGTATGTTTACTTTTCCATTGTGGCGTCAGATATTTTTTATAATGACGTCAAAATTTTACGGGAACTTTTGGGATGTCCAGTAATGGCGGACAAATAGCGATAAGGTTTATTGGATCCAGTGGTAAATCTGTTTGTACAGAACCAGCTGTTATTGAAAAACAGATATTAACATGGCTAAATCCGATGATATAGATTTTCAAAATGATGCTAGTTTACAATTAGTACTTGCTAACAAATGCCATTGACAATTATGAATCATCTCACATAGTACAACATGTAGTAATAATGATCATAAAACTGTAAATACTTCCTCCATGCTTCCAGCTTCCAAATTTTTAATGTTTCAAAATGCCTCTATAGGAAATGGTACCATAATATATATGGAGGTAGTGATGCTATTGTTGGACAATTATAGTGTATTTGTTGGATTCATCATGATTTAACTTCTTTAAAAAGTTTTTTACTCTTTTAGTTATTTCATTTGTTTATTTGCCTTACATAAAACAATTGTCGGAAGTATATGATGAAGAGATTAATACATGGCCTTTTCCATATCGGCCCGGGTATCATCCCTCGACCCATATCAGCATATATGGCGGTCCAGGGATGATACCCGGGCCGATATGGAAAAGGCCATGTATTAACCTCTATTTAAATACATTAAAAGAATGTAATATTTATATCGTATCCATATTATAGTGAAAACATCCTTCTCACAATATGGTTCACAGAATAACTAGTTAAAATTCACTGATGTGAATATAACAATTCATTATTATAATATTAGGGCGCTGTATCAAATTTTTAAACTATACTGTGATATACTTTTTCAACATCATAACTAAATCTGGAACCATATATCATTTAATACAAGAAAAAAAATGTGAGGTGAATGTTGGTGAAACAAAAGTCCCGTGAAACATACATGTAACTATTTAGTGATAAAAGAAACAGTGTGTTTATTACTGCTCTTACAATTGACGAACTTAAAGTCTCAGATCAGATTCAATAACTTTCTTTGCAAAATGTCGGTATTAATCTACGATCTTACATGTCTTAATCGTGTATTGTTTAAGCCTACCATTTTCCCATTAATTTGTATTTTTTTTTCTCGTGTTTCTAATTCAGATATGAACCATCTTCATTGTAAAGTTGAAGAATTTACACCCCCGTCTTTAGATCAAATCCAAGAATCTATAGATTTTATCGACAGGGCATACGAACATGGAAAGGTATAGTTACTTAACAGTTAAAGCTGGGAATTGATAAAGAAAATAACATTTCAACGTATTTATAGAAAAAGTCGATGTACAAATTTCAGACAACAGCCCATGCAAGTACGTATACGTGTAATGGAACAACTAGAGGTCAATGTAAAACTTTCTGACAATAATCCGAATGATAATTCATTTCAACAAAGTAAACAAAAATTAACATTTCATATTTAACAAACTGCAAGAAAAAACCCGTAAAATAAAACCAAATAATATAAAAGCATTGTGAAGACTACATGTCTTTTGACTCTACAGTATCTTTATTTCTACATAGAAAAATAGGATGACAGTCAACATGAAAAAGAACTAGTTTATATTTCACAACTGGTTCGCTATGCCCGTGTCTGTAGTGTCTGTGACGTTTCGGATTTCAATGAATGTAATCTATGTATTACTAAATTATTAAGTCATGGATTTCGTTACCACAAATTACATAAAAACCTTTTGGTTTGTAAGTTTGGCTGTACCTGTAGAAAACTTCTTTCAAACGGGCATATCCTAATTTTTACGGTGATGTTGTTTACCGAACTCGGAAATTTAGATTTGATTTTGATTTGATTTTTGGTGTTTTAACGCCACTTTTAAGCACCGCTTTTGGGCTATTTCGTGGCGGCCAGTTTTTATTGGTGGAGGAAGCCGGAGTGCCCGGAGAAAACCATCGACCTTCGGTGGAAAACTGACAATCCTAGTCAATTAAGATTGGAGTCGAGTGCACCTACACGAGCGGGGTTCGAACTCACAACCTCAGTGTTGACTGGCTAGTGATTACAGTAGTAACTACTTAGACCACTTGACCACCGAGGCCCCCGGAAATTTAGATACGATCCGGGTAAACTAATCGATCCTTTAAATAAACTTATTCCAAAAGGTTACCAATTCAACACTGTAATTAGATCTTTAAATGTTGTTTTTATTGGTAAAAATATTGATTTTGTTATCAGTAAATTAAAACCAAACTAATATTATTGTTATATACATATATACATATGCACATTCACGGTTCTACAATCTGTCAATACCTGTATTTTGGCATTGCACAAGGTCATGTTTTTCTCTGACTGTCTTCACACTTAATCCATTGGATGTTGGATGTTGATTGATACTTTCGTCTTAGATCTGTACTTAATGTCTTTTTTGTTGTTGTAGGGATGTATAAATACCCTGCCACGTCCGGTCTATGTTTTTGTTACTTCTTTTTCTGCTTTGTATCGATCTGATGAGTTAAGCCCTTTTCAACGATTTTTACAGTTTGCTCATATGTTGTACTGTTACACCACTGTCCTAGGTTAGGGGAGGGTTGGGCGCCCGCTAACATGTTTATCCCCGCCACATTCTGTATGTGCCTGTCCCAAGTCAGGAGCCTGTAATTTAGTGGTTGTTGTTTGTTGCTGTATATCATATTTGTATTTGGTTCATTATTTTTACATAAATCAGGCTGTTAGTTTTTTCGTTTGAATTGCTTGACATTTGTCATTTCATGGCCTTTTATAGCTAACTATGCAGTATGGGTTTTGCTCATTGTTGAAGGCCTTACAACGACATACAGTTGTTTTGAACTTCTATGCCATTTGATCTCTGGTGGAGAGTTGTCTCATTTGCAATCATACCACATTTCCTTATTTTATATTAGAGAAATGCTTAACAGATCCGGACATTTTCAATACAGTGACGAGTGTCCCATAATATGAAGACAAAAGGGTAGATGAATATCTGCATAAAATACATAAATTGTTGTAGAAAAAAAAAGATTTTGCTTTTTTTATCAGACGTAGTTGCATGTGCATGCGTGATCCTAGGTAATGAGTTCAGGTTTTGTGTATATTTGACCCATATCGAGAAATTATCACTCAAAGGGAGGAGGGAGGGGGGATTGAGTCTGTTTGTCTCCCATTCTTTTTCAAAACCTTTTTCGCAAGTCGACCACCGTAATACTACCAGATTAAATGAAACGTTTCACACAAAAGATAAATACAATGGGCATTTATATACACAATTTTTTTTACATATATGATTCACTATTCACATGACAAATATTTCGAAGTCTCGATGGTGCTGAGAATAATTTTGAATGATCAATTGTATATTTATTTTCATGCATTTATATTGATATTTTTCAGGCAGTGGGTATACATTGTCAACATGGAATAGGTCGAACAGGGACAGTGGTAGCATGCTATTTTGTTGAGAAGCATAGCATGACAGCAGTAGAAGCCATATCACACATCCGATCATTACGTCGATGGTCTATAGAAACAACAGAACAAGAACAGACAGTGTATCAATATGACAAAAGAAATAGATTTTTATTCCCCAAATTAGAGCCCCAGGAGGGAATTTAACACATAAACAATATCATTTTAAAGATGCAGAACAATAATATAATAGGGAGTATTGTTTGAAAAATAAAATCTTACAGATATTAAAAAACACAAATATGTTACTAATCATTTATGATTTTGAGAGAGCCATATTTTTCTGATTGCTATCTTACAGGTTAGATTTCTCTCATAAACGTGTCAGTTGTCGTGCAGCGCATTGAACACAATTATTCTTATCATGTCTTTCGTCAAAATATAGTGAAAATATTTATTTGTAATCCACAGTGTTGATATTAGAAAAAATTGACAAAGTTTCGTGTGTCATCACACACTCTTAACCTTGAAAATGGGGGAAATATCAGGGTATTCATCGACACGATAGAGCTTGCCCCAAATGCTCAAGCTCTATTAAAAGTTGAAGATGAATAGCATTTTCTTTTTAATTGCATCTCACTAAATAATGAGAGAAGGAAAACATTACTGATGCCCATGATGACTATTGTACTTGCATACCTATATATATATGTTGCAATCTTGTCGATGTGGATCATCCACAAGGAGTTAGTACTATATATTATTACGTTATGGTTTATATGGTCATATTATTAACGCATGTTATATTCCATATTAAAGCTGGTTTCGTTTGTATGATCTACAAATTCCATCAATGTATGTATTAAGAAGAAGTCCAGACCTAAATTTCGACATTTAATAATTTTCAAAGAGAAGTAGCATATATTAAGCTGATATTTGCTACTTGATTGTGTATTGCATGGTAACAGATATCATGATATTATATGATCATGAGGTGTTTTAGTTGATTTGCTTTTAACTCTTTAGACAATTTGTTTCTGATTTGTTTCATTTAAGTATATTGTATTTGCTATTACGAATAACAACAAGGATCAGACAAAGGTTATCACAACTTTAATAAAGTTAAAATGTATTTATATAATGAGATGCAACAACAACTTTAAACAATTATAAATTTGTACAATAGTAACAGAAAAAGTACACAATTTTCCAAACAGATAACAGTCCTACTCACCAACATACTAAACTAAAGAAAAAATTAAAGCCGTCTTCAGTCTGACTGCCGCACCGACTGCTTTCGGAATTTATCATATTGAATCTAAGTAAAATAGGTCATAATTAATTTAGAGTTGAACATGAATGTCAAAATCTTGTTAAAATAGCATTTGCCTTACATTCTCCAACATATAAGTGTTTAGGGACTTTGGATTTATCATCGGGGATTTCTTTCTTGTGGAATATCTAAATTTGGAGATGGAATCTATATTTTAATTGCATTGTCGATTTCATTCCACTTCCTTATAGTACAATGTATTTGGAAAATATGATATCTTTGTAAGATCTGATCTACATATTGGTAGTATGAGGTCAATGATGTTTCAAATAATGTTTCCAGAAATAGTTCATTAAGTATTAGTATTCGTAAATAGTGTTGGTCTCTGGTGGAGTGTTGTCTCATCGGCAATTATACCACATCTTCTTTTTTTTATATTGTAAAATAGCTCAGGTTTTCTTCGGTTTCTTCTATCAGACAAAGTTTCCCATCCCGTTTCAGAATACAACATATCACTATTGCAATAATAAGGAAGCCCTGTGACAATGCTTGCAGCTTCACGTTTTCCCATCAGTTCAGTATTGGTTATCTAGTCGAAATAAAAGGTTTTCTGTAGATGCGTTGCCTGTTGTAACTATATGATTTCTGTCTTTTTGGATTAAAAGACATTATCCAGGTTTTTGACCAGGTATTTAATTAGTTAAATCATTTGAAATACATGTTCCTGTATTAAGTGTGAATTTCTACAACAATATCCAAAGGAGGTATCGTTTGCAAACAATCTACAGAGCTTTTTCAACCTTTCTACAGTGTATTTTTTTGTGTAAAATTATATGTAAATAATTACATATCTAATAGAAATTTCAATTTATATGATTACCCAATGGCCTAATGACAGGTTAGACTGCATGGGTAAAGAAATCCCTCGCCTATTGCTAATTGTTTTGAAAAGTGTTTTAATGCAATCAAATTGTTCATACAATTTTCATGCAGCGTTAGTGTCGGAAGAACATTATTTTTATTTAGAATGTCACATGGCTGCGTAGGATTCATTTGTAGATTAATCATTTTAGAAGGTAAATTGAATGAATGGCCTTTGCGAAACGCCTGCTCATTTTTCTGAACTTGGAGGTTTTTACTGTATTTCGGAGTCTCGGTGATTTGTAACTGACATTTCATGTGCACCTTGCATAGCATTTACCGTTACTTCAAGAGATCTTAAAATCTCTAAAGCATATTTATAGACCAGATGGGAGATTTTGGCCATGTGGGACTTCTACTTACTTGTTAGTACAATGCGACGATTAGTTACGACTCATGCAACAAGCCAAGCTTCTTAATTCCCGCGTGTAGTGTTTGTTCCGTACCATTTCACACTGATTCAAGCAGTAAAAGCCTGAGAATATTTTTTTCCCTGATAACATTATCATGCATGATTTTATTGAGTCAGACATGTTTGTCTATTTTACGACATGAAGAAGATGCAGTATAGGTGGATGATACATGGCACACTAAAGTATTTCCCTTCTTTTCCATAGGCGGATCCGGGGGGGGGGGGGGGGGGGGGGGGGGTTGGATGCCCGGACCCCTTTTTGGGGAAAAATTTGGTTGATTATATAGGGAATCACTGCATGGAAATAGGGAATTCTTGTGTTTTATATTTAAATAATCGACAATTATAATAGACCAATGGGTGCATGGTTAAGTTTCCAATGTTCCAATTGTTAGTTTTGTGGTTAGTTTTTAGTGGACTAATACTGGATTACCGGCTGTTATAGCTTAGGACAGACACATAATGAATGTACCTGGTTTAGATAGGTTTGTGTGCATCCAACCATTCCCTATCTAGGACAGTGATAGAGCGTAGTACAACATACAAACGCAATGTAGAAATCAGTGGGGAAATACAGCTAGATCTTTAGATCGGTACTGATCATAACATAAACTAAAAAATGGATCATCGAAACTGTCACACATAAGTGATAAAACTGAAGAAGAAAAAAAGAACACACACAGAAAAAGCAATCGTTGCAACAACTTTACAATTTTAACATATTACTCTTTTCTGATATATGAGTCATTTTCAAAAAATTCGAAGTTTGAAATTGCAAAATTGAATGAACGTTACTAATTTAAACCACCCTCCTCATAAGTAAATCAAAACAAACAAACACGCCTCCGGGTGCGGGAATTGCTCGCTACATTGAAGACCTGTTGGTGACCTCCTGCTGTTGTCTGTTCTATGGTCGGGTTGTTGTCTCTTTGACACATTCCCCATTTCCATTCTCAATTTTAATACTTATGGAACAATATATAAAAAGATGCAGTCTTGATAATCATGATAATGTCAAACAAGAATACATTGGATTTTGTTTTTAATAAGTGGTGCAATATTTTGTCTCTCCTGTTAGGTACCATATTCAAAAGAAATTTTGAGTTATTTAGAAAAGGTTTCGATAAAATTGCAAGCTTGTTTTTCATGGCCAATAAGATGAATGCTGTTGTGAAATAACTACTCCCTTTGATGCAGTGACAATGTTTTTCTGATGTGATTTTTGTTTCCAACACGAAAATGCACGTTTTACAAGTATAATATTGTTGTAATTAATCAATTGTTGGTAACAGCATAGACATGAGGGACCCACTAATTTTTGTCACTACATGTCTTGAATTTTCTTTTCTCTACACTGTTATGCACGAAACGTACTGTGTTAAATTTTAAGGATGCTTTGTGCTTTTAAAATCATCACTGAATATTTCCATATTCATAGGGAGAAACAATTTAATGGTTGACCTAGTATCGGTAACAGGATAGACATGCATTTCATGTACGCAGATTGCATAATTATATAGTTTGTAGAAAAAAACATAGAACAATAAAGAAACTGTGATTTTTCGTTAGAGTTATCATTAAAATTCTAAAACAGATCCCTTTGCAGACATCAAGGCAATCAGAAATAGGAAAAAAAATCATTTGAAATGCTTTACCCTGACACTTTATAAACATAAATTAAGCAGAAATCGAATATCAATATATTTTCATCTTATCAAAATAGATCTAAATCGTGTTTATTATTTCATGATCTGACTCATAATTCCTACAAACTTTCATTTAAACACTTACAACTGCATTTTCCATAAAACATCAAAACTGAGCATAGGTGTACTGAACATTCGACTTTTTTTAAGAATGATCCATATTGTCTTGAATTGCTTGGCCAAATTAAAAAGTTTGGTAAAAATTTGAAAGGACATAGAAATGATCATATGGTTGGCTTTTTTTGTTATACCCCTATCTCGAAGAGGGGTGTAATAGTGATGCTTTTGTTCGCAAGTTCGAAAGTCTGTTCGTCCGTATCAAGTTAATTTACCAGATGATAATTGAGACAAATCTTTTGAGATTTTATCACAATGTCATGGACTGTTAATTTTCAAGTCAATTTCAAATTTGATGGTATTGGCATATACAGTTTAAGAGTTATGGACCTTACTAGCCTACTACGACTTTTTAACCAAATCTTTTGAAACTTGCACATACTGTCATCGACCATTAAATACCATGATGTCAATTTTGATTTTGATGGTTTTTGACAGTTATGTAACCTTAAAAGTCTGTTTGGGTTTCCATGTGCTAATGAAAGTATCATCTTAAAAAAACATTTTCAGATTTAACACAATGTCATGAAAAAGTGATATATATAAGTCTAGTTTCTAATATCAGTAATTGCAATTTGACTCTTCGTTCGTTTTGTTAATATTTATATGCTTTGGTCTAGTATGATTTTCGCTGACGTACATACATTTCAAGATACAGTAAAATCATTGTGTAGTCTTGTACATGTTGTAGAAATTATATATATAATAAAAAAACCTAAGAGGTATGGATCAATTGCCCCTGTATAATTGTTTTTGCATATTTAAGCAAATAAAATAATCATGTTTAAACTATCTCGATGGTTAATTAGGCGTCTAGACTAAAATACACACGAAATGCTGATACATAATGTCCATGCATCAACATGTGGAGCAGGATATGCTTACCCTTCCGGAGCACCTAAGATAACCCACAGCTTTTGGCGGAGTTCGTGTTGCTCAGTTTTAAATTTTCTATGTTGAGTTTTGTGTACTGTTGTTTGTCTGTTGGTCTTATAGTTTTTTAGCCATAGCGTTGGCAGTTTATTTTTGACTTTGAGTTTGAATGTCCCTTTGGTATCTTTCGCCTTTCTTTTAAATGTTTATTTTAGACTTTTTGCAATTTGGATATAAGTTGTAGTAGTTATAGATCAAATATGAGAATTTGAGTCAAATCGGTGAACGTAAAATTGACAGCTAATGCCCCTTTAATCAAAATGCTATGTATTTATATAATTTTATATATACATAATTGAAAATTTTACATTTTATTGAAATATTTTGCATTTAATTAATGACGTCTCTACTCAAACTGAATTAACTTGTAATGGAAAGACAATGCTAAGCTTTGGATCCTATAAAATTTTGGTCCTTCTTACACATTTTTTGTGATAAATACTCAAAATAAAAAAAATCTGTCAAAATTGGAGTTTTTGTCTGGAGCGGGTATACTGATATATTGTTCTGAATAAGCCATAATATTGTCTGAACCTTAGAGTTCATACAAAGAGCTGTGATATAATGTGATTTTTGAAAATGGTTCTCTTGCATGTGAAATATGTTCAGGGGATATTGTCGGTACCTCTTTTGTGAAAAGAAAGAAAGCATGGAGGTAGAATATGAAATCATAGTTTAAGATAAGATTTTATAGATAATATCTAGAAAAAACATTAATAATAAATATATTAACTTCCATTCTCATTTCTTGCTGTGGATGTTTATTGTCCATTTAATGTCTTCTTCCGTCCGGCTGGTGATGTTGATTGTCCATTTGGTGTCGTCTTTCGGCTTCACTTTGGTGTCGGCTAGTGATGTTTATTGTCCATTTGGTGTCGTCTTTCGGCAAGTATTTTCTATTGTCCATTTGATGGCAGTAGTACTTGAGGGGAGATCTGAGTATGTAACAGTTGAGTCAGGGGTTCCACAGGGGTCAGTTCTTGGACCAAGTCTTTTCCTGTACTACATAAATGATATTCCAACTGGTTTTACATCTACAGTGCGTTTATTTGCAGACACCACCATAGTTTATTTGGCAATTAAATCAAATTCTGATTCATCTACATTACAAAAAGATCTTAACAAACTGGCATCATGGGAAACTACGTGGAAAATGGCATTCCACCCAGATAAGTGTAATGGTATCTCAGTCACGAGAAACAAAAAAAAAAACAATCACATTTAACTACACATTACACAATCATTCTTTAGAACATGTAACAACAGCGAAATATCTGGGGGTAACCATCAGTTCAAACCTTAAATGGGATGTGCACATAAACAAAATATGCAAGAAAGCAAATAGCACACTCGGCTTTCTAAGGAGGAACCTAAATATAAGCTCAACATCCATCAAAGCGCAGGCATGCAAGTCCCTAGTAAGACCATCACTAGAGTGTGCTTGCTCTGTTTGGGACCCTTACTTACAACAAGACATAGATAGCATTGGAAAAATTCAAAGGAGGGCTGCCCGTTTTGTTACCAACAAATACAGAAACACCTCAAGCGTTGGTAACACATTGAATGGCGCAGCCTCTCTGACAGAAGAAAAGATGCACGATTGGTAATGATATATATACAAAATAGAAAACGAAAAGGTTGCAATACCTAAAAATGATAAATTAAATCCACAACAGAGACAAACAAGATATTCAAATACGAACAGTTTCCTAATTCCATCCTGCAAAACACAGTACAGAAAAGAATCTTTTTCCCTAAGAACAATAACCGACTGGAACAAACTACCAGATAACATCGTAAATTGCACATCAGTAGACTCTTCAAATCATCAATTTCAAAACATCAATATTAAAAGTCAACTATTCACATCAACTAATTTTCATTTTTCCGCTATTTTTTATTTTGTATAGTATTGATCTATGTCTTGTTGTAAGTTAATCCTCCTGTGACATAATCTTCAATTAGTTGAAGGCAGGCAATATATATGGTAGAAGAAGTAGAAGATGCCCTCTTCCGGCTAGTGATATTCATTGTTCATTTGATGTAATTTTCCGGCTAGTGATGTTTATTGTCAATTTTGGTTTCGTCTACCGGCTGGTGATGGTTACTGACCATTTGGTGTCGTCTTCCGGCTGGTGATGTTTGCTGTCCTTCTGGTGTCGTCTTTCGGCTAGTGATGTTTATTAACATCCATTTGATGACGTCTTTCGGCTAGTGATGTTTATTGTTCATTTGATGTCGTCTTCCGTCTAGTTATTGTTGTTGTTATATATATCCGCTTTAACTTTCGTTAACGGAAAATAAACGAATCAATATCAACTCCATCACTGTAGTTCATAAATTTGTACAATGTTTTTGTCATTATCATAATATTTGTATAAGAACAGGGCGTCTCTGATATTGTTATGACTTATGTCCAATCCCCTTTTCCATTCCTGCAAATAGAATACATATCAATTTATGTCTCTGGTTAAACTAACCTTCATCATTTTGTTGAAATTTTATATTTTTTTACCTTTCATGATCACTTGCTCTTTGATAATTAATGTGTTCAACCGAAAGATATGCTGATATGTGAAGCAATAAACTGAATGTTTATTTTTGTAGTATACATCTGGTCGTTGTTTTTCTCTTTTTAATCATTTCACTTTTTTATCCAGGCCTCGCGATGCCCTTTATAGCTTAGTATACGTCATGGATTTAGCTTATTGTTGAAGGCTGTAATATTTCACATCTTTTTCTTTGCTTTTTAATAATTATGGATAGATGTTTTTTATATACAAGAATATCAAATATCTGTATCAGTCAGTTATATTCACTTGAAACAAAGTTGTCTTGCAGTTGTTTTAGCAATGACGTTTAAATGTAATTTAGACTGAGAATTTCTCAATCAGAGACGCATACCAATACATAGGACTAATATATTAATTAGTTAGTGTTATAGTCCCAGTTCTCACCACAGTTTGGAAATCAGTTGCAACTAGCTTTTATGAAGGTAATTTTTAATTTATAGATTTTGTGTTTGCAAAACATTTCACTAAATTATAATATTAGATTTTCCTACAAATAATTATTCATGAATGAATATCCCTGATATGCAGCTAAATTTATTATCAATCCGGACCAACTGTTCGCCTCTCGGCGCGAAGTCAGGAGCCACAATTCTAATAGTCCTAGCCTACAATTATAATTTCCGGATTTTTCTCCGGTTCCGACTTTGGATCTACATGCAATTATTGTACTTCCGGGGAATTTTTCGAAGAAATGATTCAACAATTTGTGCTGTTAAAATATACTTGATATTTTGATACATTTACAAACAGAATTAATGCATTCTAAGGATCATAAACAAACTGGAGCCCAAGGTTCTAGTGTTGAAAATTTATCAGTTTCAAGACGCAGATTGGCCAGAATCCGTTGTATTCTGGAATGTATCCAATGCTTAAAAGAGCGAAAAAAGTTTCCAGCATGCATTTGTTTTGTTCCTTCAGAAGTTGAATATAAATGTCAAAGTAAAACAACACTTAGGGTCTATCCTGAACCCCTCAAAAATAGTAGAAAAATAAAAGACTTGCATTGCACAACAGAATCACGAGTGGTGGCAAGTGGTGAAGAATATTGCAATTCACAAGGCAAATGGCTGAGGATAAAAAGGGTAATCTTTGTATAGTAAACAAATATATTGAAGTTTTTAAAACTGCTCAAGACAAAAATATGACATTTGACAGATAACTGCTGTTTGTTGAAGTTCTCAAATTTCATGTTAAGTAAACAGTTCTATGCTTTTAAAACTGTTAATCACTGACTTTTCACATGACAATTGGATGTATATAAATGAATGGCAAACTCTCCAGACTTCTGTAAAAATCTGTAGTTTTTAAGAAACTGGCACAAAACTTGCCTGTATTGAAATCATAAACCAATGAAGTTAAAAGACAAGTTTTTTTGATGGCACTTGAGCTTATATTTTAGTTCACTTTACTAAAGGCCATTCTAATGAAATATTAAAAAAAAAAATTCTGAGGTGAAAAAAACAATTTACTAACAAATGAAAAAAAACCCAAACCTACCATGGGAAGTTCTTCATTCTTTCAAATACATAACCTGATACATGTACTTGTAAATCAATATCAATTGTGCGTTTTGCTAAACTTGTTTCACATAATCCAATTACAGGTTGATTATCAGAAAACATAAGTGTATGCTGAATTTCATCAAATTTACTTTTAATTCTATTTACATCATGTGAACACGCACATCCTTATGCCTTTATACATGTATTTACAAAAATCATATGTTTCAAAAATATTATCATTAGGCATGTTAGGGTCTATTTGTTTTCTTGTCAACAATGGTCAATCATGAATGGATGGTTTTCACCATACAGACAAAAATCTATGTGTATTACTAAAGTTTGTTGACGAGGATAGCCAGTTTTCCTGTTGAAGGTCAGTGGTTCTCTCTGGGTATCCAGCTTCCTTCACCAACAAAATCCTGAAATTTTCAGAACCTTACCCAAAACTTTGTATGGTTTTTTATTTGGACTTGAACATGACAAAAGTAGAGTATACATGGTATATATCTGTACATGGTTTAATTTTAATTTTTTTTATTGGTGTTCAGTACTTGCAGTTGACTATTAAATGTTTTGCTGGAAACATAATTTGGTCTTGAATATAGATTATCAATTCAAGATTGGAATTGATTTTTAAAAATTTTTGTCCGGAAAAAATCTTTTTTTATTTATCTTTACAGTTTAGAGTTACTTCAAATGATGAAGAAAAATTTGATAATGAAGCTTGGATTCAACAGTTCAGCAGCAAAAGTTCCAATGAAGAAGCGCCTGTTTTAGTTCCAGTGGACAAAGCATTAAAAAGGACAAATCCAATTTCCAAGTAACTAGATAGTTAAATAATCAAAATTCTGCTAATGTACATGTAGTATGGATACTGATGTTATTATTTACCATGCTTAGGTCAATGAAGTAGTTTATATAGTAGTTCTTATTTTTTGTGCTCTGATGGAAAGTTAAGCTTATAAAAAAAAATTAGAGAATCTAGAAGGTCCTTACTGACTTACTACTCGTACAAATTTAATGAGAAATTTGAGAGAGCTTTTAAACGAATAATTACATTGTACATCTCTTACACCATAGACATGTATTGTTAAGTTCTTAAGACTTTTATCTAAGCACACCCCTCTACAATTTTCAGTGGTATAACCCTGAACTATTCAAGAGTTACCATGGTTACTGGTTTGATTATTTATATTCTACAACACTCCTTTCTGTACAAACACAAATCAAATCTGTAACCGGACTGTATTGTCACAAATAAAGATTGAAATTAAACAAAGTGAATTTAGATGATTAAATGATGTATTCAGTAGCTACTGATCCATCAAATCTTAAGAATATTGAAACAAGTTTTATAAAGAGAAAAGTAATTTATTAGAAATGAACATATAAATGTACAAATAAAACACCTCCAGTCAGGGGTAAAACTTTTACAAGTGTCTTTTATTAACTGATTCGGGTAAATATTTTGGAGGTAAAATGATCTCCCTTGGTCATTCAGATTTAAAAAAAAAACTTATACAAATATCATAAGAAAGTAATAATTTCTTTTTTTTTCTTGAATTTCTCTTGACTTCATTTCTCTGGAGTGTTTAATTGTCTGTCTTTAATGGATTTCTTTACTTTTCTGATTCATAAAACTATAATTTCATGGACAATGAACAGTTCATTTGTCTGTTCTAAACAAAATACTGCCTATTTTCAAGCCTTCAGGGAGATATTTTTGAAGGGCACTCACAGTCGCTTAACATCTGAATACATTAGATTTCTTTGTATAGTTCATCAGATGAGAAGTTGAAGTCATCTTAAAAATAGTAACCTGAAAAAAATGTTGGAGAAATGTTTTAACTTCCCAGAACTTGAGAAAGGGTTTGTAAATAATTGCTTTTTATGAGAACATTTTTGTAGAATCATGAGTGGAGATTTTTCAAACCTTGAAAAGAAAATTAGATTCTGACAAAATATTACATCTTCATTAAGTTCAAGAATATAAAAGAAACTTATATAAGTATCACCACTGACTGACTGCAGGCTCAAGTTTTAAGTCGTTATACCACTTTTCGAAAGAGGTGAAGGTTGTAGTTTGGAGGGAATAGAAAACAAAAGTTGACAAATGGTTATACTGTATATAGATATAAGAAGATGTGGTATGAGTGCCAATGAGACAATCTTCCATCCAAGTCAATCAACATGTGAAAGCTCTCTCACAGGCAAACAACCCATAATTGAAAAATATAAAGGCATACACCACAAGCACGGCACAAGCAACAAACCCTGCAGTAAATAGATATAAGAAGATGTGTGTGTATGTGTATGATATAGAATGGAATTTGTTTTTTGACATATTAAGAGTTTGTCAGGGGTGTAGCTGCTGTTAGGCACGTGCCTACACATAATTTTTTCACAAATATTTTTTTTATAAAAAAAAATAATAAACAATGTTATCTGTAGATGCATGTGAAGTCGTCAAAACTATGTCTTTTGTACACTAGTCCATTATCCTTAGTGAATCAGTGGAGTATTGGAACTGTATGTCCACCTTATATAGAAACTAAAAACTAGAACTTTGGTTTAGATCATTTCACTTCTATCAACAAATACTTGCTTGAATGAACCTCAACTTAGATAAATGATTTTTTTTTAATTAGTTGTTGTTGGCCCAAGTTCAATCCAATGCCTAGTGTAGAGAGAATGCCACGCTCTCTGCACGTTAAGAAACTTGCAACAACTCTGGGAGGGGTTCGTAGGTCGTCTTCTGGAAGGCAAATTTCTGTTCCTATCCAATAAACCCTCATTTTCCAATGCATGGCATTTCCAAAATTCCAGACCTTCATCCTGGATGACCCCTATTTGTTTTAGTCCTGAACATGCATGAACTATTTGCCACTGGACGTTTAGCAATCAATCAATCAATCAGCTAGCTTTCAGTAACTTCAAGAACTCTCAGATCTACGTGTAATGACCATAATTATTCAAATCCTAAGCAGGTAGGGATTTTACAGTACAGGATATAAGGAAATGTGAATTTCTTGAATTTTGTTAGATAGTATGAACAGAACAGAGCTTCTGCATGACGTATCGACTGTGTGTGTGTTTGTGTGGCCGGGGGAGGATGATGGTTTAAGAACCAAAAGATGAATGGTCGATATGTAGTCCAAGAGTTAGTATTATTATGTAGTACATGTAGTAGTCTCAATGTTTACGTGCCTATTTTTTTTTAATGTAGGATCGTCAATGTGTACTATCAATTGACGTATATATCAATTATACTCAATCAGAAACAGGTTGTGCTGCTTAATATAATAATGTATTACAGTATTGTTAATGTATTACAGTATTGTTAATGTATTACAGTATTGTTAATGTATTACAGTTGGGAAGAAGTTGTAGAACAACACTTTGCCATTCAGCTACCTAAAAAGAAATTAGATATAATGGCTGCTGATGAAGAAGCTGTAGATAAATTAAGACAAGTTCCTGCCAATTGGTCTATAGAATGTGAAGAAGCCTTAGTTCGTTTAATGTCACAACATATACCTCCAGAAAATGATCATCTAGGAAGCATCAAAAACTATGTAGAGGCTGTTGAAGTTTCTTCATGCTGTGTGAGTAAAAAGTCCCCCAATCTCCTCTCTTACTCAACTGTGAGAGTAAAAAGCCCCCAATCTCCTCTCTTACTCAACTGTGTGAGTAAAAAGTCCCCAATCTCCTCTCTTGCTCAACTGTGTGAGTAAAAAGCCCTCAATCTCCTCTCTTACTCAACTGTGTGAGTAAAAAGTCCCCCAATCTCCTCTCTTGCTCAACTGTGTGAGTAAAAAGTCCTCTAATCTCTCTTACTCAACTGTGTGAGTAAAAAGCCCCCGATCTCCTCTCTTACCCAACTGTGTGAGTAAAAAGCCCTGAATCTCCTCTCTTGCTCAACTGTGTAATAAAAAGTCCCCCAATCTCTCTTACTCAACTGTGTGAGTAAAAAGTCCCCCAATCTCCTCTCTTACTCAACTGTGTGAGTAAAAAGTCCCCCAATCTCTCTTACTCAACTGAACAAAATGGTCAGTGCATGCTATTGTCATTTGGATCCTGTTGTTATATTTTAAGATCTTATCCTCTAAATTTTGTGCTTGAATCATCATCTGTTTGTGTACTTTTTATGCTCCATTTATGGGCATTATGTTTTTTCGGTCTGTGCGTCCGTTTGTTCGTCCGTTCGTCCGTCTGTCCCGCTTCTGGTTAAAACTTTTGGTTAAAGTTTTTGGTCAAGGTAGTTTTTGATGAAGTTGAAGTCCAATCAACTTGAAACTTAGTACACATGTTCCCTATGATGATCTTTCTAATTTTAATGCCAAATTAGAGTTTTGACCCCAATTTCATGGTCCACTGAACATAGAAAATGATAGTGCGAGTGGGGCATCGGTGTACTATGGACACATTCTTGTTAAGTAATAGTTCATTGCCTTTTTAACTCAACCAATGTCTTAGTAAAAACCATAAAAATCCTATGAAATGCCAGTTTTATTATCAAAGCTTAGGAAAATAATGAGGACAACTGTTCAGATTAAATATGTAATGTTTTCAATGTATCATGAATAATATTAATGCAGGTCTGTACGACTAAGTTGACTTTTTAAAACAAAATATTACAGGATGAATCTACTGGTTCTTCTCCTCTGACTGATGGGGATCCAGATACTTACTGGGAAAGTGATGGTAGTGCTGGAAGACACTGGATAGACCTCAAAATGAAGAAAGGTGCTGTGATATCGTAAGTATTAGATATAAAACAAAGAAAGGTGCTGTGATATTGTGAGTATTAGATCTAAATTGAAGAAACAGTCAGGGGACTTACTTATATGAGTGATTAATAAATTACTGATTCAAGTAACATTTTTCCAGAAATGTTGTAAGTCAGAGTTGACTTTCTTTAATAATCACCTATAAGTAGTACAAATAAATCACTAGACTAAGTGATTTAATTTTATTGCAGCTTTAAATATATAATACTAATGATCCAGGGACTAATTATGTTGCTAAAATTATCAGAACCAACATCTGTGTTTATATGATGACCAGTCATGTCAGGTGATGACCTTGTACTGAATCTGGGATAATGACATGAAAATCACTTGTTTAAGTATCATACCTCTAGTTTCTTACAAAAATCACTTCTTTAAGTATAATTATTCTAATTACCCCCACTAATTTCAACACCCCCGAACAGTGAAATATTGGTCGCTAACAGTAAAATTTTATTACATAATCTGTAAGATGAAACTTTGAATTTTACAGGAAAAATACTCCCACTGCTGGGAAAAATCTGTTAAGAAAGTATTAAATCGTTATGTAAAGCTTCATTATAGCATATTTTTCAACAAATATAGGATTTACAGATGAATGATTGCATCAAAGGCATAACCCTTGCTACTTAAAAGAAGCAAAAGGTTCATTTTTTTCAATTTTACTAAAAATTAGATATAATCTTAATCTGCATGTTTCAAATTTTGGTAAAACTACAAAATCACAGAATTTCTAAATTACCGGTACTACTTAAATGAGTGATTAATAAATCACTTATTTTAGTAATTCCCGTGACTGAGAAAGGTGCTGTGATATCATTAGTATTAGATCTAAAATGAAGAATTGTGCTGTTTTATCTTAAGTATGAGACACAAAATCATGAAAATGGAGAACAGAGATATCATATTATTAATAAGAGATAACAAGGATCAAATAAATGTAATACAGTGAATGTGTTACCTCCAAAATATGTTTTAAAAGATTTTGATTTGAAAATAAACTTCTGATATCCTGACAAAGAATAAAAAAAAACTTGTAGAATTATGTTGATTTTGTTGATAAACAAATAGGATGATAAAATTCGCACACTTTAGTGCAGAAATGTCATTCATTTGTCACTGAGATTTAAGGGCATAAGATACAGTAATGAGAGATAATAACGTCCCTAACGCTAAATGCTAATTTTCGCGACGTAAAACAGTGACATATTCGGAAAAGATGCATTTCTCGACTCATTTTAATCATTAGCTTGAAAACGAGTGCATTGACCCCTAGTTTTTAAAATGACATTTGGCTTTATTATGCATGAAGATTATTTGTACCAATTTTTACGAACAAATCACAGATGGAATTTTTATTCCCCTGCCACAGCAGAGGGGAAATTAAGTGTTACCCTTGTCCGTCTGTCCGTCCGTCCGTACATGTATACGTCTTGTAATTAATTTCCATTCTCTAACTTTAGTTTGCCTCATCCAAATGTTATGAAACTTTTACACAATGTTTATTGCCACAAAACTCTGATCGAGTTCGAATTTGGGTGGCGTCACTATTATCGTTCTTGAGTTATGCCCCTTTATAACGTAATTTTCAAGCAGGGGCATCGGACACATTCACCATTTATCATTTTTATTAAAAATTAGAAAAAATGTTGTTTCTGTCTCGCCTTTGACTATCGTCGCAGTATGCCAGACATAGGTATTACTATCCAGCGGCGGCGGCTAAACTATTTGTATCAAGCTTTATATTTCAGAAGGTAGAAGACCTGGATGCTTCATATCTTGTATGCAGATACCTTATGTTAGGAAGTTTCCGTCAATCATATGTCCATTGTCCTTGACCTTATTTTCATGGTTCAGCGACTGCTTGAAAAAAAAATTGAGTTTTTTTGTCATGTGAATTTCTTACTTATTATTAGTAATAGGATAACTATATTTGGTATATGGGTTCCTTGCAATGTCTACATGTGTGTCAGATAGAGTTTGCCTGACCTCGACCTCATTCCTTGGGTCAGTGATCAAGGTTAAAGTTACATCTTGGGTCAGTGATCAAGGCTAAAGTTACATGATTAGGTCTGTTTCTAAAATACTATAAGCAGTAGGTCAACTGTATTTGGTGTATGGAATGATTGTAATGGGTACATGTCAGCCTGGCAGGTTTCATCTGACCTTGACCTCATTTTCATGGTTTATTGGTCAATGTTAATTTTTTGTGTTTTTGTCTGTTTTTCAAGTATTATAAGCAATAGGTCAACTTTATTTGGTGTATGGAATGATTGTAAGGTGTACATGTACATCAGGGGTTTCATTATTTTTTTAGACTGGAGGTACCTTTGAGATTATAGGGGGAACCAAACCCAAATGGCGAGGGGTCTGGGGGCCGCTTAAGGATTTTAGGAATTTCAGCCTTAATTTTTTACTTAAAAAAATAGGGTAAAGTCTGTAATATTTGCTTTAATTTTGGGTAAGTTAACATTGAATTGTTTTTTTTTCTAGAGTAATTATCTGAAAATACATTGCTTATAATTATTTTGTAATCAGTTATAAAATATGTATGACCATGGAAGTATAAATATAACACAATATAATGCAGGGGTTTCATGTGAAATGTTGTTAAAATGTTTTGTTTGTTTTTATACTTTAGTCTTTTATTAAATGTTTTGCATTTGTTCAATTTTGTGAATGAAATTTCATAAGTTACATAGTATATTATTAAAAAGAATTGATAATAAAACTTGTTGTAACTTTTTTGTATTGCTTTGTTATAATCATAACTGTGTCAATTGTTTGTGTAAGTAATTAGTGTCATATATCGTGAATCTGTCAGACTGGCACCTGTAGAGTAAATATTACTTTTTTTTTCAAAAATGAAATAAAACAATTAAATATTATCTTCACTTTAAATTTTCCGTGTTAATTCAGATTGTTTCACAAAGTCTTACACTAAAAATTTCAATCACAACATAGAACACATATCCAGAAAACGGAGATCAGTGACAAAGTCCAACGGGAAACGAACTGATTTGATACGATTAACGATTTTCTGAATTTCATAGAATGTTCACCTTCATTAAACCTTTTATTCATAAAATAATCTGTTTTCCTTTTATTAGACATAATATTGCTGTTGTTGTTTAAATTCATCAACAATTTGCCGCTTGAAAATATACTGCTAAATCGTCGCATTTTAAAGCGCTCTTACGATAATGATACAGACACATGGTTTATAATTATTACTTCTCCTACTTTGGAGGTGTGCCTAAATTGGCAATAGATAGATCTATACTTTAACACGGACCTCGACGAAGACACCTATAAACATACACATGAACGGTGTAGGATGGAGATTATCAAGGAAAGAAAGAAATTAGATTTGAACGATCTTCAAAAGAATTTTACACATTTTTTTTTTGTATTTTTATTTTTTCTGCCGGTACCAGACGCTTCCGTAGGCGGTTAAAAGTACCGGGTACCGGGTCTTAATGAATGCACTGGTACATGTCTGCCTGGCAGGTATCATCTGACCTTGACCTCATTTTTATGGTTCAATTGTCAACTTTAAGTTTTTGTGTTTTGGTCTGTTTTTCAAATACTAATAGCAATAGGTCAGCTATAATTGGTGTATTGGATAATTGTAAGGTGCACATGTCTGTATGGCAGGTTTATTCTAACCTTGACCTCGTTTTCATGGTTATTGGTCATGCTAAGTTTTTGTGGTTTGGTCTGTTTTTCAATTAGCATACGAATAGGTCAACTATATTTGGTGTATAAAAAAATTGTAAGGTGTATATGTCTCTCTGACATGATTTATTTGACCATTGCCTTAATTGTCATAGATCTTTAACAGTGATAACTTTCTGTATGCTTTTAGTAAAACCTTTATCTTAAGACTTTCAACATAAAATCAATGGCCAGTAAAGCAGGCGAGACATTTCAGCGTGTGCACTCTTGTTTATCTAAAATCATGAAAGTTAATAAAAATGAATTATTTTCAAAGAATTGTTGCTCAAATTTAGAGCATACTTTTGTAAATAAGATATTCCAAATGTTTTTACAAAAATCCTTTTGTGTTTATCTTTTGAAACAAAAAAGTTAGGTATGTCTATCCAATATAATGGATGGAAATATAAGAAAAAATGCAATTTTTGAATAAATGTCTAAAATTTTAACCTCATTAATTCTAAAAGTAGCACATGAAGATATGTTTTTTATTACATATTTGAATTGACTAGGTTAAAAATAACTTGTATGCAAAATTTTCGTAAAAAAATCACCTTGGGATCAAAACTGTATCGTATGCCCTTAATAAACATCTCATAGTTTACCAAAAATTGTTATTTTACAAATAATATGATATTACGGTTGATAAAATCTATGTCATCAGATATTAAATTAGGAATAATTGGTAAAAAGACGTAAGTACTTCTGACATCCGGGGGCAAATATCAAATAAAACTGGTAAAACTATGTTAATTTTGTTGATAAAACATAAAGAATGTCAGATAACATTTGAAAATTTTAGTGCAGAATTGTCATGTTATGTGACTGTGATATAATAGACCTCTAATAATCTACCCAAAAATGATAACCAACACCACAACCATCACGGCTTCCTCTCATACTGAAACTGGATATATATATATATATACATAAAGGGAATAAATTAATAACACCATCTACATTATATTTAACTGGCAAAAAGTTATAGAATATTATGTTGTATTACAGAGAATTGAAGGTAACCTTAGACGGTTCTGATGACAACTATCTCCCACGGAAGCTTGTAGTGGAGGGCGGAGAACCAAATAATTTTACTGTGTTGAATACCGTTAATATTACTTGGTATGTACAGGTTTAAATTCTTATTATTTTATTCCCAATGTGATTAATGGCTGTAGAATGGGACACTAACATACATACATCAGACCGTTGGTTTTCTTATATTTTGACATGTCTGGGCTTTTTAAAGTTGACTATACAGCATGTATAGTATAAGTTTTGCTCATTGTTGAAGACCATACAGTAACCTATAGTTTCTTACCTCTATGTCATTTGGACTCCAGTGGATTGTTGTTTCATTGGAAATCAAACCACATCTTTTTTTTTTATTGATAGATTATCAATGGTTTTTCAAACGAGAGGGTTTCTCAGCTACAATCTCATCAATGAGCAAAAGCCCTGAGATGAGATGTGGCAGAGAAACATCCTTGAGTTTGAAAGTCCATTGATAATATGTTTATCGCTATTTTGCCTATGATGTTGTTGATGTTTACGCCACTTGCATCCTTAGTTTCTAGTGATAATTTTCTATTTCAAGCTAGTAGCATGAAAAAAGATCAAAAAAATACACAAAATAGCAATACATAAATTTATATAGCAGACAGGACATAGATTTTTACATAAAGTTCAATGAAAAGTAGAAGATCTAGATAATCTATATTTTGCGAGATTCCTTATGCTATGATTTTATGTTTTGTTTATATGAGTAGACCTTGACCTCATTTTCATGGACCAGTGACTGCATATAAAAGTATTGGTTTTTGCCTTGACTGCTATGTGAGCTTGCTCACTAAAGATTCTTAAAGAATTGAAAGGTAGGTTAAACTCTTGGTTTATTTTAATGTTTGTTTTTTTCAATATGAAGAAAATAAGTGATAAGTTGTAATAATTTTTTGTAGGGAAATTTCTGATGTGGAAGACATACTATTGTTAGAAAATTCCACAGAACATTATCCCTATATCATGATAAGAATCAAAGAATGCAAATGTGAGTATACTTGTAAGTAAATCTTTAGACAAAGGGATAGTTCTACACAATTTTCTCATATTATAATATTAGATTCCTTGATTATGATGGAAGCTGTTTCATTTTGTGTTTAGTAGTATAATATTATTGATTCACAGTAAAAGTAGCATAGTGTCATAGGTATTATGTAAAGTTTTATATTACTTGATTTACAAAATAAGATATCTTTAGGTGACTGTAAATTTTGCACATAGAACAAAATATACACATCTTGTCAATTTCCTAATTCTGTATTCATAAACACTGGGCATAGCCAGTTGGATTATTTTATAATAAACTTCTCTCCTGATGATAACATTGCTCTTGTGTGTAAATTCCTCCATATCCATTATGAACATTGTGCTAAACATTTTTCATTACTTCAATAAAGGAACGGATTGTACCACTTTAGCCTGTTGACTCACATGTGACTACATTATGGACTCACCCAAGATAGATGATTATATTCTAATTTTAAAAATGCTCTGTTCACCTCACATATTAAAGTTTGATTTGCCTACTGGATCAATATTGTAGTCAAAATGGAAGCATGGTAGAATCTATATATCTATATGGATTTAAAGAATCAGGTAAATCATTTTGAATGTGTATAAGAAAAAAAGATAAAGAAATGTTTTAATGTTTGAAGTACTGTTTTATAGCCGGTGGTATAGATACACGTATCAGAGAAATAAAGATCACAGCATCAGAAGGAAGGTATATGGGATTTGATATGGACGTATTTAAGAAGGATAACTTAGTCAGATTTCCTAAGTTAGAATCATACACCTCGGAGCAGTTATATAGAAGATCTATTGTTATACAGAGGTACAAATCTAATCTATATCAGTTATACAGTCAACTCCACTTAATCCCATACCAGTTAATTGCATAATTCGGTTAATTGCATAAGGGATCATAGATTTATTCTTATGAGGAAGCTCCGAGCATGCTCGGAGGATGCTCGGAGCTTTTTAAGTAGGCTCTTCTCAGCAGTTAATGTGACAATAATTATCATGATCCATTAAAATGTCAATCAAATCTACACCACTTCTATGATAAGGAAAGTAGAGCATTATAGAGGATGCTCCATAAACACCTGTGTAAACATCTGGTCTATTCTAATACATTTTGCATTAAATTTTACAAAACTATAAAATAGATTAGAAATTCTTCAACAGTGCTGTGTAATGCTTAGAAAGAAATCTCAAGTCTCCACAAAAAGTAAAAGTCATTTAAATATTTTCTTATTATATTTAATAATCATTCCGTTTTTTATAATAAAAAAATTCTCAATTTTTATAATTAGATGATATGATTTAAAAATAGTTTATATTATATAATATGCTACATAAAAGTTATCAAGACACAATCAACAGTCAGGTGGTGATACTAAACAAGTAATTTTTTTTAGTCACTTTTATAAATATTTTTTGTTTTTAAAAATTATTTAATAACTCAATAGTTATTTTAAACGACAAATAAAGCATGGACTAAATGTAGTTTTCAAGAATTTTTATATCATTTCATTAAATAAAATTAAGTATTTATCCAATTTTAGATGAGTATAGAGAGGTTACTTTAAAAAATAATGACAAAAATATTACTTTAATAAATTATTTTATACAACTTCAAAAAACTTAGTACTTACAATTATTTAAGGAATATATGTAATTGCTTTCGATTAAGATTCAAATTATAAATAACTTCAAGTCTTAATTAAAGGTTCCATATCTAGTTATAACTGTCTATCCCTAAGATTTTAAGGGGAAATGATATTATAATAGCCCCAAGAGGCCAATCTTTGACCAAGAAGTGTGGCATCAGAAAAGCAATTAGTGCTTGTTGAGGATTTAAATAGCTTTACCAGTATATTTCATGGGGAAAATAACCAGATGTCTGTGAAAATTTGTTAAAGCTAGTAAAACCTGTATGAATAATAACCAGATGTCTGTGAAAATTTGTTAAAGCTAGTAAAACCTGTATGAATAAACACCTATAAAAATAATATTAACAGAAGTTACTTATTCATGATATAGAAGTAATATTTGAAACAGCCTTGTTTTCAACATAACTTGTATAGGTAATTTTGAAAATTACTTGTTTAAGTAATGCCCCTAACTAAACAATGGTAATATGTTTTTTTTAAATAGCAAACTAAGTTCTTTTATAGAAAATTATGGCTACTTTAAGAAAAGTTTTAATTCATTAGTGGATGCCTGGTTTGAGGGGGTAATACCACCATTGTTTTCCCTCTAGTACGTCTCTCTTTACTTGTCATTTTTTTTTAATTGTGCAGATTTAGCTTTGTTTTAAATAAAGAAATACTTGGCATGAGTAAAATTATTTTCCCCCTATAAGTCTTTGTTTAATTGTCATGATTGTTATATTTCAAAAAAAATGTGCAGAATTTATCTATGTTTTAAATAAAGAAATACTTGACATAAATAAATGTCCTGTACTACAGTGAAAATATAGCATAGCTTTTCAGTGCATATAAGAAAGTAAACATCACCAGAAGTTAACCAATCAAATTCTCTACCCCTTTTTTCCCTGTAGAATATAATATATTTTTATTGCTTTGAAACACCCAAGAAACATGTTTGCGTCTAAAAAAAACTTTTCTGCAATGAAATGGAGGATTTATTTCAAACAACTGTCAAATTAAATGGAATATAAAAAAAGATCAACCCTTTTTCGTATGAAACTGAATGTACTATGTTTTGGTAGTATGGTTATAAATCAATAACCATAGTTTGTGTCTTTGATGACTTTTATATTTCATTTTATAAAGTATAAATTTAAAATATATTAATATTTCAAATATAAAATTTGAGTGTTTTTTTATATCATGTGTATTGAAAAAGAATGATAATTATTAAGAAAATGTTTTGAAATCATTTTCTTTCTGTGAAGACTGGATACCAAGCATTGTACAGTAATATTGAAGAATTTCTCATCTATTTTATAGTTTTGTAAAATTAATGCAAGATTTGTTTGAATAGACCAGATGTTTACACAGGTGTTAATGGAGCTTCCTCTATAATGCTCTACTTTCCTTATTATAAAAGTGCTATAGATTTGATTGACATCTTAATGGATCATGATAATTATTGTCACATAAACTGCTGAGAAGAGCCTACTGAAAAAGCACGGAGCTTCCTCGTAGGAATAAATCTATGATACCTAATTTTCTCCAGCACAAAACCATTTCCTATTCATCAATGTTAAAAAAATTTGGTTATCTGCATAGCCTAATAAGTGGCCTTTTGGTTAATTGCATAGAAAATAATCCCAAGCTAGATATGCTTAGTTAAAACTGACAAGTTTTTTTACAACCGCAAAAAAATTTTGCGGTCATATATTGGTATGACGTTGGCGTCGTTGTCTTTGTCGTCGTCGTTGTCCGAAGACACATTAGTTTTCGCAGTCTAACTTTAGTTTAAGTGAATGGATCTCTATGAAATTTTACCATAAGGTTCAATACCACAAAAGGAAGGTGGGGATTGCTTTTGGGGGTTATGGTACTAACAGTTAAGAAATTAGGGGCCAAAAAGGGGCCAAAAATAAGCATTTTTGTAACTTCCAGACATAACTTGTGTGTTAGTATATGGATCTCTCTGACATTGTACCACAAGGTTCCATATCACAAAGGGAATGCTGGGATTGATTTTGGGGGTAATTGCCTCCAAATTTTAGGAATTAGGGGCCAAAAAGGGGCAAAAAACAAGCATTTTTCTAGTTTCGTGACAATAACTTGTGTGTAAGTGTATGGATCTTTATGAAATTGTACTACAAGGTTCTATATCACAAAGGGAAAGCTGGAATTGAGTTTGGGGGTAATTGCTCAAAACGTTTAGGAATAAGGGGCCAAAAATAAGCATTTTTCTAGTTACCAGACAATAACTTGTGTTCAAGTGTATTGATCTCTCTGAAATTGTACTGCAAGGTACCATACCACAATGCTGGGATTGATTTTGGGGGTAATTGCCTCAAATTTTTAGGAATTAGGGGCCATAAAGGGGCAAAAAAACAAGCATTTTTCTAGTTTCAGGACAATAATTTTTGTGTAAGTATATGGATCTTTATGAAATTGTACTGCAAGGTTCCATATCACAAAGAGAAAGCTGGGTTTGAGTTTGGGGGTAATTGCCCTAAACGTTTAGGAATTTGGGGCCAAAAAGGGGCCAAAATACAAGCATTCTTCTAGTTTCCAGACAATAACTTGTGTTCAAGTGTATGGATCTCTCTGAAATTGTACTGCAAGGTACCATACCACAAAGGGAAGGCTGGGATTGAGTTTGGGGGTAATGAATCATAAGGGGGTTCAAAAAATTTGTGGGGGGGGATTTTTTTTTCCTTTTTTTTCTTTAAAATTTTCCATTTTAAATTTGTTATTTCTGATTTATATATAAAAGCAAATAATAATGATATGGTTTGAATAGGTAAATTAAAAAAATTTAAGTTCTTAGACCACATTCATTCTGTGTCAGAAACCTATGCTGTGTCAAATATTTAATTACAATCCAAATTCAGTGCTGTATCAAGCTTGAATGTTGTGTCCATACTTGCCCCAACTGTTCAGGGTTCGACATCTGCGGTCGTATCAAGCTGCGCCCAAGCGGAGCATTTTATTTTTAACGGAAATGGCAATTTGGTAAGAAAATTTTTCTTGAATGCATTCTTATTTTCGTTCTGTTACCAAGGAAGAAAGGCAAAGTTTGAATTTGAAAATTACAGAGAATTTTACATACATACAATTTAAGAATTACAAAGTTGGAATTATGTCGCCTTTGGCTTTCCATAACAACTGCACTGAAGCACATTTATCAGCTTGAACAGATTATTGATTGAAAGTTGAATATTAAAACATACAAAAAATCAAAATAAGTTTGAAGTTTACTGGTGCAGTAAAATTGGTACCGCTAAAGTTATTATGCAAATATTTAGAACTTACAAATTACAAAAAAATTAGTAATATCAAAGCAATGCAAAAAAAAAAGAAGAAAAAGAAAAAAAACTTAAAATTAAATATTACCTAAATATTTAGCTAATACAATTAACAAAACTCAGATAACTGTATTGGCAGTTAGTAAGAATATTGACTCATTTCCAATATACAACAATTAAAACAGGAAATTGAATTAACTTTAGAATTTCCGAATAAAAAGCATTTTATTTGAACATTTAGAATTTAGTTAATTTTAAAAGTAGTATTCAATGTATAGAGCTGGAATTAAATTGGCTGTGGAATACAATTTAATTGTAACTCTGATTTTGAATTTATTAAAATAAAATGTCAATAAACAAAAAGATAATTCCTCACTAAAATATTACATCATTTACATTCATACTCACAATTGGGAAACTTATACAATTTCTACCATTTCATTGTACTGTTGTGTCATCTAATGTCTAAAACGCAATTTATTAAAATTTCTAAAATTATATGTTAGTGCTTACATCACTAAGATTAATCCATAAATGAAATGCCCAAAGTAGGAGTCATGCATATAAATTATAAACATTGCACTGACAATGAAACAAATTCTTGATTAAAACAAATCAAGAGATCATTTGAGCCTTGAGCATTTTTACAATATTCTAAGTTTGTAAGAGAATGATCATCCCTTTCTTCATAAGTACTCTCTATCCCTCGTCCTTAATCATGAAGAAAGGGATTATCATTCTCTTACATTTAGGAAGATTTTTTATATGTCAAACATTTATTTTTTGTAATTGTTGAAAAGTGTATTTACTTCTCATTCTTATATTTTTTTATGCTCAACACTCACGTCAAGCCAACAACCTGTAAAGGGCCTCCTTACTTCTTTGTATATATAAAAACTATTGAGATCAAAGAAACAGAGTTAAAACGCTGTGCAAGCGGTATATACTGCACATCAAAGGCACTACAATACACTTTTAATATCAAAAAGATAATAAACTGTGTAGTATTCTAGAACAGTTTTCTTATCCAAAATCATAGGGGTCACAGAAACAAACCTATTTATAGAACTATTGGTTCTATTTTTATATCCCAGGTAAAGGAAATGTCGGTACACAACAACAAAAAAACAAAATGTGTTTATAAACTTAAGCATGATCAAAAACACATTTCAGCGTGTCCATTGTAGTTTCAGAGTATTACATATATGACATCAGACATTGGGCATGTGGATCATAGATCTTTATTTTCTTCGGGGATTTCCTTTACTCTTGGCCTTGCCTGACTACAGAATTTTGCATTTAGGAAAAATCATACTCGGATTAATTGCATAATTTTGTCTGACTAATAGGCTATGCAAATAACCGGAATCGACTGTGTATTCATGAAATTGATCTTTTTATACAGTTAACATATCTGCAATAGGTATACAAGGTTGATACACCTTATCGCTATTTGGTCCAATCCGGAAAAAAACAGTCACTTAGACAACTTCCTGTTTGGGTCAAGTGACGCAAGAACAAAGGTCATCAGTAATGAGCTGAGGGCAGAAAATGTGTAGAAAGTGAACATTTTGAAATTTGTATAGTTTATGATCCAATTTTTTAAACACAAATAAAAGTCAGAAAAAAGGTTTGTTTGAAGTGTTTACAATGGTTTAAACATAACTCTTTGAAAATTTTTTATGCACAGTACATTGTTTGAACAGTGCCCCAGATAGCGTCAACTGGTTTGAAAGAGTTGTGTAATTTTAGAACTTTTCCGGATTGGAATAAATAGTGATAAGGTGTATTGTTGATACCATGTATGATATTGAAAAAGCCATGTGATATATATAGATTCTACCACTACATCGAGTGTGATACGATATTTATCCACTCGAGACAGTTAAATTTTCAAATTTAAAACGCGAGGCTTGCCGAGCGTTTTAGATATTTAAAATTTAACTGTCGAGAGTGGATAAATATCGTATTACACGAGATTTAGTGGTGGAATCTGTTTCTCTAATGATTTTCAAACAATATGCAGGCAAACTTATTCCTTCTTTTTGAATGATCTGCAAAAAGATGTGTTCTTTCTTTGTGACGTCATCAGGCATGGTCGCCTTTTTTCATGCCGTCACAATAGGAAATTCAGAGGAAAGCAAGAAAATTCGACGTCATAATCGGATTTTAACCAATGAAGAACTGAGATCAAACGAACCACACATTGATTAAATTTTTTTTATACAACGGGTGCAGAAAGGGATAAATTGACGAAGAATTGGAGAAATACTGATTATATACATTTACTTTAAACAGATGTTTTTCTGTTGTGGTTTGATAAAGCATGTGCAACTATGATTGCATCTATAGCATCACAATGACTGATACAGCACGATTGCCAATGATTGTGTTACACATCCACTTGACTACTTCTTACTACATAATAAACAGGATTTTGGCAGATATAAAAAAAAACAATTTCCTCTGAAATACAGCTAAATGTTTCAAATTATTTTTGTTTATCTATTTTCAGATTTATATCTATATTGGATAATGTACTTAAATATTTAGTTCCGTCCTGGAAATACTCAGTTGGTTCATACAGCTCATTAGAGGTAATTTTTAAGTCTCATTATAAAATAAAAAAAATTAGTCAATAACACAATAGGCAGTATTGACTTTTAGCTCTATCCAGATCTTTAACTAGTCCATTTATGTACAAGTTCAACAATGAACAACCAATAAATGCCAATTAGACAACTATCCAACAGAGTCCAATGGACATGGATGTAAGCAACTATAGGTCACCGTAAGGCCTTGAACAATAAGCAAAAACCATATGGTATATAGTGTAAAGTTTTCATAAACAGTCTGAGAAACTCATAACCTTGAATTATAAGTTTATTCAAAGGATTAATAAGTTTACATGAATTGTATCTAAATGTAGGAGATCTATAAACAACATCACTGTAATAAGAATTCTGCAAGTACAGCCAAACTTCCTCACCAAATCTTTGTATCTATGAAAGAATTTAGTCAAAGCTTTAATTTTTTGGTAATGAAATCCCTGACTTAATAATTTACCAGTAATACAATGTACATAAATTAAGTTCGTTGATATCTGAAAAGTGATTACAGAAATGTGAACAAGTTGTGAAATTTAAACACTGTAAGGAGGTGCCAAAGGCACATCACCGTCCAAAAACAAAAAATTAACAATAGGAAATAAAAAGTTGTTTCTTTTGTTGTAAATTCTTGTATCTAGTTTTCTGTGTAAAACTGAAATATCCCAATCTAGAATAGGACAAAATTCTTGCTGTATGTATTAGATTTATTTAAAGTAAATTCCTGTGGGTAAATTTCCACAGTAAAATTTTTAAAAGAGCCCCCCTTATTGCTGTTGAAATATAGGTGATTGAATGGGTAGAGTGCTCATTGTGGACATTCGGCATAGATCATTGTAGATTTAAGTTCAGCTATAAATGTTATTTAGAGATTCTAGTTGCAATCATCAAATCTTAACTTAAATAGTGGAATAAGTAGAATTGTAAGTTCATATTTTGAGAGAAATCACACCACATAAGGTCCTGATAGCTTGCTTATTCTTATAACCAGTTTATTACCTATAAAAAAGCTTGCTTATTCTTATGATGTTTTTATTACCTGGAAAAATAATTTCAATTTAAATATATTTTTTTTTCCAGTTTATACGCCAGCTTTTGCCTTTATCAAAGAAAAGAATGCATTTAATAGAAACATTTGTGAAAGAATCTGCTACAGAGTAAGTACAAATTGAGTTGTTAGATGTTTTATAATTGCTACCCAGGTAGTTGTTCATATTTGACTGATATTTCATAATTTTGAAATTATGGCCCTTTGATAATGCGAAAAATATTTCAACTTGTGGTTCAAGGTTACTAAGATCATTTATAGCAGCTTACAGAGATTAATTCCTGAAGGTTTTCTGTTGTATTCGCTATCAAAAACCAAGTTTTTTTTAAGTCCCAACCCATTTCCAGATACATATTCTGATTTTTTGTTTTTTGTTTTCCCTATTTTATATTTTTTATCTTTAGATGTTCATCAAAAGCGATTCTTCATTTAAAAAAACAATCGATCTGACCATTTGAGTCTTTCATCCATTGTTTTTGATAGAAGCAGATAGGAAACGGATGTTTGGTACATAAGTGTTTAGTAATGACTCTAAGATCCACTTTCCATTTCGATCTGGTTGACCAACTTTTTTGCTCATTAGTAAACAAGGTAATTTAAGATAGTAGTAACTCAAATAATTCAGTCTATGTATTATGGTATACCGTTGTCTGTCCGTCTGTTGTCAACATGTCGGACAATAACTCAAAAAACGCTTTCACCAATTTTCATGAAACTGGTGAATTGTTTATATCTATTGACATAAGCTCTCTTTTGATTTTTATTAATTTTATATTTTATGTTTCTGAGTTGTGAGATTTTATTCATAAAAAAAATGGGGGATTTTCCAGTTTTCTGACTGTAACTCAAAAATGCTTTGAACAATTTTCATGAAATTTTGGTGAATTATTTAAATATATTGACATAAGTTCCCTTTCGATTTTTAAAATTTTCTGATTTTACATTTTGGAGTATCTGGACTTTATTTTTAAAAAAGGGTGGATTTTCCAGTTTTCAGACAATAACTCTAAAACGCCTTGAGCAGTGCTCACAGTATTCTAGTTGATCATATAAGTTTCATTTAAAGCATAAAAACGAGTTAAAAAGAAAGACGGGCTTATCATGCGCTCATTCAAACTGTGAAAATTATTCACACTAGATTCATGGCATCAACAAACTTGTATTGACTGTTTTATCACATTTACTCCATGAATTTTCTTACTGTTTTTCTAAAAACGTTCAAGAACAATTTATCGAATGCAACAGATTAAAAATAAAATGATTTTAATGACTCAAAATGGTATATTTCACTTGAATTGCAAAGGATTCTTTTGATTTTGAAGATGAAATAAAAACTGGAAGTTTCACTTTAATACTAAAGTACGAGTGATTCAGTATTCATTTCAAGGATTCGATCTGTTTATCAAATTGACAGGAAATGACTGGATTTTTATAGCCCCGCCAACTTTGGTCAGGGGCACATAGTGTTACCCTTATCCGTCATTTTGTCATACCTTCATTCCCCAACGAACAGTTATACAGAATTTTTTTCTAAACGCCTTCACATATTGAGCTGATTTTTATCATGTGAGTCTACATGATGAGTTACAGATCGAGTTAACGTTTGGTTCCACTCCACTGTTTTTTGCAAAAATTACAGGCTTTGGATTTTTGAAAATTTTCACTCCTAAAAAATGGCTTCAGGTTTCTTTTGCGATTGGGGCCATTCGTTTCGTTCCAAATAAATTAAATCAAAAACACAGGTAAAAAGTGATTAGAGATCATTAGCCAATATTTCCTGGAGGCATTAATATGGTTATTAGGAGGGCCCTCAGGATAATCATACTATACTGTGTCAATTTTATTACCAGAAAAGAATTACAAAACATAAACAAATGCAAAATTAAGAAACCTGATTTCAATGAAATGACCGAAATTATTACAGGAAAAAAATTTTTTTTGACCTAAATCCCAATCTTCTGTTTAGGACAAATAGTGTTAAGATTCGGTCATGACTGGCAAATATGTACAAGTATTGTACATACACATTGTAATATTTTAACCTTTTCTTTTAATATTCATGTGTTTATAAATTATTATACAAGTGCCATTACATTTCAATTTTCCCTCTCACTTTAGACTCATATCTGCACATGAATCCATTAGCAATACAATTATAGGTGGAAGTATATGCACACATAAATTTGGTTCGATCCCCAACACATTTTGTTCCTTTATCAAGTCAGGGTATCTAGAGAGTATGTTGATTGCTGTGGTTTGTTTGTATGTCAGTTGTGTTTGCAGTGTGTTAATATGGTCTGATATATACTGTAAATTCAGAAATTACTGTGATTTTTGAAGAATTGACATAAATAGACAAAATGAGAGATTTATTGTTGCGATTTAGGGTGATTCCTTAATATGTATTATGTTATGAATAGATTGGTTGTTGATTTCAAAAGGAAAGAAATAATATTAGATTCCCTAGTGTATATTTCAAACAGAAGATAAATTGAATTTTGCCAGGTATGTGCCACTGAAATCACAAATAAAACCTGAAGATTCATTATGCTTAAAACTAAGACATCCAGGTTGATGCAAATTATCCTCTTCACTTATCAGTACTTTACTATCCTGTCCATCTTTTGATATTACTATTATTCTACCAGAGTCACAGTCTGCTACAATAGTGTTACCATAAGTATCTGTACAAAGTCCAAATGGTCCTGATAAATCTTGTTTATATTGCCAGATCTGTTTACCTGATCCATCTTCACAGCATACTGCTTTACCAAAAAAGTCACTATAGATTACTCTGTCATTACAGTAAACCAGGTACTTCAGGTCTGATTCACTCTGAACTTGTATTGACTTCAGCACATTGCCTTCCAAGTCTACAATACGGATTTCATTATTACTCAAACCTACAGCAAGAGAATTATTGGAGAATGATAAACCATAGCATGGTTTGTCTAATTTAATAAATTTGGTAACTATTTCATTCTCCATATTGAAGATCTTAATGGCTTTCTCATCAGTATAAGTTATGGCTATAGTGTTCTGATTGATCTGTGTGACACTCCAAGCTTTACCAGGTATAGGTAACTGTTTCTGTAGTTTGCCATCCGAAGTAAGTATGCGAACTTTGCCCCACCGTTCAACTTCTATAACTAATCCATCCACCAGACAAACCATGTCTGTAATATCTGCCTTTATGTTGATCTCTTTCTTTGTCTGAATATTCATTGTCATGTTGTTTATGTTGGATTGTTCACTTGATTGTAGTGCTTTCCTCCTGATGCTTGTATCTCTTTTCTTGTCTATTTCTGTTTTAACAATCATTACTTCTCCTAAAAATTCTAATGATCCTATCTGCTTTAGTGTCTTTTCTATTTCATTATTTTGGGTTATTTTGATGTCAAATTTTCTTGCCCTGTCATCATTTTCCAGATCTTCAACATATCGTTGACATTGATGTATTTGTTGTTCAATCTGATATACTCCTAGAAATGATTGCAGTTTTGAACTACTATGTGTTGCAACTGAATGTAAGTGGTCTTGCATTTTCTGTAAATTAGTCTTTTTTCCTTCAATTTCAGTTATAAATTCTATAGCTTTTGCTTTTTCCTGATCCCAGAGGTTGTCTGCTTCTTGTTGTAATGTCTTCTCCAGTTGATCCAAATGTTTATTTATTTCATTCCGTATTTTAACAATCGATTTCTTTATGTCTTCACATTGTTGTTCTCCTGTTTTGATGTTTATTGATTTATTATTTACCATTTTATCAAAGAGATGTAATATGGACTTGATATCTTTATCTAAAGATTCCTTGGATTTTTCAATTTTGGTTTTCTCCACCAAACTTGCTAAACTTTTTATTCCAGTACATTTTGAATGACTAGTGGAAATACATTCTTCACAGCAAGGCATTAAATGACTTGGACAGTAAAAGTTAAGCTGTTGACCATGTTTGTCACATTCTGTTTTGATAGCTTGGATAGATTTATAACTTTTAATATCTATGGTATTATGATCATGAGATGCTTTAGATCTTTTGTGATGACCAGAACATATTGAACATAATCCTTCATCACAGTTGTAACACCAGATGTCAGCTTTAGTGTTTACTTTTCCTTCTTCACAAGGTCCACATGGTATAGGTTTTCTGGATGCCATGACCTGAACATATATAATATACAAGATCTTTAGCTTGGTGAATAAACCATATCACTATGTCAAAATTTGCAACATTGACTTGAAACTTTTTGACCAATTTAGGTTATTAAAAATCACTCTTGCATTATGATGTCAGTCATTTTTCTTTGATCTCAGAATTAAATATGAATGTTGTTGACAAATAAGTTCACAGGGTTGAAATATGACCTTAACATATACAAAAAGTACGTTATTGAGACTTGTTGACAAAGCTCATATGGTATATATACTTAAATAAACTATTTACTTACTTACTTCTATACTTACTTGTTACTTAGCAGTGATGCCCCCTTCAAGTGGAAACATACATATCATTTTTGGTTTAAAATAGGATAAATTAATTTCTCCATAGTGTACTGAATTTACTATATGATTACACTTTGTTTTGGCAATGATGCTACTGATAAGCATCCAAAATTAGTGGAAATATCATTCAATAATGTCAACAAGTCAGTTACACAAATTCCTAAAGGAATACAAGCATGTATGATGTATATTTAAGGATTCAAAATCTATCAAGGGGGCATACAATTAGGGGCAAATTAAAACTTTTTACTTTTGAATTATCATTTTTTCTCTAGCCTGCAACGAAAGTTTCAGAATGTGAGACAAAGGGATTACAATCCAGTGCCTGAAACAGTGTAAACTATTTGTATAAACATTTATATTTCAGTGGGTAGAAGAAATTGATGCTTTGTATATATATACAGATACCTTATGTTACATAGTTTCCGTCTGTCATATGTCCATTGTCCTTGACTTCAATTAAATGGTTCAGCGCCTGCTTGAAATTTTGTTTTTTTTTATAGTTTTTATCTGTTCGTTGAAGACGGGATGTATTATAGTATACCAATGTCAGTCCGTTTGTTCGTCAACACTTCATACAATATCTCAAATTCTCATATAACTTTAACTAGATCACCCCCAGTTTTTGGTTGGGTTCGTGTTGCTTAGTCTTTAGTTTTCTATGTTGTGTCATCTGTACTTTTATTTGTCTGTTTGTCTTTTTATTTTTGGCCATGGCGTTGTCAGTTTGTTTTCGATCTATGAGTTTGACTGTCCATCTGGTATCTTTCGTCCCTCTTTTTTAACACAACAATAAAATTGACTGAAGAAAGCTCCCTTTCAATTTTTCTAATTTTTGACATTGTCAGTCCAGAGTTACAGAAGACCCTTAGATTTAAGGCTATTTTTCACAAATCGCTCACTAACTCCAGTATTCCTTAATTAATTTCCCCCCAACTTTACATTATTGTGAGGTTTGATGAAATGAAGCTCCCTTGGAATTTTTTGAATCTTTCATTTTTCACATTTTGTACCATAACTTGATTTTGCTTGGATTGATTTAGTGGACACTGTACATACTTTTGGAATTGTTGAACATAACAAACTATTTGATTTAAATGGTATCCTCAGGCATGATTTTCTACAGAGCCATTTTATTTGCTTATGATTATTAAAATGCCTTTGAAATATCCCATTTTATTCTCGCAACAATTTCAATATGCACAATAAGAGCATATCATGTGCTCTTATGAGCGCAGCTGTTTATTTTGTTATGTGAATCTCTTACTTATTATGAGTAATAGGATAACTATATTTGGTATGGGTTCCTTGCAAGGTCTACCTGTCTGTCAGACAGGGTTCACTTGACCTGGACCTCATTTTATGGATCAGTGATCAAGGTTAAAGTTTCATGGTCCAGTCCGTATCTGAGATACTATAAGCAATAGGTCAACTATATTTGGTGTATGGAATGATTGTAAGGTGTACATTTCTGTCTGGCCGGTTTCATATGACCTTGACCTCTTTTTCATAGTTCATTGGTCAATGTTATTTTTTTCCTGGTTGTGTCAGTTTATCAGATACTAAAAGCAATAGGTCAACTATATTTGGTGTATGTAATGATTATGGGTGCTATAAACAGTTTCGTATAAAAAACTAGGGGTTATTCCCAGACTAAAAATAACCATGGAGGGAAATCCCTTTTTATTCATATAATTGGTGAAAAAGTATCATGTTTTTTGTATTTGATTGTAAAAATTAGTTAATTAGCCTTCAATTTAAACAGGTTGAATGATTAAAATAATTTTAAAAATTAGATTAAATATACATGTTTTGAGGGGAGACAACACTGTTAACATCCTGTTTTTTTGGCAGTGAAAATTGAAAACTTATTTGCAGCCACTGTAGCTCTTTTCGAAGCAGGAAACCGTACCCTGAAACAAGATTTTTTATTAAAGGCCAGGTAAAAACCTATGAATTTCATACAGTTTTAATTATGGGAAATGTGCCTTTATTATGTTTACATGGGTATGCACATGACCTGATTTCAGGTTTTTTATGTTCAGATTAGGCGACTTTTTCCCCATTTTCTCTGGATAGAACTTTTTTACTATATTAAAAGTACAGTATATTTTTATTTCAATATAAACTAGAGAAAATTCTGATTCCAGTAAAATCTAGTTTTATACAAGTATCTTTATTAACCATTCCACCACTAAGGGTCACTTAGGTATGGTCCCTTAAAATATGACGTCATAGAAAAAAACTGTTGATTGCACCCTATATGGTGTACATCTGGCATGGATTACCTCCCTTGACCTCATTTACATGGGTCATTGAAAATGTTAAATGTATGTGATATTTATTGTAAAAGTCTTATCATAAAAACTTCCAACGTGTATCTAATCATGATCAGTTAAGCAAGTTGACTCCTTAGGAGCCCCATCAATTAATCTGTCTGTCTGTTTAGTACTTCTATGTCATACAATAAATCTCAACTCTTTTTCAAATTTTGAATGCACAGTTTGTATAGCTACATAATTGCAGGCATTTACCTTGAAAAATAGCAATGAAAGTTGTACCTGGACATTGACACTACCTGCAACCAAATACGACAGATGGTTACAGTACTGATTTTCTCTGATTTTGTACTGATTCTTGATAATAAATTCTTCACTATAGTTCTGTTATTTTATTTAAGTAGCTTGAAATAATTAATTTGATAAAGATAGTTTATTTTGTCTTGTAAGCAGATATTAGTAAGTGATATTCTGAAGTAGGATTGTCTTGATGTTTCGTCATGACCTTCCATATTCTTTGTTTTGAAGCTGAATGCAGCTGATTTCAGTCAACGTTTCTCAGTTTTGTCCTGCTTTGAGAAAAACCTTTGTATAAATAGAGTTTTTTTTCTTTACTTTTTCTCGAGTATGAATATCTGACAAATGCATGTAGAAAAATAGACAAAAATAAGCATTTAAATTAAAAAAAGATATCTCGCAATTTAAATTGAACCTTCGTGTACAGATTGTCCAGGATCACCTTGTGCCCAGTACAGATTCAAGGGACTGAATACATATACAGATTGTCCATGATTTTTTAACTGCTAATCCTTACAAAAAAGCCATTAAAGGCACTATTCACCAATTTGTTTATATAAATGAGCATGTGCTATTATAAATGAATGAAATGTAAAGAAAAAACTGAGAAAATTCTTTGTTCCAATTTAATTTGACTGCAACCCATAATTCTACAAATTTTATATATACCGGTACCTTTCAGTAATGTTTTCAACTCTATATTATGATTATTATATGTATACACCTGCTGTCACAGAATTGTTGTGAATGAAAAAAAAACATGAAAAAGAGGAGACAATTATTAATTAAGTCTCAATTTTTTAATACCTTTAAATTTTTAAATGATTATGTCTGCATTTATTGTCTTGCATGCAACAAGTATTTTTGTTATATTTTATTGCTGGAGAGTGTTTATGTTTGTTGGAGGGGAAAGGGTTGGGTTTGGAGGGGGGGGGGGGGGGGGGTGTTAATAACTATTAATATCCCTTTGGTATCTTTGCCTCTCTTTTAAGTTAGTTGAATTTTGTTAAAATGCTTACAAAGACAAATTGGGGACGGAATAGTATTAGTCTCCATCTATTAATCCAGTTTCTGATATAGATTCTATTTTTTTCATTAAATATGCAATAATGCTAGATATTTTGTTGGTTGTTCCTCACAGTGATAAGTGGAAAACAATCATTATGTAACTTTAAATGTCAATTTAAGACATAAACTGAAACAACTGGTAATGTAATGGTATTCTTAGACATGATTTAAACAGTACAAATAAAGAACTAAATATGTAGAATACAAATGGCAAGAAACATCATTGTAAAATCCAAACATTTTAGCGTGTGAGCTAACATGCACTTCTGTTTTTAGTTTTACCACTTCTCCCTATCAGTTTCAAAAAGAGAAGTCACTTCCCCCTATGATTCTGAAGTAGTGTGAGCCCTGCTTACTCAAATAATTCAGTCTGTATGTTCAACTGCTCTACATTGGCTACATAAAAGCTTTAATGCCTAGTCAATGAAAAATCATTAATCGATCTTTCAGAATGATTCAGAATTTACCTATCTCAATTAAATTTAGCTTCCAGCTGATTGGCACTCTTTGTAAGAGAACACAGAGATTTTTTTTTTTTATCTCAAAACATTCTGCAAGGAAACAAAATTTACTTCACTATAGTTGGGATAACAAAATTGGCTGAAAACATTACTTAGTTCAAACTTGAATAAAAAATTGGGCAGCATTTCCATCCCCTTACCATGTAAATTCCAGACTTAAACAGGAGGGAAACAAGAATAAAACAATAGGTGTGGGGTAAGCTCATTTATAGATATGAAACCATACACCATCTCATGCCTATGATTGAACATGTAAAATATAAAATCCTTTGCCTTGTCTTCATACCAGTACCAATTTCTCAATGACAATTTATGTTCTTGCATGTTGGAGATATAGCTATGGAATTTGGAATTGTTTTTCTTTTTCTCATCAGATCATTTGGTTAGTCGACTTGGCGATATCCGCCTAAACTATCAATGTCCATCTGGAATTTATCGGAAACAGAGCTATTGAAAATTGTAAAATCCATATATAGAAATACATCCACTAGTACAAATATAGGTCTTTTCATAATCTAACCATACTTTGAATCACTATCTGAAACAACTTTACATCCTTCTAAAGTTACCAGACTTACATACATAACAAAAATATGGTTGTATCAGTTTTTCTGGAAGTTGGACATTGACAACCACAAACAATAATTGGTGACCTGGCATGGTACTTTCTTTGAGTCATATTTGAAATTTTTAACTTTTTTGCTCGGAGTAATTTTTTGAAGAATAATGATTTTCTTGGTAAGAGTGGACACTATTTAACTCAATGTTTCTGAGATAAATCCACACAAAGCCATCATGATGAACTGGAATGGGTTTTTTTCAAACTCAAGATGTGAATAACAACAAATAGTGAAAACCAAAATTGACCCTCAATATTCAATTGCACTTTGTTGAGTATGAATAAAAAACAATTTGTTTCTAGAAAAAGTCAATTTTAAGTTGCTCTGTAGCCAGTAAAATTTTAATTTAAAAGATGTTAGTACATTAATATACTCATGCAATAATATGTTCTTTGTAAATGCAATGTAGTATTACCATTTCCATGCCATAATATAGGGAGAGTTGAGATCTCACAAAACATGTTTAACCCTGCCGCATTTTTCCAAGTCAGGAACCTCTGGCCTTTGTCAGTCTATGTATGTTTTTTTAAATTTGGGTTCATTTACATGTTTCGGAGTTAAGTGTGATGTCCATTTTGGCTCAATTGTATACATTATTGTTTAGGGGCCAGCTGAAGCCCGCCTCAAGGTGCAGGATTTTCTCATTGTTTTTAAGACCCATTGGTGGCCTTGGGCTGTTTTCTGCTCTTTGGTAGGGTTGTTGTCTCTCTGACACATTATCGTTTCCATTCTCAATTTCATCATAATAATTGAAAAATGCCTAAATATCTAATTTTGATAGCCTGTCCGCAAAAGTAATATGTTTGATTATAATTAATCTGAACTATAAAATCACAAAACCTGTAGGTAACTCTCTTTACAGCGCATTCATGCTTTGATTATGTATAGGCATAATAAGTTGTACTTTCACAGGAAAGAAATATCATTAGATTCCTCAGTATATATTGTATCCATTCAATAAACTAAATGGTGCCAAATCACTGCCTTTGTAATCACTTTGTATCTTATTCAGAAGTTAAATTGAATTTTGCTAAGTATGTGCCATCTTCATCACAAATAAAACCGGAAGACTCATTATGTTTAAAACAAATACACATAGGTCTGTCCAGTCCATCCTCTTCACTAATCAGTACTTTACTATTCTGTCCATCTTTTGATATTACTATTATTCTATGAGAGTTGTAGTCTGCTACAATAATGTTACCATACTTATCTGTACAAAGTCCTTCTGGTTGTGATAAATCCTGTTTATATTGCCAGATCTGTTTACCGGATTCATCATAACAGTATACTGCATTACCATGATAGTCACTAAAGATTACTCTGTCATTACAGTAAACAAGGTTAGCCAGGTATGATACACTCTCAATTTGCAATTGTATTGACTTCAGTGTATTTCCTTCTAAGTCTATAGTACGGATTTCATCTATATGCAAACCTACAACCAGAGAATTATTGGAGAATGATAAACCAAAGCATTCTCTGTCTAATGTGATAACTTTGGTAACTGTTTCATTCTCCATATTGAAGATTCTAATGGCTTTCTCTCTAGGATAAGTTATGGCTATAGTGTTCTGATTGATCTGTGTAACACTGTAGGGTTCACCAGGTATAGGTAACTGTTTCTGTAGTTTGCCATCAGAAGTGAGAATGTTAACTTTACCTCTCATTTCCACTACTATAACTCTTCCATCCATCAGACAAATCATGTCACTTATATCCTTGTTTATGTTGATCTCTATCTTTGTCTCAATATTCATTGTCATGTTGTTTATTTTGGATTTTTCTCGTGATTTTTCTTGTGCTTTCTCTTCACACTTGTTTCTCTATTAAACATTAATATTAAGATTAACACAAAAGATACTACATTACCTGTAACGTTGACATTAAATAATATTTAACTACAAATGTTGAAATTTTTTTACGTATGTATATGGGTAAATTTTGATTTACTAACGCTTAGAATTTAAACTTTTTTGATTGTCACAATTGAATTTTAAGAATATGAGCAGATAAAAAATGGTTGTAGTAGTTTCGATCTACAGGCATAAATTTGGACGTTTACTTATTCCCTGGATGAATTACTTTATCTGATTTCAATAAAATATTGTCCGATCTTGTAATGAAGTTTAATTTAATTTAAATGCTTAATTGACAAAATCTTTAAAACAAATAAAAAGGTGCATTTGTTTCATTTAAAATTGTTTTAAGGGAAAAATGAAAAAGATTTCACTTGCTCTCACTGACACTTTTGAGACAAGAATTTTAAGAACTTCATACTTAAATATGAACTTAAATAAAAATTTAAGGGATGTATAACTAAACTGTTTTTTATATTAACTTTTTAGGAACAACATTAAATTGCTCCCGTTCAAGAAGCTACAATGTAAAACTAGAAAGATTGAAAACAAACTTCCATTTTCAGTGCCATTAATTCATTGTAATTGTAAACATTGTATTTTTTTTTAATTTCCAAAAAGTACAATTTAGATTTAGATTCATAAGATTCCAATTTTTTTACTTTTATTGTGTTTCGAGAAATACTTTATAGTTTTCAACAAAAAATTATTACTTTTTGTTCGAATGATATTTTTTTTTAATTCTGAAGTAGAAGTCTTTTTCTGGCTTATTTGTATTTTGCATGTACTGTCTCATTCATTCAGGATCCGTGGTAGTAATAACAAAGGAGGTTGTTTGTAATAATAGGCCAAATGCATGTAACATGATGGGTGCCACATGTGGAGCAGGATCTGCTTACCCTTCCAGAGCACCTGAAATCACCCCCAGTTTTAAGTGGGGTTCGTGAAGCTCAGTCTTTAGTTTTCTTTGTTGTGTTATGTATACTGTTGTTTGTGTTTTGGTCTTTTTCTTTTCGGTCTTTAGTTTTCTATATAAAAATAAGGAGATGTGGTATGATTGCCGTAGAGACAACTATCCACCAAAGTTCAAATGAAGTGGATTTCTATTTTGTGTTTTGTATGCTGTTGTTTGTCTTTTTCTTTTCAGTCTTTAGTTTTCTATGTTGTGTTTTGTATACTGTTGATTGTCATTTGGTATTTTTCTTTTTTGCCATGTTATTGTCAGTTTATTTTCAGCTTATGATTTTGAATGTCCCTTTGGCATCTTTCGCCTCTCTTTTAGAATCTCTCTATCATATCAAGTTCCTTACTGTAGTCCATTGGTCAACACTAAAGTGGAGAAGTAGAAGACTGAAAAGAAGGCTGGGGCAAACTTCTGACAGTGACCAGCAAAAGAAAACCACATCTTTAGTCTAATTTTCAATAATTTTGTCAAAGAGAGGAGGGGACTAAAAAAATAATCTTTCCTTTTGAAAGCGGAGTAAAAGGTGATTTTTGAATACTTTTACATTCCAACAGACAGTGTTTTTGAAGGCTCATTTTGAGCAGCAACAGAATGAGATCTGACAAATACTGATACATAAATGTGATCTTTTGTATCACTGGATAATAAAATACATGTAGCTGTATATTGTTGTTATTATTGAACATTTGAATGAGGGTTTCAAATGTCTAAATTGCAAAAATTATGGGAAACTTGTACTAATGATCTCAGATTCAGTGTTTTGAAGAAATACAAGTCTTTTCTTAAAAACATATGAAATAAAATGCTCCGAGCTGGGTGCAGCTTGATACGACCGCAGATGTCGAACCCTGAACAGTTGGGGCAAGTATGGACACAACATTCAAGCTTGATACAGCACTGAATTTGGATTGTGATTAAATATTTGACACAGCATAGGTTTCTGACACAGAATGAATGTGGTCTAAGAACTTAAATTTTTTTAATTTACCTATTTAAACCATATCATTATTATTTGCTTTTATATATAAATCAGAAATAACTAATTTAAAATGGAAAATTTTAAAGAAAAAAAAATCCCTCCCCCAAATTTTTTGAACCCCCTTATGATTCATCACCCCCAAACTCAATCCCAGCCTTCCCTTTGTGGTATGGTACCTTGCAGTACAATTTCAGAGAGATCCATACACTTGAACACAAGTTATTGTCTGGAAACTAGAAAAATGCTTGTTTTTAGGCCCCTTTTTGGCCCAAAATTCCTAAATGTTTAGGCAATTACCCCCAAACTCAAACCCAGCTTTCCCTTTGTGATATGGAACCTTGTAGTACAATTTCATAAAGATCCATACTCTTAAACACAAGTTATTGTCCTGAAACTAGAAAAATGCTTGTTTTTTGCCCCTTTTTGGCCCCTAATTCCTAAAATTTTGAGGCAATTACCCCCAAAATTAATCCCAGCCTTCCCTTTGTGGTATGGTACCTTGCAGTACAATTTCAGAGAGATCCATACACTTGAACACAAGTTATTGTCTGGAAACTAGAAAAATGCTTGTTTTGAGGCCCCTTTTTGGCCCCAAATTCCTAAACGTTTAGGGCAATTACCCCAAACTCAAACCCAGCTTTCCCTTTGTGATATGGAACCTTGTAGTACAATTTCATAAAGATCCATACACTTACACACAAGTTATTGTCCTGAAACTAGAAAAATGCTTGTTTTTTGCCCCTTATTGGCCCCTAATTCCTAAAATTTTGAGGCAATTACCCCGAAAATCAATCCCAGTCTTCACTTTGTGGTATGGTACCTTGCAGTACAATTTCAGAGAGATTCATACACTTGAACAGAAGTTATTGTCTGGAAACTAGAAAAATGCTTGTTTTTAGGCCCCTTTTTGGCCCCAAATTCCTAAACGTTTAGGGCAATTACCCCAAACTCAATTTCAGCTTTCCCTTTGTGATATGGAACCTTGTAGTACAATTTCAGAAAGATCCATACACTTACACACAAGTTATTATCATGAAACTAGAAAAATGCTTGTTTTTGCCCCTTTTTAGGCCCCTAATTCCTAAAATTTTGAGGCAATTACCCACAAAATTAATCCCAGCATTCCCTTTGTGATATGGAACCTTGTGGTACAATGTCAGAGAGATCCATACACTAAAACACAAGTTATGTCTGGAAGTTACAAAAATGCTTATTTTTGGCCCCTTTTTGGCCCCTTATTCCTTAACTGTTGGTACCATAACCCCCAAAATCAATTACAACCTTCCTTTTGTGGAATTGAACCTTATGGTAAAATTTCATAGAGATCCATTCACTTAAACTGAAGTTAGAGTGCGAAAACCAATATGCCGCCGGACGACGACGCCAACGTCATACCAATATACGACCGCAAAATTTTTTTGCGGTCGATTAAAAACAACATGAAAATTGCTCCTTACTTTTTGAAAGGTCAGTTACATATACTTTTTGAGGCTTTATTTGAAACAGTACACAACGCATTTTCTTTCTTGAAATTTTATTTAGAAATCACTGGAAGATATTTTTTAATACTGGTAACAATTTTCATTCTTTCTTCAAATTTTGGTGGGAATGAAATAAATGATACTTTGTTTTAGATCAAAACACCAAGAATCTTAAACTCTAGAATCTTTAATTGAAAGATACACTAAAATATTTTCCATGCTGTAACAAAAAAATTATTACATTTTTGAAATGAGTCTTATGATAACTACAACATCTATAAAGTTCATATCAGGGAAAATACAAACTGAGTTTGCTATACACTCAAAATGAAGTCAGTGACCTCCAGTTTCTTTCTCTATATTTTTTCTCCATATTTTTTCCCCAAAATCACACAAAATTTTATGAAAAAATCACTGGTAGAACTGAATAGGCTGTTATGTCTATAGGTTGCACTTTGTTAATACAGCTGTTTCACAAACCACGCCTCTTTTGGGGGGATATATAATATTCATAGATATTTTGTTTTGTTTACGCACTGGTCCCAGATATGATCTCTATGTTTCATCTCATTGAGAGATAACTTGGGAATGTTACCAGTATAAATACACATGGATAGCAGCAAAATTGAATTATGATGTAGACCCAAAGTGATGGGATGGGTAGTACAAAATTTTAGTATAAGTTTAAACTCTTAGAAGTTTGGGGCATATAAATGTTGAAAATATGCCGCACAGCCCTATGTTTTGACCTTTGAAAAAAATAGTAGTGAATATGAACTTCCCACTATAGGATATAATTGTTTATGAAACTTCATAGTAAAAGTTGCACAGTTTTAGCCGTAAAAGTAGTTCCTATGGGAAATTGCATTGTCTATATTTACAGAAGTGCATGCAACCTATATAAGCGGAAAAAAAAAGTTTTTTGTTTTTAAATTGTATAAATAAATTTCACCATGCTACACTCAACCCTTTTTACCATTTTGGATAATTACACCCCCAAAAAACTACAATCCTTCGCTGCTTTGACATGATAATATGCAATATATAAGGTATTAAACCAGCTGGTTGACATGGTCCACATAGTAGTAATCATGGTTGTAACCAAGTTATGAGATATTGAGATTATTTCTCTTGGTCCACCTTATAGAGCTTGACATAAAGTATAAATAAGTAAATATTAAGCTTTTTGGTCCACTTATGTGAGCATGCTATACTATGTTATACTTTTTTAAAGTACCTAATACTTATAGCTTTGAAATCATTGGTGAGTAATAGCTTTAGGTTCAAAATGTTCTTCTGTAGAAGCTTTAGTATGAAGTCTGCCTCATATAAATAAAAGATTAACTTTGCAAGAAGTGGAGCACAGTTGGTTACCATAGGAATGACAATTGTTAAAAAAAAAGTCCTCTAAATGTAACAAATATGGTCAATGAAAAATCTAGCATCTTGATATCAGTTTCCGAGAACCTTTTTTGTTTTAATCTTGAGAAGTTCAAGTTTTTATGCCCCCGCCGTAGTGGAGGGGGCATTAAGTTTTACCCTTGTCCGTCTGTACGTCCGTCCGTACGTCCCAAAGTTGGTTTCCGTTCTCTAACTTTAGTTTGCCTCAACCAAATGTTATACACAATGCTTATTACCACTAAATACTGATCAAGTTTGAATTTTGGTGGCGTCACTTTTACTGTTCTAGAGTTATGCCCCTTTACAAATGGAAAAATTGCTAAATTTTTTCGTCTCTGTTCTCTAACTTAAGTTTGCCTCAACCAAATGTTATGAATCTTATACTCAATGCTTATAACCACAATATACAGATCAATTTTGAATTTTGGTGCTGTCAATTTTACTGTTCTAGAGTTATGCCCTTTACAAATGGAAAATTTGCTGAATTTTTAATTTTTTTTCTAAATATCAAGTATTTTTAAAATTGGAGTTATCTTTCTTTGTCCATGATTATAGTTGAATCAACTACAATCAATGCTTTATACAATGCAATGTTTAATTTTACACTGATAAATTAAAGCAATTTTTACCCTTCATTTCTAAAAATATTTTTTAGTATTGAAAATACAACATTTATTAAAATCTGAGACATCACATAGCAAATTATGCACATAACCACACAAATAACCGAGCAGATAAGATAAACATAATATACTAGAACATGTCGTACCTTACATCTACGTCACTAGGTCTCTGGTGGATAAGTGTTTTATCTGCTTTCATACAACATTTACTTATAATTGTGTCTCCTGGGATGACAGTAACAGAATAAGAAAAGCTGTTTCCAGCAGCAGTGTCGGTGTCAACAACTTGTTTAAGTTTGTATATAGGGTCAGTTTTAGGGAAACCAATAATGGTAAGTCAATGATATTTGGCATGCAGTTGTATAAGCATTGGCACATTTCATTCCATGAAGATTATTTATCCCTGCCCCTCATTCTTGGTCTACAGACTTTGAAACTTTTGCATAGTTTACATGTTAAATTTTGTGATTATGTTGGTTTAAGGGGAGTCACTTACATGTATGATAAGTCAAAGATATTTAATATGTAGTTGTATTAGCATTGGCATATCTTTTATTTCAGAAATTATTTGGCCCTGTTCTCTCAGTCATGGTTCATTAAATTTGTGCATTTTGCATAATTTACATGGTAAAGAATTGCTATTTTATTTTTAATATTTGAATTTTACAAATCAAAAATATAGAGGCAAGACATTTTACTGTGTCAACAGTTTATTTTGCCTTTTGACCTCATTTTCATGATTCATTGGTCAATGTTTAGTTTCATGTTTCATCTTACCATGACCTCATTTACATGGGTCATTGATTATGTTAACTTTATTTGATCTTTGTTGTCAAACTTTTATCTGAAAGATTTTCAAAGAGTATTCAATTATGATCAGTTAAGCAGGGGGGACATTTCATTACTCATAACTCAGGTTATAATTCCTATCAAGAAAAGGAAAAGTTGTTTCATTAGGGGCTAACTCAATTAGTCGGGGTTGTCCTATAGTAAATTACTCTGTCTGTCTGTCTGTCAGCACTTCTATGTCGAACAAATAAGTCAAGATAATCTCAACTCATTTTCCTTGACCTCATTTTCATATGTGCGTACCTTGCAAGGTCCTTATGCCTGTTAGGTTAGGTTTCCTTATTAAGTCCATATCTCAGATACTATAAGCAGAAGGTCTTTTATATTTGGTGTATGGAATGATTGTAATGTGTACATGTCCAACTGGCAGGTGTCATCTGACCTTGACCTCATTTTCATGGTTCAGTGGTTAAAGTTAAGTTTTTTGTGTTTTGGCTATTTTTCTAATACTGTATGCAATAGGTAAACTATATTTGGTGTATGGAAATATTTTACGATATACATGTCAGTCTGGCAGGTTTTAATTGACCTTGACCTCATTTTTACTGTTCATTGCTCAATATTAAGTTTTTTGTGTTTTGATATGCATTTCTTAAACTATAAGCAATAGGTTAACTATATTTGGTGTATGGAATGATTGTAAGGTGTATATGTCAGTCTGGCAGGTATCATCTGACCTTGACCTCATTTTCATGGTTCATTGGTCAATGTTAAGTTTCCCTGGTTAAATTTGTTTTTCAGATACTATATGCATTAGTTCAACTATAATTGAACCATTGAATGATTGTAATGTGTACATGTCTGTCTGGTAGGGTTCATCTGACTTTTACCTCATTTTCATGGTTCATTGGTCAATATAAAATTTTCATGGTTTGGACTGTTTCTTGTATACTTTAAGCAGTAGGTCAACTATATTCGGTGTATGGAATGATTGTAAGGTGTACATGTATTTCTGGCTTGGTTTATCTGACCTTGACCTCATTTTCTTGGATCATAGATATTTGACTTTGTAACAAAAAAAAAATAAAAAAATAGTGGAGACAAAAAAATTAATAACCTACTATTTCAGTTTGGTAAAAGTATAGATAATAACTTTGTTAACTTTTACAGTTAAGTATAACTACATACCTGTTAACAAAACGTCATCTAATCTCTAGGTTTTTTCAATGGAAATCATTTTCCTGTGCAGTTTTGTAAATGTATAACCTACCATGAAGCTAATTATGACATGTTAAAACCTGATTTAGGTTGTCAAGTAAACATTCAAAAGACATTGATTATACATGACCCAGATAACAGATTCGTATGATATATTGACTTTTTAAGGGGTTTAAATCTCTTGTTTGGAAAAATGTATTTTGTTATTTGTTGAATAGTACATGAATGTTTATGTTGGAAAAATTTGTATAGATTTTGAAAGAATATGTCTGCTGTTTTTTCTATTTGTTATAATTCAGTTTTTTTTTCTATTTGTTAAAATTAAAGTTTTTTTTCTATTTGTTATAACTAAGTTTTTTTTTTCTGTTTGTTATAATTAAGGTTTTTTTTTATTTGTTGTAATTAAGTTTTTTTGTAGGGGAAATATATTTTAATTATTTGTTATAAATACATTAATGTTTTGGTTGAATAAATGTTTGATATATCTGTCATGTCATTGTTTTCTTTTCAGTTTTGGATTATCCTCTATTATATTTTGTTACATTTAATTTTCAAAAATAACACATGCATCTTAGAAACAGCAGCTGTGATCATGTGGTAGCATGCATGCCTCGAGTTGCAAGAGATCATGGGTTCTCCAAATTATTAAAACTATTAAAGTTAAAAGATAAGACAGCCACAGACAAAATTTGTATGCTAATCTAGTTTTTTCTAATCTTAACCATCCACTTTTTAAATCAGTATCACACTATACTACATTTTTACATGGAGAATATACGGCCCACTCCCTCAGTCATGCTTCATTGACTTCAGTTTTTTTTAAAAGCTGACATATTCAAGGGACAATGGGAACCTACTGATCAGCTCAGAAAATATATGTTTCAAATTCTACAATATAATCATAAAGGTCTTGCATGAATATGCCTTATTGTAAGGTAAATCATACAACTGCACATACACATATAATCATTGGTCATTGAAGAATCTATAAAGAAATAACTGAGTGTATATTTAATTTAATTCTGACTGAGTCACCTAAAAGAGCCTTGGGATAGGAAGAAAAGTTACAATTATTATTAATTTTTACAATTTAAAGTTAGTAAATATGATGTTAGATCGTTTCTTCATTTCTTTGCTTTTAGGTAAAAGATATGTTGATTTGTTCTGTGGTGGCCCCTTTTATAGGAGTTTATCTGTTACTGAAGAAAATAATTCATAGGACATAGGTACCCCGTGAGTCATATAGACTGCTTGGAGTCTTTACTTTTCTATTATTTTCAAAAAATAATTTTTATGATGTATCATTATTTTTTGCAGAAGACCATCAGATACACCTAAGCTATATATAAATAGAAGAGCTGCCATGGAACATCGGTGTGAACCAGGGAATGATCCAGACTTTAAAAATTCTATTTTCTCACAGATTTATGAAGGATTGAAACCAAGAGATAGAAATAGTAAATGTTTAGACTATAGGTAGGGACATAATACACAATGGTTAGGATTTTATAGGGATCATTTGTAATGCCTATGTTAATGTTCTAAGGGATAATCAGTAAAGAGGGGGGGTCGGACCTTTAAAGGGACTCCGGGATCAGGTGTTTTTAAGCTCGGGATTTCGGGATTGATCCTTTCGGGATCCGGGAATTCTTTTTTCGAATTTCGGGATTTAAATTTCTTTTAATTCGGGACTTCAGTAGTTCATGTTTTTAAGCCTGGGATTTCGGGATCAGGACCCCTCCGACCCCCCCTCAGTAAAGTAGTGGGTTTGATAAGGCCCTAATATGGTGCCGATTTTTTTTTTAATTTTGAAACTTAGAATTTATTGACCAATATCATAATGAATAATAGCTTGAACAATTAGATAGGAATCAGGTCTTTTTTAAATTTAACGTATTAGCATAAAAAAACCCATTCTTTTCATGACCTCAAAAATTGCACAGATTTTTATTTTTCACAAAAACTCAATGAAAACAGGTCAATTTCAATTAATTTTTAGGACTAGAAACATAGAGCTCAAGCATGGATAAATAAGATTTTTTAATATGATGTTTGTTACAACAATTTACATATTTAACTTGAATATTTGGTTTGTCGAAGTTTGTGCTCTATGTTTTCTAGCCCTAAATTTGTCTGAAATTTTGACAATTTGTGAACTCACAGCTAAAATCTAGATTTTTTGGTCTATATATGTATATAGGATATAAATGTCAATCCTATGAAATAAAAAAGTTTGACAAGAACTCTTCTATTTCACTTTCTTACATGTCTTTATGTAAACTTATACCAGGTTTTATCTTGAACCATCATACTTTGAAATAATGCCCACCAAATTTATTCTTTTTAGATATAACAAGCTGAAGTAGATATTTATATATATAAGAAAATTCATTTTTATTTTTCATCATTTTGTGGGACAATGTGACATTTTGCCACTTTGTGAACCCCATTTACATTTTTTGCTTCTCTTACTTTTGCTTTCATCCATCTTCCATAAACTTTTTTCAAAAATGCATTTAAATGTCTTATATCTATATTAAAAATCATATAGATACAGAAAATCTGAAAGTGTTAAAAATGATAAGAATATCAAAATTTATCTACTTGTCACCAAATTTATCAGGTGACTTCTTTTTAGGTGATGTTTCCCTTAAATAGCAATTTTTGACCAATTAAGGATTTTTGTCTTTTAACCTGAAAAAGTAAATTGCATAGACATAAACTGTATCGTTTCATAGAGAACAAATTCAGCAATACAAGATCCAAAAAGATTCCAATATGAAGGTGTTATAGTCTTTAAAGTTTAAAAAATGAATTTGTATTTTACTATAAACAGCTGTCGTACAAGTGGGTGGTTTAGCTAGCTATAAAACCAGGTTTAACTCACCATTTTCTTTGGAAAATGTCTGTATCAAGTCAGGAATATGACAGTTTTTGTCCATTTGTTCCATTGGTTGATATAGTCAAGCATTTCTTTTTGTCAGGTTTTATGGACATTCCCCTTTTTGTCCAGCCTGCAACATTTATGTTGCGAAAGCACGACATAGCGATCCTAGAATCTCTCGTTGGTGTCAGCAGCGTTAACAATTAGGTTCAGTCTGTGGTTAAAGTTTTTTCAGACAAACTAAATACTAATTTAACTGAAACCATCAATTGACTCCAAAATAGGAGTCATTGGCCTATTTATTATTATGATATTTAACAAATTTTAGCATTTCTGCCTATTATCTTGAAAACTGTTATAGATAGTCAGAAACTGTAACAGTAAAAATAATTAGCAATACAAAATCTACAAAAATACTATGTGACTGACACCATTTGACAATATAGGAGTTATTGCCTTGAAATGTTTTTTACTAAATGAAACATTTTTTTTTCATTATCTTGAAAACTATTGTACAGATATAGTCAGCGAGCGTAAATAGCAAAATGATAAAATAAACTCATCATAGATACCAGGATTGAAATTTTATATTTACGCCAGATGTTTCGTCTACAAAAGACTCATCAGTGACGCTCGAATCAAAAAATGTTAAAAAGGCCAAATAAAGTACAAAGTTGAAGAGCATTGAGGACCAAAAATTCCTAAAAGTTTTGCCAAATACAGCTAAACTAATCTATTCCTGAGGTAGAAAAGCCTTAGTATTTCAAAAATTCAAAGCTTTGTTAACAGTTAATTTATAATTATGAACATATCAATGATAACTCAAGTCAACACAGAAGTGCTGACTACTGGGCTGGTGATACCCTCTGGGAATTAAAACTCCACCAGCAGTGGTATCGACCCAGTGGTTGTAAATAAACTCATCATAGATACCAGGATTGAAATTTTATATTTACACCAGACGCGCGTTTCGTCTACAAAAGACTCATCAGTGACGCTCAAATCAAAAATATAAGATCTACAATTGAGCCACAGGATCTAAACTAACAAGTACCTGTTTATTGAAGTATTTGCCCCAATAATTGAATGCAAATGTTTTTGATATTATTTACATTTTATTTCAAAGATGTCCACCTTTTAAACAACTGATTTAATTTATACTTAATTAGACATAAATGATCCATCGGTGTTGAAATTTTAAACCATTTAGAAAGCAAGTATTTGTCTTGTATCTAAAAAACTGTAGGAGATAGGAAAATCTGGCAGGGGAAAAATGCTCATAAAGTCAACATCTACTGATTAATCATCAAAGCTGTAAGAAGATTCTTTATTGGAGAACAATGCTTTTATAATGATTTTTATGAACTTTTAAGCATATTTATGCCATGTCTACAATAATAGAGGGCATTATGTTTTCTGGTCTGTGCCTCTGTCTGTTGTGCATTAGTTTGTCTGTCCCTAATCAGGTTAAAGCTTTGGTTAAGAATAGTTTGTGGTCACATTTACTTGAAACATTGTACACATTTTCATTATGAAAGATTTGATATATCTGTCAAACTAGGATTTTGACCAAGATTTTATGGTTCACAGAATATGGAATGAAGATAGTGCCAGTTCTTGTTTGATACTATGTTGAAAACAATAATGGATAGAGTTAAATTGTAAGCAGCAATTTAATGAAAAAAATGGATATAACCATCATTTCATTGGTCATTAACAATTTGGAAATTGAATAGGGGAGGGGCACTTGATTTTTAGGAGGTTGGCAGGGAAGGTCTTGTGAATATTTTAATTTATTTTGATTTTCCACCTAAAAATCAATATGACAGATGGTTTGCCAGATGAGAGATGCAGGCTGAAGAGCCTTGGTTTGCCAGATGAGAGATTCAGGCTGAAGAGCCTCCAGTTTTACTAATCTGCAACTAAAATATTCTGTTTAAGAATTTGAATATACAACATTTCTTTGAAAATGATGTTTTACATTTGAACAAGAGACTGCAGTTGAATATTATATTTATTTATTAAATCAATATGATGCAGTCATGTTTACACTAAATTTTCTGTTTCAGATGGTCATCGCGCTTTGACCAGTGGTGGGAGTGTAAGTTTATGTCAGAAGGTGTAATTGATCAGGGTGGAGGATTCAGGGATAGTTTATCAGATCTTTCTGAGGAACTCTGTCCTATTGCCAGTGATGCAGCTTTACCTCTGCCATTCTTCATCAGATCTCCTAACCAGGTATTAATACATTAAGAAAGGGGGAGGGTACCAAGGGAGGAGGATTCAGGGATAGTTTGTCAGATCTGTCTGAGGAACTCTTTCCTAGAACCAGTGATGCAGCTTTACCTCTGCCATTCTTCATCACATCTCCTAACCAGGTATTAATACATTAATAAAGGGGGAGGGTACCAAGGGAGGAGGATTCAGGGATATTTTGTCAGATCTGTCTGAGGAACTCTTTCCTAGAACCAGTGATGCAGCCTTACCTCTACCATTCTTCATCAGATCTCCTAACCAGGTATTAATACATTAATAAAGGGGGAGGGTACCAAGGGAGGAGGATTCAGGGATAGTTTGTCAGATCTGTCTGAGGAACTCTTTCCTAGAACCAGTGATGCAGCTTTACCTCTGCCATTCTTCATCAGATCTCCTAACCAGGTATTAATACATTAATAAAGGGGGAGGGTACCAAGGGAGGAGGATTCAGGGATATTTTGTCAGATCTGTCTGAGGAACTCTTTCCTAGAACCAGTGATGCAGCCTTACCTCTACCATTCTTCATCAGATCTCCTAACCAGGTATTAATACATTAATAAAGGGGGAGGGTACCAAGGGAGGATGATTCAGGGATAGTTTGTCAGATCTGTCTGAGTAACTCTTTCCTAGAACCAGTGATGCAGCCTTACCTCTGCCATTCTTCATCAGATTTCCTAACCAGGTATTAATACATTAATAAAGGGGGAGGGTACCAAGGGTGGAGGATTCAGGGGTAGTTTGTCAGATCTGTCTGAGGAACTCTTTCCTAGAACCAGTGATGCAGCCTTACCTCTACCATTCTTCATTAGTTCTCCTAACCAGGTATTAATACATTAATAAAGGGGGAGGGTACCAAGGGTGGAGGATTCAGGGGTAGTTTGTCAGATCTGTCTGAGGAACTCTTTCCTAGAACCAGTGATGCAGCCTTACCTCTACCATTCTTCATTAGTTCTCCTAACCAGGTATTAATACATTAATAAAGGGGGAGGGTACCAAGGGTGGAGGATTCAGGGATAGTTTGTCAGATCTGTCTGAGGAACTCTTTCCTAGAACCAGTGATGCAGCCTTACCTCTACCATTCTTCACTAGTTCTCCTTACCAGGTATTAATAAAATAATAAAGGGTGGTGGAGATAGCAAGGAAAAAACGATAAACCAAAGACAAACTGACATCAACAGTCCACAAAACACTTAATCCTTCACAGATTCTTCTACACCAAATGAAGTATTTTCATATGTTAATTTGAGTGATTTTTATGCCCCACCTACGATAGTAGTAGGGGCATTATGTTCTCTGGTCTGTGTGTCCATTCGTTTGTCCATCTGTACTTCTGTCCGGCTTCAGGTTAAAGTTTTTGGTCAAGGTAGTTTTTGATGAAGTTGAAGTCCAATCAACTTGAAACTTAGTACACATGTTCCCTATGATATGATCTTTTTATTTTTAATGCCAAATTAGAGTTTTTACCCCAATTTCACGGTCCACTGAACATAGAAAATGATAGTGCGAGTGGGGCATCCATGTACTATGGACACATTCTTATTTCACCTATACCTGTCCATGGAAGTAGTCATGGACAAACGTTTTGCTTTGTATTAAAATTAAAATAGGACACAGTGTTGGACATCTATTTAAAACTTCTATTGATTTAGTCATACTTTCTCTTTTGTCATGCAAGGTCCTTTTAAAGCATGATATTAAATTGTATTTTTGTTAATGACTACAAGAACAATTCATCTATTTAGGGGTTTTAAAAGTGTTGAATGTTTAAGTAAGATCCCCTTCCAAATAAAATATTGAGAAATTTAGGTTAAAAAAAATTACACTATTTTTTTTGTAATGCATTTCAGAGTAATTAACATGTATATATTTTATTATTTTGCTATGCCTTCAAATTGAGGATGATTCTGCATGTATATACTGGAATATTTGAATAATCTTTCTTTGTATTGACTTTAAAAAGATGCTATGAGTATTATGGTATATTTGATATGCTTTTATGTTTTTAGGTTGGAGATGATTCTAATATTCATAGGGATGTTTACATATTGAATCATCAATGTAAAGATTTTACCAAATATGAATGGATAGGACAACTAATGGGAGCTTGTCTTCGTGGCAAGGAAAATCTGGTAGGTAATGGGAGCTTGTCTTCGTGGCAAGGAAAATCTGGTAGGCAATGAGAGCTTATCTTCGTGGCAAGGAAAATCTGGTAGGTAATGGGAGCTTGTCTTCGTGGCAAGGAAATCTGGTAGGCAATGAGAGCTTGTCTTCGTGGCAAGGAAAATCTGGTAGGTAATGGGAGCTTGTCTTGTGGCAAGGAAAATCTGGTAGGTAATGGGAGCTTGTCTTCGTGGCAAGGAAAATCTGGTAGGCAATGAGAGCTTGTCTTCGTGGCAAGGAAAATCTGGTAGGTAATGGGAGCTTGCCTTTTATGGCAAGGAAAATCTGGTAGGTAATGAGAGCTTGTCTTCTTGGCAAGGAAAATCTGGTAGGCAATGAGAGCTTGTCTACGTGGCAAGGAAAATCTGGTAGGTAATGGGAGCTTGTCTTGGTGGCAAGGAAAATCTGGTAGGCAATGAGAGCTTGTCTTCATGGCAAGGAAAATCTGGTAGGTAATGGGAGCTTGTCTTTGTGGCAAGGAAAATCTGGTAGGTAATGAGAGCTTGTCTTCTTGGCAAGGAAAATCTAGTAGTTTATGGAAGCTTGTCTTCATGGCAAGAAAAATATGGTAGGTTGTTGAAGCTTGTCTTCATGGCAAGGAAAATCTGGTAGGTTGTTGCGCTTTTCTGCCTGGCAAGGAAAATCTGGTAGGTTATTGGAGCTTGTCTTTGTGGCAAGGAAAATCTGGTAGGTTATCCGAGTGTGTATTCGTTGCAACGAAAATCTGGTAGGTTATTGGAGCTAGTCTTCATGTCAAGGAGAATCTTTTAGGTTATTGGAGCTTGTCTTAGTGGCAAGGAAAATCTGGTAGGTTATAAGAGCTCGTTTTCATGTTGTTGAAAATCTGGTAGGTTATGGGAACTTGTCTTTGTGGCAAGGGAACTTTGGTAGGTTATGGGAGCTTATCTTCATGGCAAGGAAAATCTGATAGGTTATTTGAGACTTGTCTTTGTGCCAAGGAAAATCTGCTAAGTTATTGGAACTTGTCTTCTTGGCGATGAAAATATGTTAGGTTATTGGAGCTTGTCTTTACGACCAGAAAAATATGGTAGGTTATTGGAGCTTGTCTTTGTGGCAAGGAAAATCTGGTAGGCTAATGGAGCTTGACTTTGTGGCAAGGAAAATCTGGTAGGTTATCAAAGCTTGTATTCTTGTCAAGGAAAATCAGGTAGGTTATGGGAGCTAGTCTTCATGTCAAGGAAAATCTTTTAGGTTATTGGAACTTGTTTTCCTGGCAAGATAATCTGGTAGGTTATGGGAGCTAGTCTTGGAACTTGTCTTTGAGGCAAGGACAATCTGGTAGGTTATGGGAGCTTATCTTCATGGTAAGGAAAATCTGGTAGGTTATGGGAGCTTGTTTTCATGGCAAGGAAAATCTGGTAGGGTATTTGAGATTGTCTTCGTGGCAAGGAGAATCTGGTAGGTTATTGGAGCTTGTCTTCGTGGCAAGGAAAATCTGGTAGGTTATGGGAGCTTGTCTTCGTGGCAAGGAAAATCTGGTAGGTTATAATGAGTGATTTTTAAGGATCCACTTGTGCTAAAAGACTATAGTTTTTACCAAACTGTTTACCACATGGGAGATCATGGAGTCACAGAAATTGCTATAAATGAGAGTGATTCTTATCAAAACCAATTTAGGAATATATATGTTACAGTACATATTGGATCCAGAATCTGTACAAATTGGTATCCAATAGGATTCAGAACCCCCTACTACAAATTGGATTGCACTAAGTACTATATAGTAGCGGTCAGTTTTTCTTGGTGGAGGAAGCTGGAGTGCTTGGAGAAAACCATGACCTTTGGCAAGAAAACTGACAATCCTATTCAATTAAGATTGAAGTTGAACACACCTGCCACCTGCATGGTTCAAACTCACAACCTCAAGTGTTGACAGGCTAGTGATACAGTAGATGAACTACTTAGCCCACTTAACAACTGAGGCCCCTTAGTAGGAATTTCAATATCTACTCATAGAAATTGGGAAATACAGATTTGTATCAGGAGGATCAGGGATTGTAGTAAAACAATACTTTTATTTACTTCATAATGAAATGATTTTAAATGACTGTTTACTTTCACTTTTAAGCTAACCTTACCTATGCCTAATACAAAGGTTGAGGAGCTATTAAAACTGACGAGGATCAAAAGTTATGCCAAACAAGCATTTTTATTTCTATTCATAACACAATGCAGTATTTGTGTTAACCTCTCATTCCTAACAAACACTGATAAGAATAAGGTCCTCATATAATCTGTTGATCTGTAACCTCTCAGTCCTAACAAACACTGATAAGAATATTAAAGGTCCTCATATGATCCTGTTGATCTGTAACCTCTCAGTCCTAACAAACACTGATAAGAATAAAGTCCTCATATAATCCTGTTGATCTGTAACCTCTCAGTCCTAACAAAACACTGATAAGAATAAGGTCCTCATATGATCCTGTTGATCTGTAACCTCTCAGTCCTAACAAATACTGATAAGAATAAGGTCCTTATATGATCCTGTTGATCTGTAACCTCTCATTCCTAACAAATACTGATAAGAATAAGGTCCTCATATGATCCTGTTGATCTGTAACCTCTCATTCCTAACAAATACTGATAAGAATAAGGTCCTCATATGATCCTGTTGATCTGTAACCTCTCAGTCCTAACAAACACCAATAGGAATAAGGTCCACATATGATCCTGTTGATCTGTAACCTCTCAGTCCTAACAAACACTGATAAGAATAAGGTCCTCATATGATCCTGTTGATCTGTAACCTCTCAGTCCTAACAAATACTGATAAGAATAAGGTCCTCATATGATCCTAATGATCTGTAACCTCTCAGTCCTAACAAATACTGATAAGAATAAGGTCCTCATATGATCCTGTTGATCTGTAACCTCTCAGTCCTAACAAACACTGATAAGAATAAGGTCCTCATATGATCCTGTTGATCTAGAAACCTCCAATACTCGAAACAGATATAAAGTGCTGTTACATTTTGATGTCATAAGAAAAAGAGACAGGCCTAAATTCTATTTGTCAATATATTCTTGTAGGTGCTATCTTTTCCACCATTGATCTGGAAGATGATATGTGGAGAGAGAGTGACCTGGACTAGAGACTATCATACAGTTGATGCTGCTGAGGTATGTGTCTTCTTATTTATTATTGAATTGGAGATCTTGTAAGAGTTTATATTGCAGTATTTTTGTGTAGAGCCTAAAAATTGTAACAGAAAAAGTGGATGATCTTCCATTAAATTTATTTATCAGAGCTTACAAATGATAATTCTATGATCTAGAATTTTATGGTTTATAACTTATTTACTGTAGTTCTTATCAGGAAATAACCTATTTGAGACCTAATCGTTTTAGATCATAACATATATATCAAAAATTGTTGGCTGTTACCAGGAAGCAAATCGATAAATTTACCTGGTAGCTTAATTATTTTCATTTTAATTGAGAACATTTAATATGAATAAAATAAAAAATTTCAGAAATAAACATTTGCTAGAAATTGGTAAAGGATTTAGTTATTAATATTGTACGAGTTTTGTTTACAGGTAAAGTTAATAGATCAGCTAGAAACAATGGATAAAGAGACGTTCTCAGGTGCAGGTAGAATCTGGAGTACAACAATGACTGACGGTACACCTGTAGAACTGAAAGTAGACGGTGAGGGAAACCCCCTTCCTTTAGACTATGATGACAGACAGGAATATTGTAATAAAGTCAGACATATCAGGATGTCAGAGTTTGATGAACAGGTACTTTGATATTTTATCAAAGATAAGACAATATATGTATTTGATGTTAAGTTTATATATATACAAATTTTATGATAATTATAATTAAAAATGGTTAATAATTTCATATTGATACATAAATATTTTGGCACAACAAATGGGCTTCATCAGTGTTAATTCTTTTTCCAAATGAAATAAAACAATCTGAAAATTCTTTGTATATTATAGTGCTCATATCAATATCAAGGTTTTTTAAGGCAATTGCCTTATTGCTATCATGAGACTATCAAATTTGTGACCTGGACTAAGAGGTATTCATGCCAAACTAGTTAAAATAGATTTTTCTTCTGTAATGTTAAATATCCATGTTTTTTTATTGTCAGAATGTATTTACAAAAAAATACAGTTAAGAACAACAGTGGACTGGTGAAGTTTTAAAGATGTATTTTGCATTTTTAACCCAATTGACTACTTTTACATTAGATGAATTACGTAGAAATTGGAATGAAAAAGTGCACTTTTATCATAGCCATTTCTATCTTTAGATTTTTATTGTTCAATCATTAATGAAAGTGAAATAGTGATATAATAATTCCCTTTTAGCAGCCACTTTGGTTCAATTTTGTCAAAATAAACTAAGAAACATTGCTGATGAATTATTCACTTGCAAGTGAATAATTCAACCTCATTGAATCGGTATTCATGTGAACTTCAATTTAACCCCTTACCTAGAGATGGGTTACACATGAACTAGGCATGTTCAGCTATTCAAAGGAAAATAATGTCAACATTGAAAGTGAAACAAGGATAAACCATTTGGTTGTCTGATTCGATCCACAAAAACTCATTCATATACAGGTAAAAATGATGATTAACATATTTTTTTAACCTACAATATGAAATCAAACAGACCTAGAAATATCCAATTGCATGTTTTCGTTATCTATTTAGATCTATACTTATGTTTGTATCGTGTAATATGACCGTCAGCAGTCTTGGAGGTCACCTGGATGGTTAATTAGATGGTGTCTAGACTAAAATACACACAAAATGCTGAAACATATATATTATAAAGCCCATGCATCGTAAATTGTTTATTTTAGACTTTTTATAATTTGGATATAGTTTTAGTACGTTATAAATCAAATATGAGAATTTGAGTCAAATGAATTTGACAGCCAATGCCCCTTTAACTGTTTTGTAGATTTCTGCTATCAGGAAGGGTTTGCTGAAGACAGTTCCTGTATAATAAATGTTTAACTGTTTTGTAGATTTCTGCTATCATGAAGGGTTTGCTGAAGACAGTACCTGTATAATAAATGTTTAACTGTTTTGTAGATTTCTGCTATCAGGAAGGGTTTGCTGAAGACAGTTCCTGTATAATAAATGTTTAACTGTTTTGTAGATTTCTGCTATCAGGAAGGGTTTGCTGAAGACAGTACCTGTATAATAAATGTTTAACTGTTTTGTAGATTTCTGCTATCAGGAAGGGTTTGCTGAAGACAGTACCTCAAGCTGTATTTGATTTGCTTACTTGGCAAGAACTGGAACACAGAATTAGTGGCAACCCTGATATTACAATTGAAGCTCTCAAACGTTCAGGTAAATATGAGTTTCCCTTACCCACCTGTCCTCTGAGTAATATTTAAAAGAAAGTTATATTTATATTACAGTGTACTGTCAAAATTACATAATATAACAGTGTACTGTTAAGATTACATTATATTACAGTGTACTGTTAAAATTACATAATATAACAGTGTACTAGAATATGTTAAAGTTCAATATATTTTCTGATTATTAGTTATTAATGAAACTGGCCTTTGTTAGTCTTGTATGTTTTTGGTGGCCTTAGACGCATTCCCTGTTTCCATTGTCAATTTTATGAAGCTGTCATCTAGAAACCATCAATTTTATTTATATTCTATATATATATAGCTAGGTATAGATATATTGTAAATAGGGTCTTAAAATTACCAATGAGAGCTGCTAGCTCCTTCTGCACCCTTATTCAAACAAATAAACTGAAAGACAGTTGAGCAGAGAATTAAATATCACAAATTGGTGATGACATTTAAGTGCATCAAAAATGATGCCCCATCATATCTTACTAGCAAGTTTCATTATGTTTCAGACAGAAATCCATACCCCTTGAGAACTGCTGTTCAAAGAAACCTTATACTCCCTAAACCAAAAATTGAATTGTTCAATGACTTTTATTTACTCTGGACCATCCTTGTGGAACAATTTGCCTTTATCGTTACAAAATATTACAAATGTTAATTCTTTCAAATAAAAAATAACAGATCATTTATTGAAATCAACTAATTGAAAAAAAACATTGAACCTTAATAATTTCATCATGTTTTATTTTTTCATAACATTTAATGTAGTTGTATTGAGCATTATCATTATACATGACTTTTTTGTTTGTTTGTCAACGACTTTTTTGTAAATACTTTTCTATGATGTGGACCTCAGGGAAGATAAGTTATACAACTAGCTGTGTAACTCTCTTAAAATAAAGTATTGTTATTGTTATGAACACATGCAGCCATCCTAGTGAAGTTAAATTGACAAATTTCTGATTGTCAATTGTACTAACACCATAGAATAGAATATATGGGTTAAATTTCTTTTTAAACTTATTGTGTTGAATATACATGTAGATTACAATCAAGCTTTTAGATTTTATTGATTTGACTTTGACTTTTTAAAATAGAAAGTTATCTTTTTAGTGCATTATGATGACATTGAGGAGGATTGTTCTACTGTAAAATACATGTGGCAAGCATTAGAAAAGTTCTCTACAGAAGACAGGAGTAGATTTCTCAGATTTGTTACTGGTCGTAAACGATTACCTGCTCCAATTTATGTATCTTCTGGTAAAACGTAAGTTTACATAGGATTATATTTATCATATGTTAAAAGTTATCACCTAATTTATGTCCAGAAGGACAGCTTCCTTATTATGTAAAATTGAGAATGGAAATGGGGAATATGTCAAAGAGACAACAACCCGACCAAAGAGCAGACAACAGCCGAAGGCCACCAATGGGTCTTCAACGCAGCGAGAAAATCCCGCACCCAGAGGTGGTCCTCAGCTGGCCCCTAAATAAAATTTTGTACTAGTTCAGTGAAAATGGACGTCACACTAAACTCCAAAACATATAAATGAACTAAAATTAAAAAAACATACAAGATTAACAAAGGCCAGAGGCTCCTGACTTGGGACGGGCGCAAAAATGCGGCGGGGTTAAACATGTTTTGTGAGATCTCAACCCTCCCCCTATACCTCTAGCCAATGTAGAATAAAGAAACACATAGCAATATATCTATACATTTGGCACAACCACTAACCTCTTTGGTCTATCCAATCCATCAGAGAAACTTGGTCCTATTTTCATCTCTGGGATCCTTGCACTATTTGGACCCTAAAATGAATTGAAATTAAAATGTTTATATGAAACTACTTCCTGATCTTACAATAAGGAATCCAAAATTGTTCATTGTGTTGAATGTCACAAGATTTAGTTTTGGCTATAAAAAAGTTCTCAAATTTGCAGAATAAAATGTTAAATCTGTGTACTTAAATAAAACATTGCAGTTTAAGTTTAAAATATTGCCATTCATTGGTACTATAGCCACGAAAAGACAGAAAATTCTGTGAAATGATGAATATCAAAGAACTTTAATATGTCATTACATGTAAATTTAAACTGCACATTATTTTAATGTTAAATGATAGCTGAAGTTTGTTCAGCACTATATACCAGAATTTTACAGTGGCTTGTGAATGTGTTTATTATTTTGTTTGTTTGTTTAATTTGTAAAATGGATTTAATAACAAAACTGTACTTAACTTGTATTAAATAAATTACTGTTTCTGAACATAAAAGTTTATTGTATAATTTATTTTTTTCTTCCCACAGAGATGCTATAGATTGTTTACCAGAATCCTCGACTTGTGCTAATATGCTTTACATTCCTACATATACAAGGTATTATACTCTTTTATTTAAACCTTAAAAATTTACTTGGATAATAATGATGCTCATTTTAATTGACATTTGGGGTCCTCTGTGGCAGAGTCATCTTAGAAGTTCATGTATAGTGATCACTAGGCTCTCAACTGTGAGGTTGTAAGTTCAAAAGCTGGCAGGATGCTGTTGACTGATCTTAATTGACTAGGATTGCCAGTTTCCCTGTTAGGGTTGGGGGTTTTCTATAAGTACTCCAGTTTTCCTGTTAAGGTTGGGGGTTTTCTATAAGTACTCCAGTTTTCCTGTTAAGGTTGGAGGTTCTGAATAGGTACTCCAGTTTCGCAGTTGAGGTTGGGGGTTCTCTATAGGTACTCCAGTTTCCCTGTTGAGGTTTGGGGGTTCTCTATAGGTACTCCAGTTTTTCTGTTAAGGTTGGAGGTTCTCTATAGGTACTCCAGTTTCCCTGTTGAGGTTTGGGGGTTCTCTATAGGTACTCCAGTTTTTCTGTTAAGGTTGGGGGTTCTCTATAGGTACTCCAGTTTTCCTGTTAAGGTTGGAGGTTCTCTATAGGTACTCCAGTTTCCCTGTTGAGGTTTGGGGGTTCTCTATAGGTACTCCAGTTTTTCTGTTAAGGTTGGAGGTTCTCTATAGGTACTCCAGTTTTCCTGTTAAGGTTGGGGGTTCTCTATAGGTACTCCAGTTTTTCTGTTAAGGTTGGAGGTTCTCTATAGGTACTCCAGTTTTCCTGTTAAGGTTGGGGTTCTCTATAGGTACTTTAGCTTCCCGATCAATAAAAATGTGCCACCATCAAATAACCAGGTTTACTGAAAGCAGCATTAAACCATGATCATCAATCAAACAATCAATATAATAATTTGGCCTTATTCAAACATGACCTCCACCTCTGCTCAAAATTTCGAAAACACTGGGTCAGATTTAACCAAAGTTGGCTGTAGTATTGAAGTAAGGCAGTTAATTAATGCTCAATCTGATTCTGATAATCTATTTTTTATTTGATAATTTTATTCAGAAGCAACAAAAGAAAAGCTTTTCAAAAGTCATATCCTGTAGTCTTAATACAAGCTTTGACAATTCTGTAGTCTTAATACAAGCTTTGACAATTCTGTAGACTTAATACAAGCTTTGACAATTCTGTAGTCTTAATACAAGCTTTGACAATTCTGTAGTCTGTGAATTTCTGCTATTTTAAGGAGGAGGTTTAGCTTTCCTCTACCTGAAGAAATTTCATTCTAATATATTAAAAGTTTAATTTAGAACAGTCGTGAAATTATGTTTTGATTTTTTTTCAATGTTCTTGATTTTTCACACATGTTATGTAAAAAATCTTCTAAATATGTTGCTGAAATATAGATATAGTAATAAGATATTGTATACATCTTATAACTAAGTCAGTTCCAACATGGTTGAGGAGAAGTTACTATAATATCATATTGTACAGATTGGCTTGCAGACAACTTAAATTTGAGTGATGAATATTTTATAAATATTTAATATTAATTCAGTTCAAAGGTCGCTGAAGAGAAGTTACGATACGCTGTATATAATTGTACAGATATGGATGCGGACACGTTATACTTGAGTGATACAGATCTTGATATATTTTAAGTATGCCGATTTCTTTTCTGCATGTGTGTACTAGTTTTCCCCCCAGACTTTTTTGTTCTGACATTTTATAATTAAGACATTATATTTGAATGAATGTCTAATTATTGCAAAAGGATGATGTATATGATGTAATGTAATTGATAGAATAATCATAGAGACAGTAAAACAACCATTTGAGGATTAATTTGTTGAAAGAGAATTAATTTTATTATATAAAAATTCACAATTCTTGTTATAAATATTCCAGAAAAGGTTCTGTGTACTAATTGTCATGCTTATAAACATATAATTATTTATTTTATGAAATAAGCATGCTTTGTTTGGAAATAAGTTACTGCTTTGCTCCATTTATTTACCCTTATTTAAAGCATAATTTTTATTTTGGTGACAGCAGAAATATTCTAGATTATCTTTGAAAAAAGGGGGACAACTTAAATGCTTAGCTTGCTTTTCACATTTATCATAAGAAGCAATGAGAGCTATTAAAGGAGACATAATGATTTGATGGGTGTCTGTCTGATTGATAACCCTCCATCATCCTATATCATTTTTTCCTATATCAGTAAACAGTAGTTCTCAGTTACTTGTTTTCTTGGTATGTTATAACAGTTTGGTTAACTTAATAATCATTGTAATATATATGATAAGGTTTGGTACAGCAATGAAGTAAGGTGTGATTACTTTTTGATTTGGTCAGCAGTTTGACAGCAATGAGTAAGGTGTGATTACTTTTTGATTTGGTCAGCAGTTTGACAGCAATGAAGTAAGGTGTGATTACTGTTTGATTTGGTCAGCAGTTTGACAGCAATGAAGTAAGGTGTGATTACTTTTTGATTTGGTCAGCAGTTTGACAGCAATGAAGTAAGGTGTGATTACTTTTTGATTTGGTCAGCAGTTTGACAGCAATGAGTAAGGTGTGATTACTTTTTGATTTGGTCAGCAGTTTGACAGCAATGAGTAAGGTGTGATTACTTTTTGATTTGGTCAGCAGTTTGACAGCAATGAAGTAAGGTGTGATTACTTTTTGATTTGGTCAGCAGTTTGACAGCAATGAGTAAGGTGTGATTACTTTTTGATTTGGTCAGCAGTTTGACAGCAATGAGTAAGGTGTGATTACTTTTTGATTTGGTCAGCAGTTCAACAGCAATGAGTAAGGTGTGATTACTTTTTGATTTGGTCAGCAGTTTGACAGCAATGAAGTAAGGTGTGATTACTTTTTGATTTGGTCAGCAGTTTGACAGCAATGAAGTAAGGTGTGATTCACTGTTATATTTGGTCATCAGTTTGACAGCAATGAGTAAGGTGTGATCACCTTTTAGTTTGGTTGACAGCAATGAATAAGGTGTGATTACTTTTTGATTTAATGAGTTACTTACTTTCTGTTTACTTATACTTTAAATTTTCAATCTTTTGAATGAACTTAATCAATTTTTGTCACAGTTTTTTTTTCAAAATCTGCTGGAATGACTACATATTTGGTCAACAGCTCAACAGTGATGAGTTGTAATGTATGTGATCTGTCAGACACCTAACTCTTGATTTGCAATACTTTAAATTACAAGTGGTGTATGCTAATTAGCATGACAATATGTGCATTCTTGATTTGTAAAGCTATTTAAATTCTCCCTCAGTATATTTGGTGCCTATCTGATATATTATGGTTATAAATGGAATGTGCTGTAACTGTTTGAATTGTTTTGTTATCCATTATACAGGAATTTTAGAGTTACGTCCCTTTCCTGTACTGGATTTTATTGTATGTTCTATTATGTACACTTTGTTGATTTACCGATTGTAAAAACAAAGGGGGAGGAGGGTTGAGATCACAAAGAACTAGTTTAACCCTGTCACATATTCATGTGCCTTTCCCAAATTAGAAACCTTGTCGTTATATCTTAATGTTTTTTTATTTGGAGAATACGATTTGATAGGCAGATCTTTTATTGTTTCTTTTATATTCATTCACAACATTTGTAGACTTGGGAGGATTTGGAGCATAACATGTTGTATAGACACTTATCTTTTGTTGAAGATGTTAATGTCTGGTTATTTTTGTTGCTGAGTTGCTGTTTCATTGAAGTATCCCCCACATCTTCTTTTTCTTGGACGGGTTTGACAAAGTCCAAAATAGGCTTATAGTACTTAGGTACTTAAATATTGTAGTCTAATCCTCCAACAGTTTACAACCCAAATCCTTAAAACTTCATAGAAAGATTACATAGATGTTAAATACCTAAATATTGTCGTCTACTCCTCCTACAGTTTACAACCTAGATCCTTAAAACTTCACAGAAAGATTACATAGATGTTAAATACCTAAATATTGTCGTCTACTCCTCCTACAGTTTACAACCTAGATCCTTAAAACTTCACAGAAAGATTACATAGATGTTAAATACCTAAATATTGTCGTGTTCTCCTCCTACAGTTTACAACCCAGATCCTTAAAACTTCACAGAAAGATTACATAGATGTTAAATACCTAAATATTGTAGTCTACTCCTCCTACAGTTTACAACCTAGATCCTTAAAACTTCTCAGAAAGATTACATAGATGTTAAATACCTAAATATTGTAGTCTACTCCTCCTACAGTTTACAACCTAGATCCTTAAAACTTCACAGAAAGATTACATAGATGTTAAATACCTAAATATTGTAGTCTACTCCTCCTACAGTTTACAACCTAGATCCTTAAAACTTCACAGAAAGATTACATAGATGTTAAATACCTAAATATTGTAGTCTACTCCTCCTACAGTTTACAACCCAGATCCTTTAAACTTCACAGAAAGATTACATAGATGTTAAATACCTAAATATTGTAGTCTACTCCTCCTACAGTTTACAACGTAGATCCTTAAAACTTCACAGAAAGATTACATAGATGTTAAATACCTAAATATTGTAGTCTACTCCTCCTACAGTTTACAACCCAGATCCTTAAAACTTCACAGAAAGATTACATAGATGTTAAATACCGAAATATTGTCGTCTACTCCTCCTACAGTTTACAACCTAGATCCTTAAAACTTCACAGAAAGATTACATAGATGTTAAATACCTAAATATTGTCGTCTCCTCCTCCTACAGTTTACAACCTAGATCCTTAAAACTTCACAGAAAGATTACATAGATGTTAAATACCTAAATATTGTAGTCTACTCCTCCTACAGTTTACAACCTAGATCCTTAAAACTTCACAGAAAGATTACATAGATGTTAAATACCTAAATATTGTAGTCTACTCCTCCTACAGTTTACAACCTAGATCCTTAAAACTTCACAGAAAGATTACATAGATGTTAAATACCTAGATATTGTAGTCTACTCCTCCTACAGTTTACAACCTGGATCCTTAAAACTTCACAGAAAGATTACATAGATGTTAAATACCTAGATATTGTAGTCTACTCCTCCTACAGTTTACAACCCAGATCCTTAAAACTTCACAGAAAGATTACATAGATGTTAAATACCTAAATATTGTCGTCTACTCCTCCTTCAGTTTACAACCTAGATCCTTAAAACTTCACAGAAAGATTACATAGATGTTAAAGTTGTGCACCTGCTACTATGGAATTGTTTTAGGAATTTGTTTCCCATTGGCATTTTGTTACTTGAAATGGGTACTTGTACATTTTGCTACTTGCAATGGGAACTTGTACTTTTTGCTACATCACTGGGAACTTGTACTTTTACATCAAAATTTACAATAGATAGTACTGGATTTTTATGAGCAACTCCAACCTTCATTTTTCAACTTAGATCTCTGAAATTTTACACAGAAAGATTGCAAACTTATATAGAAGGTGTTTTTATATAGCCTTATACACTGAAATGGAATCTCTACCATTGAGCATTGAAGAGTGAACTCAAAATAAGCAAATGTTTCAAAACTGTATTTTACAAGTTACCTGGTAGTCAGAATATCTTTGATAAACCACAATCTACATATTAAGTAGAGAGTTAACCTTTAAACAGAGTATGTTAACCTTTAAACAGAGTATGTTAACCTTTAAACAGAGTATGTTAACCTTTAAACAGAGTATGTTAATCTTTAAACAGAGTATGTTAACCTTTAAACAGAGTTTGTTAATCTTTAAACAGAGTATGTTAACCTTTAAACAGAGTATGTTAACCTTTAAACAGAGTATGTTAATCTTTAAACAGAGTATGTTAATCTTTAAACAGAGTATGTTAATCTTTAAACAGAGTATGTTAACCTTTAAACAGAGTTTGTTAACCTTTAGATAAATTTTTAGTTTTCCTTTATCATTCCGTTAATCTCTCGTTGATATTTAACATATGTCTCCTTTTATTCATTCTCCTGAATATGCATGCAATATCTGCCACTGGACATGAAGCCAGCAACAATTAATCAATCAATCCTTTTATTCGTGTCTAAAACTGCATAAGCATGAATTGTAGGTAATGATTACATTAATTAAGATGGACTTCAATTTCTAACTATGTTGTATTGTATTTTCTATAAAAGTGTCAGGTTTTTTTATTTATAGCTACATTTATTGATTTTGTAAGCATGGATGATATGGGTGAGAATTAGTACACACAAACAGAAAATATTTCGGTATACTTTCTCATTATGTTCGATAAGTTAACAAAGTGTCAATTTAGAGTTAGGTGAAATACCACCAAATCATAGTATGTCACATCCAGTTGCATACGAAAAAGTGTTGAAAAAAAATATTCACTTGAATTTGACAGTTGTAGGAAATTAATCCTACATTTCATTGCAGTAAAAAAAATTTGAGTCATAAATATATGTCTTGGCTGTTTCAAAGCACCATTATTTTTTTATTTGGTGTTTCTATAGAATATTTTGGAAACTTGAGGTTACATGGTTACTAAAGCTTGTACACAGGAAAAAAAGGGGTGAAAATTTGATTGGTTAACTTCCAGTGATGGTTGTTTTCTTATATGCAACGAAATGTTATGTGAAATTTTGTCTATAGTACTGGACAGGATAAAACTTTACTCATGCCAATTTCTTTATTTGAAACAAAGATAAATTCTGCACAATTTTTGGAAAAGTGCAAATTTAACTAAGACTAATAGGGGAAAATCAATGGTGGTATTACACCTAGAGAGCTTACATAATTAATTAAACTATTCTTATGAATTTATATTATTTTGAATTAATTTTTTTTTTCAATCAATGTTTTTGCATTTAAATTATTACATAATGAATGTTACAACATCATTTACTTTCAGTGCTAAGATTGCTGAGCAGAAACTACGCTACGCTGTTTACAATTGTACTGACATAGATTTAGACTTACAAGACTGGGGCGATTCATCAGACACTGAATAAACAGAGATTGGCACATACCTGATCAACATAGTTCAGTAGACAAAGCTACTAATATGTCAAATAGTCCTTCATATATCCATAATTTGTTGCTGAATGTGACTTTTTATTAAAAAATAACACATTTAAGGTATCAAAGTGCTGTTGATGGTCAAACTTTTAATGTTTGATAGCAATATTAGTTCTGTTCATTTGTTGACAGTATAACAGGTCATAAGATACTGGTTCCTGAATAGAGCCAAAGGTATATAAGTTGTTAACTATATAGTGCAGTGGCGGATCCAAGGGGGGGGGGGGGTTGTGTTCGGGGGTTGGAACCCTCTTTTTTTTTTTATGATCAATGCTTTTGAATGGGGACAAATGGTTGGAACCCCCCTTTTAAATGGCTGGATCTGCCCCTGTAGTGTGTTACTTTTATAAATGCATCCTGGTATTTTAACAGTCTTCTAGTTTTATAATTATATCTGATGGTGAATTGCATAATTTTATTGTGGAAAGAAGGCCACACGGAACTTAAATCCGCTGTATAGACAACAAAACAAGTTTGCCAACTTTTTGTTGATTCATAGATTAAAAGATGCAATAAATTTATGTAGACATGGAAAGGAAACTGTGTTTAAGGCTAATAATGTTCTAGACATTCATGCTGACTCACTTAAGGATGTTTGCTTATTTTAGATTAACAAAAGAAAACAAAAAAAAGCTTTTTGAAAAGACTGTTAATTGATAGTCTACAGATAAAGGAACTTAAAAAGCTGAAAAATTCATGCCCTTGTTTTTGAGATCTAAGCAACTGAAAATTTGGTGGGAATTTATTCTCTGTAGATTTTTTTACATTTAACATTGGCACATTTTTCCTTTCGAAAACTATGAAAATTTTAAGGATTTTATAAGATTTTCAAAAATGCCTTTTTAAACTATATGTAAACAAATTATTTAAAGAAAAGTAGGGGGTTAGCGCCTTAGTGGGCACACTTTTTAATTGCACTACATGGATAAAACTAGAGGGTTCTGAATATCTGACAAAAATGTCAAAAAGAAGAGTTGCAAACATCCTTAAGTTTTGCTCTGAATTGATAAATGACACAAGAAGAAATTGATTTTGATCTGTAATGTCAAATATTTTCTACAAATTTAATCAAAAAATGCTTTATTTCATACAATGTAGGAGAAACTGACTATATAGAATATTTATCAAGAGTGTATTTAAAGAAGCTAAGAAGTTTTTATAACTCTATGATATTATTTTATTATTTGAAAACTGCATTGGGTTGCTGTCTCATAGACTAAATATCATAACATAACCTTTTATACATATAATTGCAACATCACATTTCAAAAAATGGTGGGAAAACAACAAAATTTCAAGTTTTCAATGAACTGTATATCGTTTCTGTAACCTTTCACTGTAAAAGAGAATTCATTGATATTCAGTGAAAATGGAAATATATTAAATATTGTAGCAATACAATAATTGTTTGATGTCATAAATGATTTGTCTTATTGATTATAAATTTTCTTTCTTTAGAAATGAAAACCAGTAAACAACCTTTGTCTTTTATAAAATGACCATTGAGTTATTTAATTATGCTGCCAAGCAGTAAGCTGAAGACAATATTGTAGTCATTTAACTTTGATGTTCCTGAAATACTTCACTGTTCAAAGAAACAATTATAAATATAAATTTTCATTTTTAAATATTCATCGGTTGAAAAAAACAAAGGACATCTATGATTAAATGCTTTTATTATGATAAATATATTTATTTTCTCGAAACTGATATATTGCTTGTCAAAATATTCTTTTTTGTTTTTATTGTTTTAACTCAGTAAGAATATATATTTTAAAACAAAATCAGTTATTCTTTTTAATGAATATGGAAGAATTGTTAATTGTAAATTGTGTATGTTTCTAAACAAGAAATATTAAAAGCACATGTAAATGGATTTGTCAATTATAGGGTTCAAGATATTGACATGGTGTTGTTCATTTTGAATATTCAGTGAAAAATGTATCTGGTTATTATATGACAGAGGCTTTGTAGAGATATTTGCATTTATACTAATCCTTAATATTTATAACTCTGGTATTTTTCTAATATATTCATCAACATTGAGTTTGTATAAGTTAAAAAGATTGATGTAGATTAACATCAGAAACAAAATAATTTGAAGTATTTGTTATTTATGCCATACATTTTAATCTTTTAATTTTTTTTGGCCAAAAGTGAAGGTTCATATTGTTAAGGATAGGAAATGTTTCAATAAATGTAAAGATTAGAAATCATGTTTGAAGAATTAAGATTCTCCATGTGAGTTCCACTAATAACACCAACGTATTGTTTCCCAATCTAATTAAACTTTATTCATTGGTAATGTAATCTGATATTATGTATGACACTTGCTGTATAACAATTTATTATATTCTGTGATTTGCCTGTGTTTATGTTTTGATAAACCAATGTGATTGATGGTTTTATATTCAATTAATAATATTGATGTTAAGATATTATAGAATTATTTGTGTTTTGTATCTATTATTCCCACACTTTCCCTAGGCACATTTATTGCACACATATCCTTGACATATTATTACCACACTTATCCTTGACATATTATTGCCACACTTATCCTTGACATATTATTGCCACACTTATCCTTGACATATTATTACCACACTTATCCTTGACATATTATTACCACACTTATCCTTGACATATTATTGCCACACTTATCCTTGACATATTATTGCCACACTTATCCTTGACATATTATTGCCACACTTATCCTTGACATATTATTGCCACACTTATCCTTGACATATTATCACACATATCCTTGACATATTATTGCCACACTTATCTTTGACATATAATTGCCACACTAATCCTCGACATATTATTGCCACACATATCCTTGACTTATTATTGCCACACATATCCTTGACATATTATTGCCACACATATCCTTGACATATTATTGCCACACTTATGCTCGACATATTATTGCCACACTTATCTTTGACATATAATTGCCACACTAATCCTTGACATATTATTGCCACACATATCCTTGACATATTATTGCAACACTTATCCTTGGCATATTATTGCCACACTTATCCTTGACATATTATAGCCACACTTATCCTTGACATATAATTGCCACACTAATCCTTGACATATTATTGCCACACATATCCTTGACATATTATTGCAACACTAATCCTTGACATATTATTGCCATACATATCCTTGACATATTATTGCCACACTTATTTTATACATATAGATTCAACCAGTGAATCCAGTGTGATACAATATTTCTCCACTCCAGACAGTTAAATTTTCATCTATTAAATGTGAGGTTTTGAATATTTAAAATTTAACTGTTGAGAATAGCTATATAGAGAAATATCGTTTTGCAAGAGATTTGGTAAAGAAATCTGTTTCAAGGATGATTTATAGACGATATGTAGACAAATTTTATCTTTTCTTTTCAATGGTCTTTAAAAAGATGTGTTCTTTATATGAGACTTCATCAGGCATGGTCCCTTTTTAGCTCACCTTTCCGAAGGAAATATGAGCTTCTGCCATCACTTGGCATCTGTCGTCGTCCGTTGTAGTCAGTCCGGTGTAAACTATTTCAAACATCGTCTCCTCTGAAACTCCAGAACCAATTCCAACCAAACTTAAGCTGAATGATCCTTACGGTATCTAAAATAAAGTTTGTGTTTTATTTTCTTGTTTCGTCAAAAAAACATGGCCGCCATGGCTAAAAATAGAACATAGGGGTAAAATGCAGTTTTTGGCTTATATCTCAAAAACTAAAGCATTTAGAGCAAATCTGATGTGAGGTCAAGTTCTATCAGCCCTGAAATTTTCTAACAACCTATTGTTGGGTTGCTGCCACTAAATTGGAAATTTTAAGGAAATTTTGCAGTTTTTGGTTATTATCTTGAATATTATTATAGATAACGATAAACTGTAAACAGCAAAAATGTTCAGCAAAGTAAGATCTACAAATAAGGTTAATGACCAAAATTGTCAATTGGCCCCTTAAGGAGTTATTGCCCTTTAAGGACAATTTTACACAATTTGTTTATCATGTTTTCTAACTTTAAAAAATCTTCTCCTCTGAAACTACTGAACCAAATTAAATCAAACGTAAGCTGAATGATTCTTAGGTTATCTAGAATAAAGTTGGTGTTTTATTTTCTGTTTCCTCAGAAAACATGGTTGCCATGGCTAAAAATAGAACATAGGGTAAAATGCAGTTTTTGACTTATATCTCAAAAACTAAAGCATTTAGAGGAAATCAGACAAGAAGTTAAAGTATTCATTAGGTCAAGGTCTACCTGCTCTGAAGTTATCAGCCAAATCAGGTATCTGATTTTTAGGTTATTGCCCCTGAATTGATGATTTTAAGGACATTTTGCAGTTTTCGGTTATTATCTTGAATATTATTATAGATAAAGATAAACTGTAAATAGCAAAAATGTTCAGCAAAGTAAGATCTACAAATAAGTTTAGTATGACCAAAATTGTCAATTCACCCTTTAAAGACATTTTTTCACAATTTGTTCATCTAGTTTGCTTACTTTAAAAAATCTTCTCCTTTGAAACTGCTGAATCAATTTCAGCCAAACTTGGGCTGAATGAGTTTCAGAGTATCTAGTATAAATTTTGTATATTATTTCCTTGTACGTCAAAAGTCATAGCCATTATGGCTAAAATGGAACATAGGGGTAAAATGCATTTTTTTGCTTTTGTTGAAAATATGACAGATAAAAAGAACAATTAAATGGCATTTTTAAGCCACTCATTGATATATATTGAAAATCAAAATTAATCATTGATGAAAGATTTAAGCAAAAAATTACAGGTGAGTGATTCAGGCTCTTGAGAGCCTTTTGTTTTATTTGCGACTTCACAATAAGAAATTCAGAGAAAAGCAAGACAATTGACTTTTGACCAATGAAGTACTGATATCAAATGAACCACATATTGATAAAATAATCAACCGGTCTGGAAAAGTATACATTGGGTATAAAGGTATAATACTACATAAAAAGGAATAAAAGAAACTGCCAAAAATACAGCACAGTACAACAGACTTAGTCACCCCCCTCCCCCGAAAAAAAATGCCAAATTCCATAAATGGACAAACAAAAGCAAACATCCCATAGTCCAAATATCCGGACTTGGTACTGGCTTAGAGGTGCAGGCTCAAACTGTGGTGGGGTTAAACTAGTTTTACATACACAAAAATCTCCTCTTTGCCTTTCTAAACCTTATGTTGTAAAACTCAGAAATATAATCAAAAAACCCCTGATCAGTGCTGCTACCAACAGCAATCCTACTAAGTTGAACTAGAAAATGTCAGGAAACTCTTCACTGTGTGTGTTTGATTATGAACCTGAGCTAAGCCAGGAATTTGCAGTGTTTGTTTATGTGCATGTGTTTGTCTCTTTTTATGTACCAGTATTTAGTCAAGAAACCTCAGTTTTGATAGTGTATTTACCAGTGTCAAATCATGAAACTTCTCAATGTTTGGTCACTGTTTATTTATCAGTGTCAAACCAGGTAACTTCAGTGTTTTGTCCCTGTTTATGTACAACTGTCAAGTCAGGAAACTTCTGTGTTTTGTCCCTGTTTATGTACCAGTGTCAAGTCAGGAAACTTCTGTGTTTTGTCCCTGTTTATGTATGAGGGTCAAGTCAGGAAACTTCTGTGTTTTATCCCTGTTCATGTACTCATTATGTACCAGTGTTAAGCCAGGAAACCTTAGTTTTTATTGTTTATGAACCATAGTCAAGTCAGGAAACCTGTTCATTTATCAATGTCAATTCATGATACTTCTCAGTGTTTGTTCCTGTTTTTGTAATAGTGTCAAGCCAGGCAACTTAAGTTTTGATTGTTTTTTTACCAGTGTCAATTCAGGATACTTCTCAGTGTTTGTTCCTGTTTTTGTAAAAGTGTCAATCAAGGCAACTTTAGTTTTGATTGTTTATTTACCAGTGTCAATTCAGGATAATTCTCAGTACTTTTCCCTGTTTTTGTACCAGTGTCAAAGCCAGGAAACCTTACTTTTGATTGTTTATTTACCAATGTCACTTCAGCAAACTTCTCAGTGCTTATCCCGGTCTATGTACCAATGTCTAGTCAGAAAACTTATCAGTGCTTGTCCCTTGATATGAACCAGTGTCAAGTCAGGAAACCTCAGTTTTGATTGTTTATTAACCAGTGTCCATTCAGGAAACTGTTCAGTGTTTGTCTCTGTTTATGGTCCAGGATCAAGCCAGGAACCTTAGTTTTGATTGTTTATGTAGCAGTTTCAAGTCAGAAAACCTCTTTATCTTTTTCTCAGTGTTTTGTCCCTGTTTTTGTACAGTGTTAAGTCAGAAAACCTCTAAGTGTTTGTATTTGTTTATATGCCAGTGTTAAGTCAGGAAACTTGTTTATGTGCATGTGTCAAGTCAGAAAATGTCTCTATGTTAGTTTCTGCTTATGTACCAGAGTTGAGTCATAAAATTTTCAGTGTTAGTATCTGTTTAAATACCCAGTGTCAAGTCATGTTTCCTCAGTTTTATTTGTTTTCATGCATGTGCAGTGTCAAGTCAGGAAACTTCTCAGTGTTTTTCTCTATCTATGTGCAGTGGAAAGTCAGAAAAAATCTAAAGTGTTTTGTCACTGTTTATTTACCAGTGTCAAGTCCGAAATCTTCTGAGTGTTTTGTCACTATTTATTTACCAGTGTCAAATCAAGAAACTTCTCAGTGTTTGTCTCTGTTTATGTATTGGTTTCAAATCAAGAAACTTCTCAGTGTTTGTCTCTGTTTATGTACCAGTGTCAAATCAAGAAACTTCTCAGTGTTTGTCTCTGTTTATGTACCAGTGTCAAATCAAGAAACTTCTCAGTGTTTGTCTCTGTTTATGTACTTATGTCAAATCAAGAAACTTCTCAGTGTTTGTCTATGTTTATGTACCAGTGTACAGTCAGATCACTTCTAAGAGTTATGTCACTGTTCAGGAAACTTCTTGTTCTTGTCTCTGTTTATGTACCAGTGTCAAGTCGGAAATCTTCTCAGTGTTTGCCACTGTTTATGTATCAGTTTCAAGTCAAGAAACCTTGGTTTTGTTTTTTTTTATGTACCCGTGCCAAGTCAGGAATTCTAAATTTATTTTGTGAATAATTTATGAACAAATCTCAATTCCGGAAACTTCTCAGTGTTTTGTCACTGTTTTTGTACCTGTGTCAAGTCAGGATACTTGTCCCTGCTTATGTACGGTGTTAATTTCAAAAAACTTCACAGTGTTTATTTCGCTTAATATACCAGTGTCAAGTCAAGAAACGTCAGTTTTGTCTCATTGTATGTACCAGTGTCAAGTCAGTAATTTTCCCAGTATTTGTCGCTGTGGATGTACCAGTGTCAAATCAAGAAACCGCAGTTTTGTTTGTTTATTTAGTGCCATTTAAGGAAAGTTCTCAGTATTTGTCAATGTTTATGTACCAATG